GATGCATTTCCCATTAATGTTAAGTTATGCAGTATTTTTCCTTTTTGCAGGATGATCAAGATTTAGCTTTCAGCCAATAGGACAATTATAATACACATTTTCCCTCAATGACGCAAAAGAAAAGATGGAATAGAAATGAAAAAGTGAAATTAAAGATGCAAATGTCGTCTGTTCACATATTAGGATTGAAAGCAGTTAATAAGAGTTTTAATGTCATATGTCATATGTAAATATCAAATCTACAAAAGTAACAGGGAAAGGGCATTACCTCATTGTTATGTCACCTTTTTTTTTACTTGATGTATTCACGAAAACTCTATTCTGATTCAAAGGGTAATCACTGGGAGGTTGGTACACACACACGTTTGTAACAAATGGTCACAGAGGTTATCAGGGACAGGCAGGCGTTTTGGCTCGCTCGCACCCATCATGATAAAAAAAGCTTCCAACAGCACCTGAAAAATTCCTCAAGGTCTAGCAAAGTGGCCGTCAGCCAGACCATATGTCTCTCTGGACTCTCAGCCCATCTCTGTGTTTAGAAAACCTCCAGCACCTGGCCCGCTCACATCTCATTCCCGGCCAAACCTTTTGAAGCTATGCTGCCATCACACGCAGGGAAATACTCTTTTCTCGGGCCTGTGGTGCAACAGTTCTTTCTGTCTGGGGGCAAACAGATTATCTGTCCGTGCTACAAAATTGGGATTTCTGTATTTTACGAAAAGACCGTAGGATTATAGAATATAAAAACTCCAACAACATTTTTTCATAGCCCTACAACCTTTGGCCATCATTTTTTTATTTTTTGTGATAAGATAGCCTTTTGGAGTTTCTACTGACATCTTGCACCAAGCCAAATCCATAAAAAATAACAGCACATTTACTTCAGCGTGCTTCTGTGTCCATCTCTTGGTTTGTATAGCTGGACGCCATGGTGGCAGTGCTGAGCGCGTCCGATGAGGTGGAGCAGCTGGTCCTGAGGAACACGGACCTGACGGACGACCTTCTGCTGAGCCTGGCGAGGGCCCTGAAGAGCAGCCTGTCCGAGGTCACGCTGCTCAACCTCAACCTCAACCTCATTGGCCCATATGGCGCTCACATCCTGCTGGACGTTCTGAGAGCGAAGCCTCAGGTCAGAGGCTTACAGTAAGTCCCGGGCTCCGCTCATCCACAATACCGAATTCAGAAAAAAACATACTGAATAACAAGCAGATCCAGGAACTTAAAAAAAAAAAAAAAATAAAACAACAGACAGTAAAAAAAAGGCAGCTAATCCAAGGCCAGCCTCGTCGTTGCAGAATAAAATCTTCGCCTTTCACTGTTGAATTACACAATCCATCTCTTTTATGTGAATAAGAAATGCCTCAAGTGCCTTACCTCTCTGAGTTATTTTCTTTCCCCCCACGAAACACAGGGAATGTGCAAGAACGTGTCTTTCTGACAGATGTAGAGACTCACAATGCATGCTGACATGTGTGAGATCAAAAGAATAGCGCTGGGTTTAAAGAAGTATATAGATCAACACTTTGGGAAATACGCTGCTGGAGAAGTACATGAGAAGATTAATACCAATCTGTTATATCTCCATTAAATATAAGGCTACCGGTTACTGGTCTCTGCCAAGAAAAAGTCTAACACATAACCCTGAACTGTAGTTTGCTGTTTTTTGTATGGATTCAACCAAGATGAAATGTTGGACTATTCCTTTAGTGTGTGCAGCTGATCAAACATGTCGCTGTAAGGACTAAAAGTATTTGCTGTACAAGGATGAATATCTACGTATGAATTTCAACAATAACCCTGGAGACGGCTTTTCAAACATGTTGACAACTGCTCAAATCTCGAGGCCTTCTTACACCCGACTCAATAACAGGCAAACATCATAAAATATAAAGTAATTTTCCCATGGAGTGTAACGATCCTGAAGCTGCAGAACACACAGATACAAATCACGTATTTGATTCAGTGTGAAAAAGAGAGGATGTTGTAGCTCATAATTTAGATTTCGCACAAGGAAAAACCTATCATGGTGCAAGGACATATGTACCCTTTGAAGTGAGCAGTTCATGGAGGAATCTAAATAAATCCTCCTCTCTTTCTACAGCTTGTTTGGAAACAAACTGCGTGACCATGGAGTGCTGACCCTGTTAAATGGAATAGCCGAGCTGCAGGAGCAGACGGCGAGAGCCGCTGCTGCCATCCAGCAGGCCGTGCTCCTCCCACCGGAGCAGAGCGCGCTTCTGCAGCCCCCCACCGGGTGGAGCTCTTTCGGGTTTTTTGCGCTTTTAGAACTGGATATCGGGGGGAACGGGTTGAGCAGCGACGGGGTAAAAGTGCTAGCGTCATACATGAGGCACCACTCCTATCTGCAGTACTTAGGGCTGGCGCAGACCGGCGGCGCCGATCTGGCGGCGTGGAAGGACCTTTTCGACAGCCTCAGGGGGATCAGCTCGCTGACTCGCATCATCCTGGACGAGAACAACTTGGGAGACCCGGGGGTCAGGCTGCTGGCCGACGTGCTGAGGGAGAACGCGGGTCTGCGGCAGGTGGATCTGGACAGGAACGGCGTCAGCGACGTGGGAGGAAACGACATCATGGGGGCGTTGCTTTGCAGGACGCGCTCCCCGCTGACGCACCTGAGCCTTGAGGAGAACAACATCAGTGCAGGACTCATGAGCAGGATACAGGAGGAGGTAAAATATACATGAATCCTGCTGCGGGAGTGGAAGAATACACCAGCAAACCACGAACACCTACGCAACGTAACAAACAAAGCGCTGACTTGAGAGCTCATAAGATTCCTTGTTTACATTTTGAGGGTTAGAGAGAGGGAGAAAAAAACCCCCGGACTCATTTGACCTTCACACACACAAAGATGTCTTCCTTCCTATAAGTGGGTGGCCCCGCTAACAAATGCTGCATCTTTGTTTAGCCCAAGCAGGTGGTGTAGGAGGCATGTTTGCTTTCGGGCCGCACTGTGGTCTGGATGCGCTTTCAAAGAGATCTCAATGAACTGAGCCTTTCTTCTTTGTGGCGAGGTTTCATCTTCACCTTGAGTATTTCCTTCTTCATCTCCTTCTTCTTCCCACCAGCGTTACCACTCCTAAAACTGATTCCAGCACACTGATCCCTCAGTCATTTTATTGAATAATTTGCTGCCTCCTGAGAAAAATAAAAAGCAGAAACCACAGTGATTCATTCCACCCACAGCATTTACAGGTATTTTGGATGGTTTACCCACGAATCCCCCCCTCCTTCAGTACCCATCAACAGATCCCCTTTCTCCACTTCTTCAAATCAAGAGTTATGGACAGCTAATCTGTGCTACGTCAACTACCCTCATTTTGTCCTTCTTGTCTCTTCATGTGCTAGACAGAGCTTCTATTCAGAACCAAAGCAACGGGGAGGGGGGACGAAAGAGAAAAACTAGGGCAAATTCATATGAATTTCGAGGCCGTCATCTCATTGTTCTATCAACACAGACATTCTGAGAATAACTGTACCTGTGATCAAAGCTTGTCAAAGTGGTAATTATGGTCTCCTCTCAGAGCTGCCAGTAGTGACTGCGCTGAAACCAATCCCTCCATGTTTCATCTGCAGTCTTTGCGGATTCCTTTCCGTGAAACCCCGATAAAGACGTTCTCCGAAGCCCCGGGGAGGATGACAGATAAATGAGACTGGCGCACCTGAAGATTACATCTGCTCCGTCGTATCAGACTGAATAAGCTCTAATTGTGGTGCTGTGGTGGCGTACATTCAAAACTCTGTGCAGCAAAGAAAACATGTCTAATTTAGGATGTTTTATTTTCTGAGGTCAATTCTTGTTGTCTAAATTGTTGTAGATGAGACAGGTAAGATTTTGTTATCAGCACTAAAAAAAAAAAAGAGCCCAAGTTTCTTTCTTTTTGACTACTGAACTTCTAAGATCTCAACAGCCACATTTGTAGTATAGGTTCAGCACAAAACCAAGTGGTACACCATCATGCCTGGCTGAGCACAAGCTGGCAAACAAGAGCCGCACTGTAATTCACCGACTCCTCCGATAAGGCCTCCGTGCTTCTCTGTTACAAGTAAAACTCTGATCAGTGACCCCATTGTCCGTCTGCTAATGTTATCTGGATTTGGCCTGGAACAAATCCTGCTGTGTTACCAGCTTCTTTCAACTGCTCTTCCAAAAAAACACGGGCTTTCAAAACACAGAAGCTCAATCTGTTAGGAATTTACAGGTTTGGTTGAGGGACAGTTTCCCCTTTCAGGGCCTTTGTCGGTTACTGTATCATATCTGCTGCTGCTTTAGCTGTGCTGCAGTATCCACTGTTGTACAGCCCAGAAATAACCAGGCTCATTCGTCAGTTTTAAACTGATAAGAACCGTACCTCTAGTAGCTGAACCGTTAGCTATCCGAATCTTTGTAAAACAAGGTATTTCTCTTTTTTAAACAGCTTTAAACACATCTGGTACACAGGGGTTGAGTTTCAGACAAACGATGCCGTGCTGTGGGAAATATGGAGAGAGGGAAGTCTTGGGAATTCAGTCTCTTGACTGTGACTTAGGGGCAAAAACTAAACAGATGAGGTGAACGATGGTCTTTGTAATCTTGTATTTATGGATAAACTGAGGTAGGTGCAAGTTCAAGTTCATTTTTAGCCTGTCTGTTGGTTGGGCCACCATTTTGATTCACGACAGTCACGGCCAAAATGCTGAACTCCAGATGGGCGACTTCACGGCGACTACTTCCACTTCTTAAATACTGTCTATGCTCCCTACCTTTTAAGTGGTCATAACGTTCAAATATTTGTCCATACCTCCATTGTTTATACTCCTTTAGTCCGTAAGCTTCCACTAATCTTACTGGGTAGAGAGGGTTGTCAGCTAACCGCAATGTCACCGGTTCGATCCTCGGCTGCAACGTGTCCTGTGTTGAAGTGTCCCTGAGCAAGACACTGAACCCCTAACTGCTCCCCAGGCGCCTGCATGGGCAGCCCACTGCTCCCTATAGATGGGTCAAATGCAGAGAATAATTTCTCCACTGTGGGACTAATAAAGGAATGTTTCTTCTTTTCTTCTTCTTCTTAATCAAACTCTTTTAGTGTATCTGTATATGTATAATAAAAACCTCTAAATGGTATCTGGGACAAAACAGCCTTTATTGAGAAAGTGTGGATCAGGATGTGTTTGAATGCGTTTCTTAACGGAGAACCTCGGTACACTGAGGCTTCCATACTGCGTTATTTTCACCACCACCAACATTAACACCCAAGTGTGCTGGGACTGACTGAGTCAGTGTATAACAGGAGGAAATGGATGGGCGGAAGTCCATGTGTGTGTTTGTGGACCTGCTTTCAGGTCACATTTAGAAAGCCAGGTGGTGTTTATGTGGTTACGGAAGCCCCGGGGGCGGCGGACCTCGGTCGGAACAGCAAACCCTCTGCTGGGACCATTTACGTCTGCTCTGTATTAACTGCCGGCACATGCTCATTTGTTTTGTGTAGTAGGTCCAAAATCAGACATCTTTGAGGCCGTTTGTTGTTAATTCAAGACTATTCTTTTTCACATGGAGACTTCAAACATTGTGGCTCGATAAATACGATCACCCTACTGCCAGTTTATGAAAGCTTACCAGGTAACAGCGCTCAAAGGAGACTATGATGTGGTGTTGATTAGCAGCAGTATTCAGATCTTCTAATGTCTCCATCTTCCCAACTGTTACAGGAAGGGAGCAGGAAGTTGATGTTGGCTCACACTTGGTGCACACAGTGTAGAAAGGCCTGGCTGAGGATGAGAGTGAAGGTTTTCTAGATTTGGGGGGATGTAGCACTGTAGCGAGATCTCGTTGTGGGGCCTCACCATAACAGATCTCCCTTTATTGTCCAGAATGGGAGAGAAATTTATAGACTGCATACTGCTGTGACGATGACGCAGGCGAAGCTACAGTTACATTATTAGTACAGTTACGGCTGTATTATATTCTCTGACAGGAAGCACAGCCAACAGCAGCAAAGGACCACAAAATGGGTCACAAAATAAGTATGAGGGGATGATTAATGGGAAGAAGAACAAACAAGAAAGTTTTTCTTTAAAATAAATATTGCCTGGTTATAGTTATATCCACATAGGCTCTAAAAATGATTAAAGTTAAACAATCTCAGAAGGGAAAATCACTCGCAGGTTTACACATAACAAACTCATAATAATGAGTTAAAAGTTGTTTCATTTTAAGTCAAAAAGTTTAGGAGCCACTGATTTAGACCGATATAGGGCACAACAAATCAAGCTGAATGTGGGAATATTAGAGTGAAACTGGAGGAAATTGAAATAATGGAATTCAAGGCAAAGGGCATTATAGTCAGCAAAGAAGGTCCATTATAATAATTATGAGATTAACAGCTTGTGAGTCAAATGCGAAAGCCTTTAAATTCCTCAAATGATAAACAACTGTATATTCAGTGCACTCTGCATTGCCACAACCACTACTGTATGTGACACAGCATCACGATGACGATGAATGAAGAGTTGTAGAGTCTGCTCTATGAACAAAGGAGCATGCTGCTGTTTGACATTTGGCAGAAAGAACAGCTTTTCAATGCGGATTATTCATCGGCGGTTTGATCCTCCGCTCAAATGTCACCACAACAATGCCTCTGACTTGGCAGCAGCGTCGGCCTTTCTGCTGCTCTGCGGGGTGAGGGATTGGCAATAGTTACCACATCTAATGTGGCATTCGGAAAAAGATTCAGACTTTGTGTTCAAGCGCTTTTGCTTTTCAAATGATCATTATTACCACTTTATGGAGAATTAAGAACGAGGAATGAGAATCTTGGTTTACCACATCACTGCGATGTTGTGCTCCATGCTTTGACTTATGATGTGTTGTGAATACGTTGTACGGATGGCTAAAGCAGGAAATGTGTGAACTGCTGCAGCATAACCTAGTGCCTCACATGACTGATGGTTGTAACAGACCTGTGGCCGCAAGGAAAATAACAAAAAAGGTTTACCTAACATGTAGCTTAACCCCAAAACATGTCCTAATATTTTACAAAACACTCAAGAAACAAGTCTATATTAGCAACTCATGATTACTGATGAGTCTCCTTAAAATTGATTAATTAAAAAACTGATAAGAAATTCTATTTACCAGACCGCAGAGTCACAAATTATACAGTTCCCTCCCGAGGCGGCAGAAAATTAAAAACAGAGAGACGCTATTATATCGCTCTAATTTGGACTTACCCAACAAGAATGAACAGCACTTTTCTCTAAATGTCCTGTTGTAATGTATGGAATGGATAATCACAGCGCCGGGCCACGCACTTATTGGATCCAGCTGTGCCTGGACAGAGGTTGCTGCATTCAGCTGGCCCCAAATCCCCAAGACATGGAAGTAAAACAAAAGACTCCGTGTTTATCAGATAAGACCTCCCATAGCTAGAGCAGGACATGAAAGAATACGTGTGCTATTTTCAAAGTTCTTGAGGGCTATTATTAAAGTAGAAAAGAGAGAGATAACCTAAAATGATCGTAATCAGTTTGTTTTTTTAAAGGATTAAATCTCCACTTGGTCTCCACATTTGACTGTGCACAGTCAAATGTGTCTCATAAATAGTGTGACTGCTCTTTAAACTGAAGATGGTTTATATACAGATGGTATGGGGATACTGGTTACAATGACTGCCTGTCTGCAGGAAAATCCTCCAATTTCCTGCAGACACTGAACTTCTAATATCCATCGTTATGTCGGAGTATACAGGCCAGCTGACTTCCATTACCCACCGCTGGTCTGGAGTAGAAACAGTCACAGGGCCTATCCACACCTGTCGCTGGTTATAGACGTGGTCCAGGATGGCAGTCATATGTGATGAGTGGAAGAAATGCAACTCATAAAACACTAATACAAAAACTTGCCCCCAGATGTCTTTCAACAAAATGTACTCTTTAATTTCTCTTTCCACCAGAGCTCATTCAGGGCTTCCATGAAACAGGGTTTTGGCCTCGATAGAGAAAATCTCTGATGGAGACTAGAGGAAAGTCGTTGCTCGAAGGAGACCGAACGAAGGAGACCGAACTGCTGTCAGGGAGGAAATCGGTCATAAAATTGGGGCGCTCTTGCCGTCAGCTGCAGCATCCCAATATAATCAGACTACAAACACGTCCATATCTCGGAAGACTCAACATAACGATTACATACGTTCGTTTGAAGTAAATCCACACTGACCTGTCGGTATACTCACAGTAGACTTTATAAAATATGGACCTACTCTCTGTGATGTCACCCATGGACCATGGTGTCTGCCCCGTTTCCAATGACGGCTTTCTCAGATGGTTCTGAGTATCAAACCGTCTGGTGGGTCAGGTTAACACACTACCAGTGTAAGAACGTCCGGTTGTGGTTTTACGGGGAGGTAAATGCCAGACTGTTTTTCACTTGGCCGTGAGCAGTGACTTCCTCACTCCCCTTAAAGCCACAATATATCATCTTTACACTTTGGCTTGTAAACGGATTTAAGAAATGTGTTAATTAGTAAGCTTTAGGTGCTGGTAGGCAGATTTAGTTTCTTCTGGACAGAGCCAGTCTAGCTGTTTCCCCCTGTTTCCAGTGTTTATGCTAAGCTACGCTAACCAACGCGCAGAGGAGACTGGTGTCAATCTTGTCATTCTCTTGCAGAGAGCGAATAAGCTTACTTCCCCAAATATCTACAACCACTCCTTTAAACCCATAAAGTGTCTTCCCTGGTATGTCTTCAAGAACACTTTTCAGTCCCTGGGCCACAGTTTGAGAACCGCTTCCGTAGGCTGCTGCAATAATCATTACCAACCCCATGAAACTTAACACCCCAGATTGGAGATCTTCCTCTCTGCACTCTTCCACGGGCCGTGAGGACATTGCCCTTCTTGTCCGTGAACTGAAACTCGTGGTAACAGAAAGCCCACATCCGACGTAGCTCGGACAGGTACATAGGAAGTGCTCTTTCAAGGTGGTGAGCTCCCTTCCTTCCTGGCCCTGAGAGGACGAGCTGAGAGGGGGCTCTGTGTGAGGGACGAGGGATCCAGTTGCAGGCAGCTGAATCGGCGCTCTGTTGGGTCTCCCCTGGACACTGTCACAGCGTGTTTGCTGAAGGCGGGTCAATGAGGACTTTCTTTGGCAGAGGAATTTCACAGCACTCAACAGCACACAGACACACACACACACACACACACACACACACACACACACACACACACACACACTGGAACCAGCGCAGGTCTGCAACCCAGATCTCTGGTGAGAACGGAAGTGGATGATGTGAAGAAAGGCTGTCACAAAAAGCTGGTCCATTGGTTTAACTTTTCACTTGATGAAATGAATTGGTCATTTGTTACAGCTGAAAATATGTCAATCATAGTATACCGTAGTTTGGTAGAACTTAGTACAAACAATCAGAGTGTTAACACTGGAAATCGTCATCTGTCAAACTGATTATACTGTAAAAGATAAGATAATAAGATATACCACAACTGTCAAAAGAAATTGAATTTATTTCAGAAAGACAGTTTATTGGTGATGTGATTATATGGAGGTTATTTGTTGTGATTGGGACTCACTTACACTGTCCGTAGTCATTTAGAAACAGTTGCCATTACATGGTTTGTCCACAGGAGAGCACTAACTAATTTGACAAAACAATCTCAACTCAAGGTCCACTTACTTGCTTGCTGTAGAAGCCTTTTGACCACATCACAAGGTTTTCATCAGCAGAGTTTGCTGGGTTGGTACTGTAGGTATTCAAACATAAAACATTTGGAGGATTTCTCGGCCATGTTGTTGATATAGCTGAGGTTGTGATGTGTGGCACAGACAACTAAGCAAACCCTGATCTTCTAAAAAAAATGTAAAAATTCTTGCTGCAGCCCAGAAAAATCTCCAAATGCCAAATAAAAGTGCTCGTGGCTGACAGATGCACATTTATCCGTTTAATTATTAACACAAGTGCCAGCTGACTGACCAGCATCATATAAACATAAACACATGCATTCCTGGTTCCTGCTTCTTCCCCTCCAAAAAAGACTCACCTTGAGCTGAAGGGGCTGCAGCGTCTCTGCTACAAATAGGTTTCCCTCGATGTCAGCTGAGGGCGACAGAGGGAGGTGTTCCCCCTCTCCCGGTGCTCAAGATTTTCCTCAGTCCACAATAAACTTTCATTTTGGGGAAGTCGACACACACTCACGCACACACACATACACACACACACACACACACACACACACACAACGGCGGCCGTCGTCTTGTCCTGCAACGGTTCGCTGGGAAAGCTGCACTAGATTTGACTTGAGGTTCATTGTACTTTAGAAAACGCGCAAAAGGAAGACGGAACAAACATCGGAAGCGCACAGGTGGAGCTCTCCGGAGCGTCCTTTTTTAAATTCTTTTTAAAATTCATCTTCTGGAAGGAGACTACAGGGACAAGAGGAGACAAGACAATGACAGAAAGCAGTCTAATAACGGCTGGTTATTCCCGGAGTGTTTGCACCTGGAATGGAAAAACTTTATCTGCCTCGTCCGGACTGTTGTAAAAACTCCCAAGAAAGAATGAAGTAACCGCAATGGAGCCGGACAATGCCCCGCACTCCGAACTCAAAAGCGCTGGAGTCGGGGGGTGAGTCGATACATTTTTAAGTCATCCTTAAATTGCTATTTTTGTCTCCCTGTCTTGTTTTGTTTAATACAGGTTTAATATGAAGTCATGTGCTCTTGGACATCACAGCCTGCGTCTGAATTAACGTCCATTTGACAGCGTTTTTCATGTTAGGATGCAAGTAGCATTGATATAAGTTGTGCTATTTTACACATGTTTAAGATACTGAGAAATAACATGTTCATATTCAAAAAATGAGTCCGTTTTAAACTTGAACGCCTGTACTTTTTAATAAGTTGCAGGATAGCTTATGGAAACACATTTCTGCTCTTTAGACAGTCCATTGTAGCCTGCTGGACTGTTCTTGAAGCTGTGTCTTTTGCAGCTTGTACTAGACTGAGCTGCCAAGCGATCTGGGACTGATTTGAGGGAGATGTATGAGAGGAGGAGACAGTCTTCTCCTCCCCCCCCCTTTCTCCCCTCCCAGCTGTGCATCTCACTCAGCTGGTTGGCCCAGCTGTCCCAATGGGAGGGGAAATAAAAGTCAAAATGTTGCATCATACAACCACTGCTGGACATATGAGAGACTTGATCACAAACTGCATCCCCCTCCTTCCTCTTCTTTGCTGATGTCAGTGTGAGGGCAGTGGATGGGTCGTAAAGAGGAGGGAGGGAAACTTTTAAAAGCTCCAACAGACAGTCAGTGTGTCAGTGGTTGACCAGTGGCTTCCCGCTGCTCTCTGGGAAACCACAAATGTAATAGATTTCCCGTGAGTGCGTTCATTATGGCACTTGTCACTGAGCCCGGTTCACTTCAAACATCGCTTGCTCAACAGGCGTCCGGTTTCACGTAGTGCATACGACCAAAACATCAGCTCCGAGAGTGTAAAAAAACCTTGGTCCTAGTAGCGATTAGTTCACACTCAACACCTTCAGAGACACATTATCTTCACGAAAGAGCAATCAACACTCCTGTCTCCAGAAAAAAAAATGTCTCAAGAAAAATCCATGGTGTAAAATTAGCTGTTTATTGGTTGACATGAGATGATAAATGTCACAGTTGCCATGTAAAAACAGTCGGTCTAATTACAGTTGAAGGCTTACATGGTCTTTTATGGGTTTACTTTTTTAAAACCTGCAGTTAGAAAGTGCATAATATACGAGCTGTAATAAAGGCGGTTTGTCTCAGTTATTGAACGGTTCTCATGTTGAAGATCACATACAGCATTGATATATGAGTTCTGTTACCTTAGTCTCTATATCTTTCACTTGGCATTTGTCAGAGGTGCACTCACCCAGCCCCAGCTTATCTGGAGGTCAGCCGTTAAGGTAAGACAAAGCTTGTTGTCTTGAAGCAGATGTTTGTCTCTGATCAAAGTGTCACATCGGATCAGATCTGTATACAGGAGTTGATAGAAACTGAGTGTCGAGCATTTTAGTTTGTCAACTACCTCGGACTGTGTTATGTTGATCAGGGACATTACACAAAGATCATTAACATGATATGAAAAAAGAGGTAATGGAATGAGCAGGTTTTAGTATTTGCTATTTTCCGCCCGTAGTTCCTGAACAGGTAGAAAAACAATTCTGCAACTTTTGATTCAATGTCGCCACAGATTATGCAGATGCAAAGATTATCTTGCTTTTCTTTGTTTCATGTGACTATGAATAATTGAATAATTGAATAAATGAATGAATAATTGGATAAATAAATGATAGCATTAAGCTTCTGATCACAACAAGTAAGAAAATGAAGGACAACATTTCAGGGCTCTGGTTACCTTTTTTATGGGAAATGATCATTCCTCTTGGCATTTTAGAGACCAAACAATCAAAACATACTTGAAAGATTTATGAATTTGTAAAGACAAATATTATTTGTGCCTTGATTATCTGCCATATTACATTGTATTTCTAACCTCTTTGTCTTCCTCTTCAGGAGAATTCTGATTCTTTGGACTATACTCTGTTGCACCTGCTCTCTACGGCTCGCACAGGCACAAGGTAAGCAAACATGCAAACACATTTCTGAGCAGACAGTGTCACAAATGTGCCTCCCAGACTGTGAAGATAAACTATGTCACATTGTCATTATATGAACTGGTATGGAACACAGAATGGATAAAGAACGTGAAAATATCCACCGTAAGTAATTACATCGCCCAGCGCGGGCCCCTTGTTTATCCAGGGATTATCCCAGACCGATGTGATCAGCATCACTGTTTTCCATTAACAGCTTGGTCAGCCGTATCTCTGTCAGCATCACTGTTTGATTTGTCAAGGCCAAAAAACTGATTCAATATTGTTCACTCTTCCCTGGAAAATATTTTAAGCCTTTGTAGGAGATGGGCCGCTCTTTTCCGCCCTTGTCCCGTGGAAGTGGATGTTGTGTACCGAACACTTGAACTGGATTTAGTTTGTAACTGTAGACAAAACCCCCGGCTTAAGATTCATGGAATTTTTTTATTCCGTGCAAATTGAGCACGAGGTGCATCGCACTCTGCTCTCACGACATCCCATACTCTCAGCAGGAACATAAGAAACTAGCTTAAAGTAGGGCATTCTTTGTACATGAACGCAATGTGAAATGTATTTTAGAATGATGCAATTTCTAAATTGCTTTGGACATTTATTTTGTTAGATGTAATTGGAAATGGCTCAGTCGAAGTCTCTTAACCCAAACAAGCCTCACACCTCTTTCTGATGCCTTAAATATATGATAGTAAAAGTTTCCGAGGTTTTACATGGCCCGTCTAGCCTGATTCCCAAAGTTTCCTCTGCTAAGTTGAAGTGCACTCTTTTCTCACGTTGACACACTTTCAGCCGAGCCTTGATGTCTGCTGCACTCAGCTTTCTGTTACACTATTTAAAGACCCTTGTGAGCATGCTTTTGTCTGATTTCGCTGTCAGTCAAAATCTACCAGATCTCACTCAATCAGAGCTCTCTTCAGTTTCTAGATAGATGCCCTTTGATAACGTGAACCACTGCGCTCCTCAATGTGAACAGTTTCTGGCAATTTTCTCTATAACTCTACCTGCATCAGTTAGTTGATATTTTCCTCCAATGATGACTGCTGAGTGTCTAGAGACACAAAAACACTTTTATACGCAGGGATGTGTTCTCATATTCGAATGAAATGTGCCATATAAAAACCTGCACAGTGTTCTGCATCATTTGTAGGATAAATACTGTGTTGTCTACATAGTACGCAGTGAAAATCATGCGTATGGAAAGTGACTCCAATCACAAGCCATGGATTCGTTTAGTTTAGTGCTGTACACTTTCCTCTGCAGTGACATGAGTCACTGCTTCTACGTCTTGACCTCAGACTGCAGAAAGAGACTCAACTGTCGATGTGCGCAGGCTTTTCAATGTTAGTCTTTTTGCACAGTTACCATAGCTACACACACTTAATATTCCCTACACATTTACCTCGAGGTCAGCCACAGTGCAGCATCCAAACCGTAGATATGTAATACTTGCTCTCCCGGTAACGGCTCACATATCAGTGCTGGGAACAAAGTGTAAAAACAGACGATCACCAACGTTTCGACATGACAGTCTTCTTCGGGGTATAGAGTAGAGCTGGGAATCAAACCAGCAACCCCTATGGTTACTGGTTAACCCCCCCACACACACACACCTCGACCTTGGTACCAATCTAGGCAGAAAGCGGTAATTCATATGTAATAAGACAAAGGCTTACACCCTTTTAGGAATGTACTACATTTGTGATTTCCGATTGTTCTCGGGTCAATTTGAATGTGATATGGGAAAAGATAATCATTTCTGCTGCTCAGAGGATGCATTAATGCAGAATCAGGGGTCAACAATTCACTCCCTGTTTCTTGAGAAACAGTGTAACCGTAAAAAAAACATCTTTGGACACAGAGTTCTTGGAGTTTATTTAGTTGTATTAAGTTGCCAGCGCTTTTCCTAAATTATAAAAAAAAGACAAGGTGTCAAAGTTGAAGCTGCGGGAATGTTGGGTCTGCATTGCCGGCCTACTAATATCTGAAATGCATTAGTCCGTGCACGTGCCAGCTTTGTGAGAAAAGTCGTGTTCTCCAGCTTTGCTTTGTCTCCAGCATGTGTTGCAAGCTCGGTTCTCGGTTGGTGTTTTTCTCACCTCACCGGGAGGTCATGAAGAAGCCGTAGGCGGCCTGCCATCTACCCGCTAAGATTTAGATATCCAGAGTAAGCCCTGAAAGCAGATCACAAATCACACAGAGATAGAACAATTTATCTTTTCCTCATACCATATTAGCAATTCCAATGAGTGCTATATGGGAGAATTCAGCTGAAGAGTTTCTCTGTTTCTGTTTGATGTTTCTTTTCCGTGTGTGGGTTTTTCAATGGAGCTGACCTCCCACTGTCTGCACACACTGAGCAGAGCCTCCCTCCCGAACATGTCTAGTGTCTACATGCTTGTTCCTCCTCTGCTGAGCCGTGATACATCATTTAGCAGTTCATTTCAGTCTCGCACACATTTGTTTTGTATTAGTCTGGAAGAGGACTGATAGTTGAGCTCTATATATTATCTTTTAGCTTTCTTTATTAATGTACTGTACTCAGGATATGCTGATTGGCTGGGGATCAATTCTTCTTTCTTTTCCAACGTTACTAAACTAAACAGAACACTTTTGTTTGACATCACTGATGACTTGCACCGGTGCCCAAGGATAGACAACAGGACGGTTATTGGAACATTTCCAGTCTGTTATGATGTTTGAACCAAAAACAGATCCGACTCAATGTTTTAGTTACAAAAATAGTGTCTTAGATTTCGCATAACCTTGGTGTTTTTGTTTCAGAGGTTCTCTTTTGGGGGTGTTGGCACCAACGTGGGTTAAAGGGCTTTTAAAGGACATCATTCTTTTTGGAGCTGAGAGTTAATTTAAAGTAGTGATGCACAGTATGTATTATTCTCAGCCGCTACCAATACTCCTTAATTATCTGCATCTCATGGCAGATACCGATAACCGATAATGTCACATTTTTGTATTTTAAAAAGAAGTATTTGCATATATTGTTAAATAGGTGCACAATATGAGCAGGGATGTGACCAATGAAAATGATTTGGCTTCTTATCATCAGCAGATTATTTATTGGCTGTAGTTTAATTATCGGAATAATACATAATAATATAAAATCGTTGGCCGATAATTGATCACGCCTCCTATATATATATATATATATATATCGTGCGTCCCTTAATGAGAAGTTAATACAATTATTTTTTTTCTCTGATTTTAACTTTACTTCTTGTGAAATACAAAACAGTGTCAAATCGGTATCACAACCAGCGTGCTATCTTCTCTCTGTGCACGCTGTAATGCTCGGTCACCAGCAGACAATGAGATGCTTGTAGTTGAAAAGGCTCATAATCACTGTTGCTGAAAAATGTGCATTCATTGTAAAGAATGCTCTTGAAATAAAGGCTGCAAAATGTGGATTTAATTAAATCCTCACACAGAGCTGTGGATCCAATTAGGAGCAATATACAGTACACACTGTAATGTGTGAAAATGGCCCACACTCTCCTCCCATGAGATGCAAGTAGCAATTAAAACCCGCAGAAAACACTGCAGCATGTTTTTATGGGCCCCCATCAGAGCGATCGTCCTTAATCAACAGATAGCACCAGATGAAGTCAGATGGCTTCTCTGTCTCCGCACTAATACGTGTCTTGAAACCCCAACACTGTCCTCTCCAGGGATCCGTTCAGCCTCCGCTTCCCAAGATCCTTCTAATTAACACTGATGTAACGATTACATAATTTGCGGCAATCACCAGAACTGGAGGTTGATGTGTGGCCCGAACGGAAATTGTATGCAGCCTTTTTAAATTGCTTTTGCCGCAGGATTTCCATCAGTCTGACTTTAAACTCGTGAACTCCCAGCTTGGCTTCACAACATAATTATCCCTTATATTACTGCACTTTTTGTTTTTATTAAGTGCATGTATGAAGTTAAATGTGTTAAGCAATTAGCCTTTTCTGTGTTACTTTTGATTTTGACATTTATATGTTGTAATCGTTTTCCTTTTCATGAGCTTCTGTGAAGCCCTTTGTGGACTGGCCCTTTTATCAAAGTAGTAAATTACAGTCATTTCAAAATAAAGGCATCTTTGGGTGTCTACAACCTAAGAGTCACTGACTTCTCTCCCCTGTTTCTCTCAAGATGTGGATGTTCTGCAGCAGCTCGGGCTTTCTGGGCGAAGATCATCGTCGGGCGCGCAACCCATCCCTAACGGCATCATCCCCTTCAAGTCCGGAGTCATCCTCACCCCGAGGGCCCGCATCCAGGCGCCTCTGCACACCGTCATCCCTGCTTCCTACAGCACCGCCAATCTCTCCCTGATCCTCAGCCTGTCGGTCCATCGCGTCAACGGCGCCTTCCTTTTCTCCGTTCTGTCCAAGAAAAGGAAAGTGCAGCTCGGAGTGCAGTTCTTGCAGGGTAAGATCCTGGTACGCGTGGGGCAGAGGAGCTCTGTGATCTTCGACTACGACGTCCACGATGGCCAGTGGCACAGTCTGGCTTTGGATATCCGAGGCCGCCGGGTTTCCTTACACACTTCTTGTGGAGAGAGAAGCATCCACGCGGATTTGCGTTCAAAAAAAGAGGCGGCTCTGGATGTGGAGGGCTCTTTCCTGCTGGGCAAAATGAACCACAACTCGGTGTCGTTTGAAGGCGCCGTCTGTCAGTTTGACATTTATCCTTCTGCTGAGGCAGCTCATAACTATTGTGATTACATTAAGAAACAATGCAGAGAAGCCGACACGTATCGGCCCGTGTTTCCACCCCTGCTACCTCTAATTTCCACGGACCCAAACATCACCGTCTCTCGCATTACTCAACCGTCGTTGGAGGAGATATCCAAAAAGACAGACGGCTTGTCAATGCTGAACAAAACATCTGCATATCAAACTGTGAGCGCTCCAAAACCTGGCGCTGTGTCTGTTTCTCAGCTGGTTCTTCCAGAGTTGGAAAGTCTGTTTGATTTTCCCAAACCAACTTCACATAGCAGTGGCATAAGGAACACAAAGTACGGCGATACTAATTCTCAAAAACCTTTTGGCGAAAGAATGGATTTACCCGCTTCCACCCGACCGACCGAGCAGCGGCCAAACCTCCACGCCGCTTTCACGCAGGGGCCTCCTCCAAACGCCTATCTTCACCAGGAAGACCCGTCGACCACAGAAGCTCCAAAGACACCTGAGCCAAAAGTGACCAGTGTGCAGGATGTCGAACCCACCTCACTGGTTCCAATCACTACAGCTGCAACAGATGGCTTCCAAATATTTCTCCTGGATGCAACCCAGTTCTCACTGCTGGACGGACCACCTGGACAAAAGGGAGAACCAGGACCGTCGGTGAGTCTGCAAGCTCCACTCGAACACAACACATGTTTTGCATGTTCATTTGTTTATCAGGCCTTCGAGCCACAACATGTGATTCTTTGTGCAGGAACATTTATCTTAAGACTTGGTGGTTTAGTGTTTTATTTTATGAATGAATATCTTGTGAAATAGGGGGTTTGAATTATAATACATGCATGTTTTACCTTTTGACCGCCATATTTCAATGCTTTCGACCAATTTAAATGGATTACAATGATATAGAAGTTTCATACAGCTTGTTATTTGAATGTGTCTTTCTTTGATGTCCAGAACATCTGCTGGTTATCAGTACTAGCAGTAACCAAGCATAGCATCCCTGAAATGTTTGCTTATTTGACAATAGTGTGTTGGTGTGTTCTCTGGCTCCGTCTAATTGTTGGCGATTAATGTGTGATTTCCTTTTTAGCAGCAGTGGTAGAAATACTCTGTCATTTTGTGTTAGTGTTCGTCTGAGCGGAGGAGCTGGCGCTGAGGTGTTAGATTCCTCTGAGAGAAAGTGTGACTGCTCAGAGAATGGATACTTTTAAAGTAGGGTCAAAGGTAAAAAAAAGAAAGAAAGGAGAAAGCACTTGCGCACAATTAACCATTAAGGGTAAGAATATAAAGGGTTACTCCATGTGAAGGCAGTGCTTTATCCCGTTATTTAAAGCTGTAGTATTTTCCCAATTTTTCCCCCACCACAAACTTTTTTGGTAAGAGTGACTTTACAACTTTCATAAAGACAGAAAATATGTGACTGTAACTGACAGGCTTTGGTGTTGACCCTGCATGGAGTATTACATTTTAAAACACATATTCTGGATTTGCATGTCTGTAAAAGAAACATGAGACCTACCAGGCTATTGCTCACATCACACTACACGCCTGCGGGTTAAAATGCGAGAAGTGAAAAAATACTAATGAGGTGAACATCATTAGATCAGCTTGAGTTCTTTAATCCATAGCAAAGTGTTGGCGGGAAATGTGGTCCAAATCTTGTCATTGATCAACAAGTGTTGACTGTAGACTGTATTCATATTGAGCATATGGTCCCGTCAGACACTGATCCTCTGTTGAACGCACGATGGTTACCCACATTTTCCATTGTTAAAAGGACTTCTCCGTCTTGTTTTGGGTAATGTCTGACCGAAAAGAATGTTTTAAGTAAAGCTCTGCTGCTTTGGCAGCGAGGGAAACCACAGCGCTGCATATGCCAGAAGTCCTGAAACCGATCTGTCCCTGGCGTATGGTAAAGGCTCTCTTCCTGAGGGCTTTCACCATTCTACTAGTATGAAGTCTAAACAGATTGCTGAGTCAGGTATAGAGTATAATATTGTCCTTGAACCATTTTAGTGATGACTGGAAGACATATTTCAACCCCATTTACTGGGATGAGGATTGGCGTTAGTGGGCCATGGTCTCTTTTAAGAAGTCATAAGTTACAACTGCTCACAAGTGTCTACTGCACTTTTCTTTTTTTTAAAGACAACATGACCGCTCTGATAGATAACATGAGTGCTGATGAATTATTCAACAGGCCTAAGCTCTGAAGAGTTGAGGATCAAAATTGATGGCCAGATAATGAAGTGATGTCTTCAGTCTGATGGAGGGGTTCTTTAAAGAAGACATTGTGGGGTTCCTGTTGGCTGTCAACACATTGATCAGCAGCAGAATTGCATCTTGTTAGAGATGCACAGATCTGATACGCCGTGTCGTTATCCTCGCAGACACTGACTTAATTAATTAACCAGTTCTGCTATCAGCCAGACGTGACTAATCCACAAGTAAATGTAGTTTCTGTGTCAATGTCATTCTAACATTCAGTATTTCCGTTACAGATATTCAGTCATAGCTACCCGCTGCCCCTCTTTCTAGTGCCACAGGCCTAACGTTACATCAGTTTAAAAGTTCCAATACTTTAAGCAGTGAGCTATACAGGCTTTTGATTAGGGCTGTAAATCACGAGTTTAATCACAATACCTTTTTATATCTTTTTTTCCAGCCATATGATATTTGCTGATATTACAAAGTCTGTCATGATACATGAAATATTGCTTAACTTCCGTAAAGACGTGAGCTCCAGCTCTCTCTTTTGGCCCTCCCCAGCAGGGCCTGCAGCTCAAACAGCTTATCATGTGTGTGGACAGCCTGGTGGTTGGAGTCTAAAGAGTCTGAAGGTTGCTGAAAGCATGTTGGCTTTTCAGAGCGTATGCTAGCTGAAAGAGTATAATTATAGCCGTTGCTCCTGTCCAAGTCAAGACAAAAGTGCTCTATACATCTGACATTATTACAGTAGCCCAATTTCAGCCGGACTGCCTAGGGACGTTTCCTTTTCCTCTGTCTTTAACCTTCTGGAGCCATGGGAATGTAAGGAACAATCAAACATCTCAAAGCAAACTCAGCTTCCTCAGATTGACCCCTCATTGGATTCGACCTTTCAGAGCTTTGCCAATCCATGGATGAAATTGTTTTAAAGCTATAGCTAATGCCCAAAATTCATGTGAATGGCTGTATAGCTGGAACCAGTGGCGACCTCCCTGCCAGTGCAATGAGTCACACTCAACAGTGTGTGCGCTGTCGTGGGTTTGGGCTCAAATTATATTGGCTGCAAAGGGACAGGACTGCTCTAGCTCCTAACAGCACATCACCGTGCAACTCCTAGCTAACTTCACTCAATGTAGAATCAGAAAAAAGCTTAAATATTTACTGATTCAATATCTAGCTTGAATGATTTAAAAAAAAAAAAAAATCCGAACACTTAAAACTGTCTTTTACTATTCAAGGCTGTTCAAGAGTCCCTTGTAAAGACACGACAAAAGGCAGAGACTTGCTTCTCTCTATCCTTGACATATTTTTACATTTTCTTTTCAGGGCCTTCAAGGACTTCCAGGGTTGCAAGGAAAGCCAGGGAAGAGGGGTCCAAGGGTGAGTTTCTCCCAACCAGCGACCAGTTTTTTTGCCATTACCACTTTTCATTTCCCCAACAAAATGTTCCCAACATATTTCCCCGTATCTTAACGATGCTTTAATCATGTCCGATCCACATTAAAGTCAGATAACACCGTGAGCGGCGCACTGATATGGAAGCCCTTTATGCGTCATGATCAAGCACTCAGTGACATCTTTAGATTACGGAGCATTATTCAGCCAGACGTTAGTTTGCTTTGGCTCCGGGTTTGATCAAACTGTGCTTCTCTGCTGCCAAGGTCCATTTGTAAAAGCTCGAGAGCAAACAACCCTATGCTACAAATCTGTGGGTTGCCAATGTAGAATTAATTGAACACATATGGTAGGTATTAGGTTGACATTAAAATAAATAAGGTAACTTTCATGAGTAAAGATATATATAATTCCAGAGCAAGCACTTTTTTATCCTGTACACTAGAGGTACCAGCACTTAAATTAGGCACAGCTCCTATGCTAACATCTGTGAATGCTTCTAGTGTATTAGACTCAGTCCTCCGGTGCCATATCTCTCATTTTGGAGCAAAATGTCAGTCTACAACCATGGGCTGCTGATGGAACCAAACAGAGTGAGAGCAGATGTTAGTTTAAGCTCATGTTTTCAGAAGAAATACAAGAAGAGGGAACACGCCGGGAGATGATTTGTCCCAAGGGACAGTTTGTTATTTTAATTTCAGAGACCTTCGTCTGATGGTTGTGTATGTAGTCCACTGCTTCTTCACCTCCCTAATAACAAAGCAGGAGTTGAATTTGGCATCACAGTGAGTCCTAAGCGGAAATAAATATGCTAGAACCTGAAGGCAGTGAAATAAAATGGGGGGATGCGTTGTTTTGGTTGCTGTTTTGCAGACTCCTGCTGAGGTTCTCCTGCAGGGAACTTGCGCTGCTGCGGAGTGTGCGTATGAGCTACCTGCCGCTGCACCGTGAGGCTGTATAGCCCTGCAGTTAGGCCTCAGAAGGGTGGGCTGTGGGAACCCAATCTCTTTAAACGAGGAAGAAAGAGGGCTTTGTCCCCATCTTATTAAAGGCATTTAAGACCCTGTCTGGAGCTCAGCAGCTCTATGCAGTAGCACACCAACCTCTGTAGAGTTCATTCATCATCAAGCTCTTGAGAACCGATTGCAGGCCGCAAAAAAAAAAGAAAAAAACAACCTGAGGGTGCAGGTCAGGTTTTCACTGATTGTAAGTTGATTAACGGTAACTTCTGTATTTAAGTCGCTTTTTGAGTTAGTCTCCCCCATAATTTTCTTTAAGATGTATTCCTTTATGTGATGGATGTATTAACATCACTGTTCCCAAGCAACCGGCTATTGGCCAGTAGCTAATAGCACGACATAAACACAATTAAATTTTAGTCTAAGCAAAGAATTTACATTGACTATTTTGGACGTTTTACTGACGTCCTTTGACATACGGCAGCGCTACAGGCTAGTGTTGCAATGGAACGACCGTTTTGCTTGAATCTTATCATTACGTTTTGAAGCATATACGTACTTGCTGCATTGTTTGGCCATCTTTGCCCCAATTTGTGTCCATATTTCAGGGGAAATAATGTAGAAACGTGTAGAGATCATGAATCATATATAGTTTAAATACTGGAAAGACTGCTAAGGTCTTGTTATGAATGTACTCTCCTGTCGGATTAGCAGTGAGTTTTAATCTTTGGAAGACCCTTGTCTCATTTTAATCTCACCTTTCTAAGCAGAAAGTGCTAAAGCTATACCATTAGGACTTTTCCTCTCTGACAGTAAGGTGTCTCGCCTTACTGAGCAGGCAGTCTCAGCGCTGCTACCACCGAACAGCACCTCACACGGGCGAGAGCGTCCACCTTCCTCGACACAGCCATGAGCCCCGGCAGAGCGCCGGAGTTCACGTGGCCCCAGAAGGAGAGGCTTGAGAGCGGATCAAAGGGGGCTTTGTGCAGAGAAACAGACCTGCCACCGCGCAGTCAGTATATGTGACGCTGGGTTTCTGTGAAATTTTAAACATTTGCATAATTAGTTAAAGAATGGTTGACACTATTATGACATGAAATAAGGAGTCTACGGAGGCTCAAGCAGTGGAAGCTCTGTTTTTGCCAAAGCTTGATTGGTTGCAGAGAACTGAACTGATTTCTGTATATTGTAAAATTTAGATTCTTCTGAAATGAACTACATGTGTAGGCACAAATGAACAGTCTTCTCAGAGGCTTGACTAAGTTCTTCTGTCTTTATTAGTTACACTGACGGTTTCCACTATTTTTTTGTGCTGAAGCTGTTCACGAGCACATTTATAGAGTTAAAGTTAAGTGGCCGGAGGTTCACAGAAGAGGTTCACAGAAGATGCCGGGAGTCAGTTTGTTCATTATCGTTGCATTGATCCTGAGCACTGGCAGTAAAACTGTGAGCATCCTTATATCTCTGGATTTGTAGTCCTTTATTCAAAACCGTTTTACATGTATTACTAAAATGTTTATGTACTTTAACACACCAGACAGTCAACCATTACCCAGATAATGAAAAATATTTATTGTACTGCTGATGATTCATTTTATATTTACAGCTGCAGCAACAGAAGTAGTCACCAACCTTCAGAAACATCAAGGCCCCAATAATAAAAAAGGCAGATCGCACTTTGTGCTGGAAATAAACCGATCTACTGAAAACAACCAGTCGTTTATTTTGCATAAATACCAGACACAAGCTAGTTGAAGCTTTTCAAATACGAGCATTTGAATACCTTTATGTTTTGGACTTTTATGTGACATTTTATAGACTTGACAGTTAGTGGATTAATAAAAACACTTGCTAGTTGTGTACCCAGATGCACTAATTAGCAGTTAGCACCAAGGATCTTGCCAAAATAAGATGCTTTCATATACATTGTGTTGAATAGTCATCAGGCCAGATAGAGTTTCCCTTCGTGCAGTCCAGTGAAGGTGTTAGCGGGTCTGTTCGGGGTTAATGGCCAGTAAAAACAGTAGCGCTCCATGTGTCACACCTGTAAAAGTCATTGGCCCACATTGTAAACCGGCTCACGACTCTGGCATACAGGTGCCCTTCATCTGCAGGCCTCAGGTGTGAGTGTGTGTGTGTGTGTGTGTCTGTGTGTGTGTATGTACGTACTGACTCTTGTATGTTTTATTTGCTGGTGATGTCTAAATGTGTTTCTTGCCAGGAGCTCTTTTCATTAATTAAGCAAAGAAGATCCTCAATCCTCTTCTCGCCCACACGCAGATAGATGGACAAAGTGACTCATTCTCCCCATTATGCTCGCCTCCGTCAGGAAAGCACCCGCCCACCTCGTCATCGGCGGCATGCCTCCTCACCTTATGTACTGCAAGAACCCAATGTGTAACATTCTGTCCAGACATCCCTTTTTTCCCTCTACGTCTCCTCCTCCCTTTGCTTCCTCTCTGCGGATAACGACTTCCATACGTTTTAATATCGAGCTGGTGAAAAGGGGGAATGCTCTGAGTGGACAAGGAGGAGGAGGAAATCTGTAGATGAGCTTCTGTTAAGTGTCTCCATATGTCCAGCAGCGAGTGCCTGCAAGGGGAGAGGTCTGGCCTGTTTTAGGGGGAGGGGGGGGCTGTTTGACTCCTCTCCACAGTCTGATAATTTGGCGCAGATAAATAACAGACGGACTGGATCACCCAACCGTACACTTACACCTCTTGGCCTCCTCCGTCTGTTTGACTCAGAGTAATCCTATCCCCCACTTTCACCTCATGCTCTGGGGGGGGGGGGTTCTCTGGAAAGTCTGAACAACTCAAAGAACGGGCCGAAGATACAGTAGCTTCCTGTTCGGGCCATCTGAACATGTTTCAATGCTTTCAGTTTTTGCCGGGGGAAGATTTTCCATGCTCAGCATTTCAGCCCCACTCCACACAAGCGTGCAGTTGAACCGGAGGCTCCTCACTTGGCTGCCTCGGGAAGTTGTGGCTTTATTTTTTTTTTCCAAACAATCCCTCTTTGCAGCTTGCTTGAATTTATAGTCCCATTTTGTCTCCTCAATCTCCGCTTCCTGTACTTCCTCCCACCTGGCCTGACTTGCAGGAGATAGGCCATTTTCATCAAGCTCAATGAATTACATCTCAGCACATTCTATATCACAGACATCTACAGTTTGTGGCGCAAAGCCATTTGGGAATATGGCGTGATGGATGAGCGCCCTTCACTTTGTGGGACCCCCAGAAAACCAGTGGAAAAGTGTAGGGATGAGGAAAATCACATCCATATGTCATAACGTGGACGGGCAGGCAGACAAGACAGGCGAGGTCAGACACGTCTCACAGAGCACCTATACACAAACACAGAGGGACCTCGGGGGCACAGCCGACCCATCCCAAAACACAGACGGGCATGTGGAAAGGTAACAATATGTGCAAACAGCTGTGCAAACCTCACATATAGTGCCAACTCACCGCTCTTTGCTGCTGAAATGGAGGCCTGTTCAATGACCCCGACGATCACCTTCACTCACAGTGTCTTCCTCATGTGTGTCTCTGTTTTCAGGGTCCTCCGGGCCCTCATGGAAACCCTGGTCATCCCGGACCTCCTGGAGTCAAGGTACAAATCAATAAGTTTATGTCAAATGCTAACTAACTATTTTGGAAGGAAAAACTAGGCTACGGCTCATCTTGTGTATATTATTTATACCATATGTTTTATGGTACATACTCTTTGGTCCATATCTAACCAATGAAACAAGAGCATTTAAACAACAATGCAATTTTGAAGTAATTCTTGTGATTTTCCTCTATTTTCATCCAATGTTTGTTTTGGATTTCTCTTGGTTTGCATGTCTGAGGTCAGGTCCTCTTGGCTTCACAGTACAGCTTGTCTAGCCTCTCAAAAAGCCATTTGTTTCCCTTCAGGAGAGAAACGCAGTTGTAAGTCTTTCTCTGACTCACTACTTTGCAAGTACTTGACATCAGTCAGTGTTCCAGCTGATTTGAATCGTCAACACAAAGAGAGTTGCTTAGCTCCAAAATGTGTCAGTCTTTTATCACAGTCTTTATGTTAAACTATGCTGGAATAAAATGGAAAATTGCTCGTATTTCTGCACCTAATCCATTCCAATGGGTTGAATTTCACCATTTACCACACTGTCTTTAAACATTTAAAACAACATAATTGATACCATGATTTGGCCTGCTTTAACATGGGAAAAAAAACAACACAACTCCTATATCGTACGACTTAGTGGAGCCTAACCAAATCTGGCTCGTCTCAGTTTGACCCATGTGCACACAAACCTCAAACAGCAGACAGTCTGGTCTGGCACAGTTCTCTACTTTGAGAAAAATGAACAAGCTGGATGAAAACATACTGTGTAAGCTGAATTCAGTCTTGAATATGTCATTTTATCTGGATGTAATGATGAAAAATTGAGATGGGATGATGATTAATTATCTGCTGCTGTGAGTAGCCGTAGACTTAAAGGGATACTTCACCCTTGAAATGAACATTTGAATATAAAAGATTCACCGCGTGTTACCTTGAATTCTTTTTCTCACATGCCTCCGCGATGAACAGAGAACACGAAAACCTACGAGTAAATCCTTGATGAACTTAAGTAAATGGAGGCCAGGTTTAACACCAGCAATAGCAATACTATATCAGAAATACATTTACACACAATTCATGCTGTAGAATCCAAGTCTTGTTCATCCAGTTTTCCACTCAGTACTTCCCAAGCACATACATATTCGCCCAAATCATGCGATTTAAAACTTTCGCCACTACATGCACTCTGCGAATCCCTGCATGAGACGGTGGTGGAGGAAAATGCTCGTGTTTGGGAAGTACTGAGCATATAACTGGATTTTTTTTAAATTCAGTTTAACTTTCAGTAATTGATATGCAAATGGTCATTCTGTGGGTGAAGTATGCCTTTGAAAATTTGAAAAGGGAATGAATGACGGCCTAAAAGGTACAAGTGCTTATAAGGGTCTTCAGCTTTCAGAAAAGATGACTTAATTTAGCTTCTCTTTGAGTTTAAACTATTTAGATGGTGAAAAGACACAGTGTTCTGTATGCTGCTCTTGGCTGGAGTTGCACTCCTCCTGGCCCAGTTTAGAAAATCCCCACAAAGACTTTTCAATGCCAAGTCTTTGCTGTCAAGAACATGTAGGTTTAAATGGGCCGATATACTGTAGATGGGAACTCCTGTCGTACTTTGTCCAGTAACCCAGTTCATTACAACATACTCCTTTGAAGCAGTGCGTGTCTTTGCACTGACTCAACTATTACCTTTTGCACTAAGAAATCTGGAAAAAATAGCCCCGATATTTCTGAAAAAATAGGAAAATCTGGATTGAACCAAAGTGAGTCACAACACAGATTTCTCTGCATGCCCAAACTTTAATTTGCTAAATGCAATGTGTCAGAACACATGCAATCAGCCAATAGCCAACTCAGTGCTGCACCATTTCTCTTCATATTTACTTACATGATAAGCGCTAACACAGGAAATTATCTATTTCTCCACAGACCTCTTACATTATAATTGCTTAGATTTCTGGACAGCTCTCTCACCAGTGTGATTGGACGCTGAATGCTGACCCACAAAGCACTGACAGGATTCCCACTGCCCGAAAAGGGAGAAGAATGTACACGATCACTTCTCGCTGGCTTGGTATAAACCGAGTCCCCGCCTGGCATAAATGGACTGCACGTTTCTGTAAATAGAACCGCTAGACTCGCCAATGAGTGGGATGAACTCATTACTCTTTGATAGTGTAAATGTAAACAGCGGACTCCTCTGCGCCTTGTGAGGTGGAACGCTGTGGCAATGCAGAAGATATGCGGTGAACGTTGGTGCAGACTGGGATACATCACAAACCCGCTGAGTCAAATGTGTCTCTAAAAGTATTAATAAGAAAATGTTCTGTTTTTTCTATATGTTCTAGGGACAGAAAGGAGATTATGGACAGTCACCTGGCCATGCCCCAAAAGGACTAAAAGTATGCATATTGTCATCTTTCCTTTCATACAACTACTTGATTTTTTAAATGATGTTTGGTGTATTGATTGTGACCTGATTTGTCCTTTTTAGGGAGAGCCTGGTGTCATGGGCCCCCCTGGACTGTATGGCCAAGATGGACGCAAGGTAGACAATCTGATTTGTCTCACAACTTCAAACTGTGTGTTTGTTTGTGTACTGGCCCTGTCCCACATGTGTGCAAGTTTATACTATATGTGTTTCTGCTCTTCTTCCGTTCTCAAGCTGTTTGCCGACATAAATTTAGACTTGACTGGAGTTCTGTATATCGAGGATCACTAAATCAAACGTACAGCCTCTCAACTCTGACACACCCTCAACTGCCTTTGAGGGGGAAATCTGTGAAATTGCAATGTTTAGAGACTCCAGCCAAACATGGATGTTTGAGCTCTTGTTTGGAGAGCTGCCTAACATATTGCAGGCTTCAAGGAGCACACCTGTGTTCAGGCTCCCCTGTGAGTCGAAATATATATGGGTTCAGTGCCTGGCCTGTTACATCATCAATATCGCAGGCCTCCAAAAACAATGAAGGCAGTTTACGGACGTTTTACATGCTTCCTCCAAATGCATGTTATGTCATTCACTCTCTGGAGAGCAGTTATTGTGAAAAGTTGGACACGTTCTGATTGTGGTTTAGTTCTGTGATCTGGTCCTGCTCTGGATTGTTGGTTTACGTTATTTGACTTCTTCACATGCGCTGGGCTATCATGACAGCGAGTGATGGTTAGCAGTGCAGCGTTTTCTTCGTGGCCTTAACATTTTATCCTTGGCCTTTTCCCAAAGCCTGTTATCCCCCCCCCCACAGCAATTACACATTGCAAGTTGGCCAGAGCCTGTTGGGTTTCCTACTATGCAGAGTGTGAAAATAATAGAGTACTCTGCAACTGACTGACTTTGTTTTTCCACATAGTTTGGTTTAAGACGTTCATTTTGCTTTAGTTTTTTTTTCCACATATGAATGTTTTTCATGTATCGTAAACATGTCGGCACTGTAGTTTTCAGATAACATTTCTCAAACAGGAGTGCTCTTGTTTTAGGGATTATTTTCAGCGCGGAATAACACACATTTGACGCTTAAGGGAGCATTCACAGCAGCAGGATGTTGGTGGGATTGACTTTGAATGAAGTGCAGTGCCCTTGCTCATGGTAACAAAGGAACATGTCGTCCGGAGTAACATGTGGCTCAGTTGTCTCCCCTTCTCTTTGAGCTTTTTTGAGGAAATAAATGATGTGGTATCACAACTTGTCACACCTTAAACAGGATAATGTGTCTTTTACTACTCTGCCTCCCACCATCATTAACCGATCTTTATGTGATACCGATAATTATTGAATATGTTGTCTAGTCGATGGACTGGAAGAGTTGTGTTTGACACCATCTTTGTAGTTTCAACAGCACAAGTCTAGCAGAATGTTTACCAGCTGTCTGTAGCGATGGCTGATTGCAATAAATGGCAGGCCTCACATAATCTTCCACAACAACTCTGCTATCTTTGCTACCTATTACCTCCCAACGCTGGGGTAAAAGCCTTGGAAATAGCACTTAACACCATTGTGGGACACAACAACTCTCCACTGGAACCCAAATGTATGAGATTAATTTAGGTGTATCATCTTCTCCACCCTACTGACTAAGTGACGGGGAATCTCCGAGATATAGATTAGTCGATGAATTACTGTGCTGTTGAAATAAATGTAAACTTCATTGCAGGGAACAGAATGTTTTCATTTTAAAATGAGAGGGAAGAAGATAAGCTTTGCAAAGGGAATCTCTGCTGAATTACCTGACAGGCAACATCTGCTAAGAAAAACAAAAGCTTGAGGAAAAAAAGACTCGGCAGTTTATCATCACACTGTTCCTTCTGCGGTTTGCTGTCAGAATTATACTCTGAAGAAGATGGAAAAGAAAGAGAAACTGTGCATCAGTGCAATAAAGTAAGGTCAGATTTCAAATGCCAGAAGAATGCTAATTAGAACACAACTGTCCCACAACATGAGAAAAGCTTTTGTTCGCAGCTTTCTCTCTTACTTACATACACACACACACACACACACACACACACACACACACACACTCCCGTCGTCATTTGGGACACACAAGTATGAGTGTAAAATGCTTCGGCGGGATCACTGACAATCTGTTATGCAATCGGACAGCGCTGACTGTGAAAACACATCTGGTGTGCTCGAGGATCCTCCGTTCAGTGTAGTAACGGGGAGGACTCCAGCTCGAAGGAGGAAGACCTCTTCCCGCCATGTGAGTCATGCAGCGTGGAGTCATGGGAAAAAGCCGATATTCTTCCTGCTGATTTATGGTAATTGAGGATCTTTGCTGGGCGTGGACCCGGCACCCTGGCTGAGGTTAAGTGGTTGTAACAGATCCCCTTTTCCTGTTCTGCTGATCGGTTCAGGTGGGATCCAGGCCCCTTTGATCCCGTCTGTGTAAACCTTAAATACAGTCGGAACCCCGAAAGTAAACGCTGACAGCCATACAAAGTATAGAAACGCAGTTTGCGTCCAGCTAATGCAAGCAATCAGCTTGGCTCCTCTGAAAGCCACCAGACACCTTATTGCATGCAGCTGTTCTTAACTCTTTTTTTTCTATAATACTCCGACGTTGGAAGCCAAAACTCCTTACAGTGCACTTTTGTATTCAAATTACACCGAAATTCCATCATTAGCCACAGAGGAAGCTCGAGGGTTTGTTCCGTTGCCTGCTCGAGTCCCACCAGCCAGTAAAACCATGACCCGCCGCTGCTTTATGGACCCCGAGTTTTCGCTGAGGTTTGCGCTCCGTCCTCGGCCCGCTGCCAGAGAAAGCCTCTCTCGCTGTGGGAAACGTGTGGAGATGTAACGGGGATGTTGCTGAGGAGTCAGTTAGCGGTCTGCACTGTAAAGTAAAGACTGTGTGCGTGAGTGTCATACCAAAATACTGTGTAGAGTATTACCAGCCCTGGACCAGTGTGCCTTCTACACAGCCAGCTCTGATTATGGCACACTGGAATAACACTCAACCTTTTTTTTATTGGCTGTGCAACCCTCAATATTTTTTTCCTTCCTGCTCCTCAGCTTTGTATAATAACATTTTCATACCGTACCTTTTTATTTGCTGAGTCTGATTTATCCAGGAAAAGGAGCGCGGGGCTTGCTAAGTGGGAATACGTTTTGTGGTATAATAAAAAAGAAAATCTATGGAAAGAACAACATGTTTTTTTTGTCTGCCAAGGAAAGTCTGTTACTTATTGTGTAAGCGGCGGAGATGCTGCTGCACTTTGCCTGTTGGCTGCAGGGTTAAACTGCTGTACGTTGCACTAACAGTTTGGTCTTCATAGAGAGAGAGAGAACTAACAGATAATATGCAATAGATTTACAGAACTGTGAAAGCTTTCCATTTAGTTTGAGTCCATATATACAATGATGCACATGAAGATACACACAGACGTGTCCCTTTTCTTAGTTCCACTGTACTCGACTGTACTGGAAAGCTCAGACAAAAATTCTATTCTCTTTTCTTGGCTGCAGCGCTTTTGGTTCCCGCAGGAGACTCATCTACTCCCAAAAATCCCGTCAGTTATTTCCAACATCAAGCACAGTGCTGTCTGTCAGTAGATGAACAGACAGATATTCATCAATAAGGAGTTTGACAGAACTGAAGCGCCTGATGGAATTACTGTGACTGATGAACCAGCATCTGGCTTTACTCTGCATCCAAGAGCTGCAGGAGATGTGACAGAAAATGTTACTCTTAAAGAAAAATAGTTTCAAAGTGTTTATTTCTATATTTCTTTCTGTCTTTGTCAGGACTTTTTTTTTATTAGACTCAGGAACCAGCTCTGACCATTTGTAAAAGATTAACTCACGAGTGTTTTTCATCTGTGTTACACACTTTAGTGAATGCACACCTTTCTCCTTCTGCTGTTGGTTTAAGTAACAGTTCCCACATCATGATGACATCAGAGGCTCCAGTCTCAGCTGACTGGTTTGTATTGATATATCTTCAGAAATGTTCCATTGGCATGTTATTAATATACTTTTCTTAGTAAAGATGATTTTTTTAACCTGGGACGTCAGCCTGCCAGCATGATTGTACTGACCAGCTTCAGGCACGTCAGTCTCGCTCTGCTTCAGCCTCCCAAACCTGCCTGACCCACCAGTGCGTCAGTCGTTTTCAAACCTCATTTTAAATTCTGATCATATGTCCATCGATGCCGTAGCCAACAAACATGTCATGCTCCATTATTGCAACATTAAATGATTCACAACACCAGCCCAGGTTTAAAGGAATATTTCTACATTTTTGGAAATATTTGCTTTCTTGACGAGCTTAAAAGTGATGAAACTCTCATATCTGTACAGTAAATATGAAACTGCAGCCTAGAGATGGTTAGCTTTGGTTTGCATTAAGACTGTAAACAGGAATAATAGGAAACCCGGCCAAGAAATAGTCCCACACTTAGATTTCTCTTCCGTTTCTGCACGGATTAAACGGTGCTGGGAGGGGGATTTTTTTTTTTTTTAAACCTTTGGACATAGCCACGCTAGCTGTTTTCCCAGGGTTCCAGTCTTTGTGCTAAGCTAAGCTAAGTGTCTCCTGGCTGTAGCTTTATATTTAACGGACAGATACGAGAGTGGTACAAATCTTTACATTTAACTTTCAGCAAGAAAGTGGATGAATATATTTTCCAAAAGGGCAAAATATCCCTTTAAGGTTTAGGAGGCTATGGCCCACATTTAAGAGTTTTGACAAGAGGCAGAATTACACTGCATTGTGAATGAGGTTTAAGTGATTTTAGCATCCTGGCAAGTAAACAACTTAATATCAAAAAGATACCAATCACAGTATTGAATTTAGCCCAAATTCTTACATTTAGTTACATTCCCCTTCCTCATCACTTTCAACCAGGCCTGCATAAACCCTGGACAGTGAAGTATCCTTTAAAGTGGAGCCCTGCTTTACATCAATACTACCGAATGTCTCGCAGGACGTTTGCAGAGGGACGTTTTAATCCTCCTGTATACACCCTGGCTGCAGGCCTGAGAGTGCTCGGTGTGGGCCTCTTAATGGTGATCTGTTTGTTTAGACTGATACTCATTTTTTCACATCAGCCTCATGGCCGCCTCATAGTCTGCCAGCGACGGGCCAACCCAGCTGGTGGCTAATGACTTCACACTTGAGAGGATAGATGTGTTCTTCCCTCAGAGATGACTTCATGTGACTCTATCTACTCTGTTGTGGGCCTTGATTGTGAAAAGATTAATACATTTTGTAACCAGCTGGCATGCTCATTTGAGGCCACATGAAGGTGACCATTAATTACCTTGTTGGGTCTCACTTCCTCCTGTCCGACTGGTTTGCTGGTTTAATTAACGCAGGGTCGTTCTGAATTGTTTAGTCACGGTAGGTTGGTGCGTAGGTAGGAATCGTAAAATAAGTGTTTTATTCAGGGTTAACCAGCCTGTGCTGCTTGGTGGTCTATTCACAGCTATTTTAAAGTAAACATTTTCGGTCTTTATGAAGTTGTTCTATTTTATAAGGAAACAAAAGGCAAGTCCTCTCTTCGGCAATTGGAAAATACAAAATCATTTCAGCTCCTGAGTTGTTGACAAAGATGCCGTTGAACACAAGGTGACACAAGGTGAACTTTACATCAACAAAATTAGATTAAATTTGATCCCCTGACATTTTCTAACACGAAGACATGCACACGATCTCTTTTTAGCATTGTACCTCCCTGTGGCATTGTGATTAGATTTAAAATAAGATAAGATGCCATGGTGTTCTTACTCAGACTTATTGTTGGATGTGCAAAGCTCTAACTCATTGTTTCTTGTCAACAGGGACAAAGAGGTCATCCTGGTCCTGCTGGTCTCCCTGGTGAACCTGTGAGTGCTTCAATTCTCCGTGATGTATATCATACTTGTTCTCTTATGTATAGCATACAATATGTAGAACATCTTTATCAGTATCCTTACTCTACAGCTACTGTACCTACAAGTTGTAATGTCGCTCTCCTTTGGGCCACTGAGTAATAATCACATCATTAATCCAATAATTATGATTGTAGTGCCCCCTTTAGGCCAATTTGTGTAACGGAAAAGTGCTAAAAGGTCATTTATGCAATTTTGAAAATGCATACCGCAAACTCTTGAGATGAAATGCATCGTTAAAAGATATCAGTAGTGTCTGAGGTGAGAGTGTGAATGTTACCGCAGGGTTTAATAACAATCATGAGACAATCAAAAGGGATTTTCTGAACAGCAAGAGTAGCACCTGAAAACATCTTAAAGTGAATTCTCTGGTTCCTCAGACACAATCCCTCCACCGGCTCTTTGAAGTGTTACCATGCTGACTAAATCCACTGCATGCTGTTTGTCTGTCTGCCGGCTGCTCTACGTTAGCTGCATGTCAATGTATGTTTACTCATCGAATAGATGAGCCAAGAGTCGCCAGAGACCGTTCCCAAGAGACTCCAGCATGTCTTTCCATTTATAGTTACAAAACAGGAGAACACATTAACACGGACACATTGGGACGTTGAAAAAGAACGGGTGTGGGCTGGCAGGGGATTACGGTAAGAGAGAAGAGACATTAGTTGTTGGGGAATCTTGGCGGGAAAAACGGAAGGAGAGGTTTTTTGGCAGAGGTACAAGTGGGTTAAATAGTTTGGACACCCCGAGGTCATCCCTCCCCCTCCTCCCCCTCCTCCTCCTCTCCCACCTTCCTGAGTCCCGATCCTGTGTGCTATCTTTGAGAAGAATGTGCTGTGTCACAAGGAAAAAAAAGAGAGCACTTTCCCCATCTCTGGAGACGATGCACTCTTTTTCTGTGGGAACTCAAACAGCAGCATGGTTTAACATGCAGAACAGGCAGTTATGACTGGCCCTGCAATGTATTCTCAGGGTTGTTATTTTTGTTAGTGAATTCGATTTGATTGTTTTGTAATCCGGTGAAGATAACAGGCGACACCTTGTGCCAGAAGGATATTACTTCTTGGTTACAGTCTTACTTTGGTGGAACTTGTACATTACTACTATAGATACCCTGTGCGCTTATTACAGTTTTCTTTTGCTTATTTTCAGTGTTTTCTCACCAAAATGCATCGTGTGCACCTAAAGATTTGAATGCATCGTCTTCCTCATAAATCATTTGAAAAAAACAAATCTTAAATTATTGTGAAACCTGCATTTGAATTGTGTCTGAAAGCATTCCCTATTTTATATTCAGTGCAACTTCGTTACCCTTCTTCATTTTATTTGACTGTCAAACTCAAAGTTATATAAGGCCTTCACAAACTCCCAGACTGGAACGAAAAAAAAGAGTTTCCATAGCATGTACATTACCTTTACCCTTAAAGATGTAAACATGACTCTGGTGCAACTCCACACACGTCACTGGCGATTAAGTGTCCAAATCTGGATTTACGTGTCTCTGTAAGGCAAACTAATGTCCGTTATAGGGAGAAGTGAATGTGTAAACTAGGGAGTGATGTTGGCAACGGTCCATGTTCAAGTTTAGCAGTCTTCTTCCCTGCCTTTTAACTTGCACATTCCTGAGTTTCTTGAAGTGCTGCTGCCCCCAACTGACCATCAGTGGAACAGGGTGATTTACATGCACAAAACATTTGCATTATCACAATATCATATGTGCATAGCATCACCTGTGTTTCCTTGAACTAGTAGAACATAAAATAAATAATAATAAATAATTCCTTTCATTGCAACAGTAACTCCATTACTATTACAATTTGCCACGATGAGTACAGTTTCTCTGTGGCCATTTAGAAGATCTTCTCATATCATTTTTAATACCGCATTAACATTGTGATCTCTCACAGCACATTAATTATCTGGTTTTGGCAGAAACATAACTGTCGCCAGTGTGTAATGACTGCGGTGAGCTTTCAGCATGCTGTACCACCAGCCTGTAATTTCTTGCATGCCTTCACTAACTAACCCTGTTTCTACTCTTCCCATACATGTAGAATTAAGCATTCTTCTCGGAGGGCTGCATTGGGTTTACTCTCACCACAAGGAAGGAATGACTCAAGTATTATACTGTGCGTTGTTGAGGATAAACATATTAAGGCAAAGCTATGCTCGCAGTAGTCTTAACAGCATGTGGCTCGACCCCATTAAAAAAGCTCTTACTGTCGGATTAATTGAGTGGTTTTTAGTGTCCACGGTGGCGCCTCTTTCCTAAGGACGCCACACTGACTCCGCTAAAAAAAAACATTGAAAAGCTGAGAGATGTTAATTCTTCTATCGGACCAATTGATTGTTGTTTTTTACTTCATAAATAAAGTGCTTGTTTTTTGCTTCTTATCATTGCAATCATTGAGGCTCCAACAGAAACCATGTGTGCAGAAGAAAACGATGGTTTTCCTACAGAATACCTCTTCCCTCCCTCCCTCCATCCTTCACTGCTTTCTCTCTTCCTCTTCCCTGTTTTGGTCTCCTGTCCTCCTCTAGAGCTGATTTCTCTTCTGTCTCTCTCTCCACAGGGTCAATGGGGAGATGATGGAAGCCCCGGGGCCAAAGGCTATCCTGGCAGGCAGGTGCAGTAAATCTAGTGTTGCGGTGCTGGTTGAGCAGGGCCACCCACACACACACACCCACATACACACACACACATACTTATCGTCTCTATTGTGAATTTAGCTTTTTGAAAATATTTTCGACCTTTAAATAAATCAAATTTCTGCTTGTGAGATTTCATCACTGTCATAATGATGAATACATATGGAATTATTCGGGGGAACATCAAATCCTTGTTTGTTTTCCGCAGCTATAAAATAATGTAATTTAAAGATATTGGATGCCGGCAAAGAATCTCAGCCATAGGCATCTCAGTCAGCCTCAAAGAATCTAATTTGGTCAATCCAAATAAATATTTTGTTGCGGCTGAATGAAAGGGAAAGGGCACAAAGATGTTGAGAAGCTGTGGTGGAACTTCAGCGACAGATGCCCCCGGTCTAGTGAGGAAATAAAATGTCAAAAGTCTTCCATTGTAAGCACTGCTCTGAAGAAAGAAGAGGTAATAAAAGTGGGAATAATACCTCGGATCCCCGGGTACAAATAAGCTTCCTCTGTCCTTCTAAACTGAGACCAACATTCGTTGCTCCACTTCTATGAATAGTGTTAACTTAAAGGGATAGTTAGGGTGTTTTGAAGTGGGCTTGCATGAGGTGCTCATCCATAGTCAGTGTATCACCTACAGTAGCTCGTTGCGCCCCCGGCTTGGAGAAACAGAAAAGACAGGCTCAACAAAGAAAATCAATATCGGTTCAAGTGTACGCTTCATTTAGAATGTTTTTTGATCTGAAAGTATAACCTTTTTTGTTAATGGAGTCTTGTGGCTTTGAAGAGAGCATAGATAAGTTACCCTTTTCAGTTCAGTTCCCCGTCAGAAAGGCCTGTCTGACAGCAAGATTAAGTAGTGAAAACATTCTAAATATAACTTACACTTAAACGGATATTGATTTTTCTTTTGTAGGTGAGCCTGTCTTTTAGATGGCTGAAATACATTTTGTTGTACATTACTTTGCTCCTGAGTGTGTTTCTCCAAGCTGGGGGTGCACCGACCTTCATCTTCACCCAAACTATCCCTCTAAGAAGTCAAAGCTGGGTAACACTGGGGTTTCTCTGCATTAAAAACATGTTTCCTCTTAGCTCTTAAACTCCATAAATATCAAGACAACTGCTTGCTCACTGGTCCACTCCTGAGTGTTTATGATAACGTATAGAGTTCCCAGTGCTTGCCTCTCTGCTTCGGCGCACTAACGATGTCACAGAACTCTGATCCCTGTAGACACTTTGTGTGTGATGGATTAGGCTTCAGCACCGCCCACCATCTGTGGGCTGTGAATCACCAGCGCTGTGAGTTTATGTCAAGGCGTTGTGCTTTGCTGTGGGGAGTTCTCCTGAGCTGAGAGTTGATCTTTAAAGTTGCAGGAGGAGATTTTCTGCACCGGTGGATTTGCTGACAGTGTCCCTGAGAAATTAATGGATGTAATTAGTGGATGTTGCTGAAAGGTGGAATGAGTAGGATTCAGTATAGACTCATACAAATATAGTCCCTCTCAATCATTACTTATAACCCACGAGAAGTGTGTGGCTGTGTTTTTATCTTCAGAGACCCAGCCTTCTGTCTGTATTTCCTTATCTTGTCCCAACCTCTATAAAAACATAGCGACCAGTTGCCAGATCGTAAGCGTGCATCCATGAGGAAGCTATGAAAATGGAGGACACAGTTCCAAAAAAACAAACATGTAAATATAGCGAGCAAGCAGACAAATCTCGTTCCAAAATGAGAGTGAATATGGTGTCGGCTCTCACCCGCTGGCAAGCACCCTAACCCCCCAGTCAGGGGGCGTAAATGTTGTATTTACAGAATGCAACAGACAAATCCTACTCATTCAGCCTTTAAATATTGACGCCGCAAATGACAGAATAAAAAAAAGAAATCTGAATAAATTTGCTTACAATCAAGAAGTGAGAATGGATTTTTTTAACCTGATTGGATAGCCTAAATCATTAAAATGTTTCCCTTTGTTTTTCCACTTAAGCACTTTGACAACAGCACAAATGACGTTCTGCCACATGTTTGTAACCATAGAAATATGTTTTGTCATGTATTACATTTAGGGTTTACCCGGGCCTGTGGGGAAAATGGGGCCAAAAGGAGTCATGGTAAGTAGATGCTGGAAAAATTACAACTTTGTCATGGATTTGTGTCATTAAACTCTTTAAAGGCAGTATGTTTGGGAATAAAAGTAAATAGTGTATGTCTCACACTGTAAGGTGTTTAAAGCTCCCTCAGAGAGACGTCCTCTGTTTACTTGTATTTCATTTTCTCGTCATGCAGCCTCGCTCAGCTTCCATTGAAGGCCACAAGGGGAGAGAGGCATGACCCTCCTTTGTGTAGTAAAGCTTCTGAACTTTGTGAAATGCCTGCTAAATGAATTACCTAACCAGTATGGGTACATAAAAAAAGGCCAGCGTCATAAACGCCACTCTTCTGGCCTTGTTAACTCCGTAATGATAACGACAGATGGTTCTGTTAGTATATGTGAAGTACTATAGGAGCAATTAACTCTGGCTTTCTTGAAATCCCTTTCCGTGCTTGCTCTTCTTTTTAACGGTAGCCAAATATCGTAAAACTATATTGCCTCTGCTGCCGAGCATAAACGTAATGCATTCAGACGTTAGCTTCTCATTACATGCTAATTTGTGTTGCTGCCCCTTTTTTTCGACCGCTTTTGCCTCTTCTTCCACTGAGCAGGTTCGGGAGTTCTTCAGAGATCCCTGATGTGAGGGTATGTGCCCTTGGACTACATCGTGGAAGCCAGCACCATGCAGTCCATGGGCATATACACTTGCCTCAAGGCTTGGCTCTACAAGACCACTCAACCGCAGCAAAAAAGGCCTGCAGTGCTGTAACACAATGAAGCACCACAGCTGAAGCCTTTGTAGAAGTTCTTTTGAGACATGTCGGTGTTGTTGACATCTAACAGTTCTACACAATGCCCATCATCTCTGCTCAGTCTCATTGTCCACCTTCTTTTTCTTTTTCATCTTTCTTTGGCTTTCCTGTGCCTGCACTCCATCATTTATTCATCTCTCTAGGGTCACATAGGCCTCCTCGGGCGTTTTGGCCTTCCTGGTCCTGATGGCGAGAGAGTGAGTACTAGTGGCTGTGAGAGTAAATGCCTGTTGCAAATAGGTTTTAATTCTTGAAGTACTGCAGGCACACTGAACAAGATCACGCTCCTTTAAACTGTATTGGATCAAGCCGATAGGGATAAAGACAACCTACAACCCAACCTCTCTACTGTTTTGGATAAAGTTGAAATGTAGAGTTGGATTTAAATGCACTGAAACCCAGCCAGGACTCAAACTCCCATGAACCTCCAGGGCAGTTTCTGGCCACACTAGTCAAGTGGCGCCGTTTGCTATGCTACCACCGTTAGCCTTCAGTGAGTTAGTCAGTCTGGTCAGTTGATCCGAATTTAAGTAAACCACGTCACAAATGTTGGGATGGATTTCCATGCAATTCAAATGTACAGCATGATCCTTAGAGCATTAATTGCTTTGGTGATTCTTTGACTTTTTATTTAGCACCAATGCTATCAGGTTTCTGTCAATCTGAGCTGTGCTTTGAGATGATTGCTGACATGGCATGCTACGAAGCCAACATGCTGAGGTTTCATATTGAATGTTAGTAAATTAGCATGCTAATGTAGCATTCAGGTAAAAAGCTCAGCTTATTGAGGCTGACAAAGTACAATTCAGTCTAATGAGAGTAAAGCAACAATAACTTGAACCTGAACCAGACAAGCTTACTCTGAATATTTCTAAAATTGGCATCGTACGGAAGACAAACTTCTATGGTTAAGTTGATAAAGCAATCTCACCTCAAGGTCCATTTAGTAGCTGTAGCTGATCTTTAGATCGTATCACATCGTCTTGCTCAGCAGACAATGTTTGCTTAACTGTCATGGAATTGCATGTGATCAGATTTCCATTTACTTCTGAGTAGGGCTGGGTGGCCAACATCTTCTATCTTGATATACTGTAGATGTTGTCTGGTACTTCAATGAATAATAATATATGGTGTTTATAAAATAGCCACATGGGGAACCTATTTTTATATACTGCTGTGTGAATAAAAGTCTTGACAAGTTAGAAATACTGAATATTTGCCAAGCTCAACAATAAACTGTTAAGCTCAATATTTTAACATTTTCCACACAAGTGATGAGGATCCAAGAATAGAGAAGTTGCTTCTTCATTTTTACTCCATCTAAGACTCTACGCCTCACAGGGCTGCTAGTGTGGCTAAAGGCTTTTAGGCTTCTCTAATGATTTCTATGTTTTTGCATTACTCACTTTTATCTCTACTTTAGCTTCTTATCCATCTTCTCGCTCTGTCTCAACTGTGTTTTGTTTCCTGTTTCCAGGGAATTCCTGGCGTTCATGGGAAGAAGGGCAAGATGGGTAGGCCGGTAAAGTTTTCTCTCAACATACTTCTCAGAGAACATTTGTAATGCAGCCTCATGAAAGTGAGGGTTGTTTGTCTTGATCTATAGACTCTTACTGTAGCGCGGAGTTACTTTAAAGTGTATTCAATGAGCATTACTTTGACAAATCTCCTCCTGGTCTCAGTGTGTGAAGAGAAGTTGTGCTAACTTCCACACTGGCACAGTGATGCTAGAGATTACTGCACCCTAAATAGCGTGCCTGCATGTATTGGAAACAATGTTCATGTGTCAGCAGATTACATTTAAATGATCAGTCAGATCCTTTTTTTTTTATTCAGAAAGTCCTGACCTCATGTTAAAGTCAGTGACTCCTTATCTATAAATCTTAAATGATTAATCTTCTCTGGCTGAAGTTGATTAGGAAACATTACAGCTCCTAGAGTGTGTTTATTACTGTGCTTGTTTTGCATGGAACTGTTATAATAATGTGATGTGTCAGTTGCGGGTTTGGCTCTTCAGAGTCACTAACCACAGTTCAGAGAAGTCTATCGTCGTTGGCGCCTGGAAGTAAATTCCCCATCCTTCCAGGCTTACATGGAAAATACTAATACAGCACATGACCACTCGTGTAAATCTGCTGTTTTCCCAGGCCGAGTCTGGTTGCACATGTTCTTTTTTAAGTTATTATGCAGTAGCGGTCAGTGACAGACTGAGGCCAAGAAAAAAAAAACCTCATAATAGCCAAGTCATGAGCAAGTCATTTCCCTTCCTCTGGTGAAAAGTGAGGTCAGTGACTTTACGCAAGAAGCTTTTGTCTGTCCTGAGTCAGCAGTAATGCTGTTTAACAAAATCTGGAAAGACACACAAGAGAAGGAGCCGGCATCTTTGATCCACATGTCCCAAAGCCTAAAACAACGAGAGCCACAGAGACTATGTACTTTTTACAGTGTTTAATGGCTCCCTTCCTCCTGTGTTAACTTTATGGATGAAAAGTAGAAAAGTTTCCCCTTTTTTAATTGTGCGTAGCAGAATGGCAGAGATTTCCATCGGACCAATCACATAATTAGAAGGGTCTCGCCAGCCTTGATGAAAGTTGATGTCAATATGAGAACAAAGACTTTCATGTGTTTCTGATCAAACCAAGTCAGTTATTGAGATTTCTGAAAGAGGCACATTTTTCCACATTTCCAGTTTCATGTTGCACCAATTACGGCTCATTACCTTGTCCACATTGGCCTAATGTTGTAAATCAGCCACACAAACTGTCGTCTCTCTGCCATCTCTTGAGGTCTTCATACTTCCATTTGATCCTTCTCTCTGTCTGCAGACAGACGATGAGAGATCTCTCGGCTTCGCTGCTGTTTCTCATGAATGTAACCATAGACCACTGTAGGCGAGTGCTGAGCCACGATGTGCGGTTTGGCTGCGTGTTGACCTTGGCACATTGACAAACACACGTTGAGCATGTGGCCTCGCGGCTGCATCACACCTCTTGTTCTGCCTCTATAATGGCATTACGAGCACCAAGCAAAAACAAAAAGAGTCAACAGTTTCTGTGCCAAGCAGCTTTATTCGGTCATTTAGGCAAGTCCTGGGGGGGGTTTGGTTCCGCGGGCTGCCAGCGCGCGCACACTCAGACACTCGGTTGCTCGGAAACACAGCCGTGGAATTTCCTGCCGGTCTCCCAGGAATGAAGCGCTGGGAGCCCGTTTGAGGGGATTTGCCTGGCTTAGACCGCTGTTTTGGGAAACGCTTTGTTGATCCCCTGTGCATGGTGCGATAACTTCACCGACAAACCATGTGACCATGTTTTGACAGCATGAACATGATAAAGCCACTCAATTTCCTCTCTGGTTAACATGACCATCCTGTTTGTTTGTGTGCCCAGGGCTTTTCTGGTGACTTAGGAGAGAGAGGACCTCCTGGCCCTGATGGGGACCCAGTAAGTGATATTATGTACATGAATGCACCGTTTACTCACTCGGCACTGTAAAAAAATCTTCATGTCAAAATTACACCTGACGGAGATTTCACCAGATTTCAGACAAAATCTGGTGAAATCTTGCATATTGTTTTAGAACAAGAACATTGTATTCCTGCACTCGACTGACTGTGAGATACGTCTGTGCGGTCTTTCAGTAACTCACCCATCATAATCCATACTGATACCTACGAGGGCAGCATCAGCCGTTCCACTCGCCTCTCCTCCTCTTTTAGTTTGACCCTCACTGCTCGCGGTTGGCTGACCTCTGGGAGCCTCCTCCAGGCCTCATTTCCTCTGCCTCAAGAGGGAACAGGGGATGTTCCATTTGGCTGAATTCGTCTCCATTCAATTCGTAGAGGAACAGAGGAGGCGACAGGAAGGCCACACTGGGCTGTGTGTCACCCGTCTCTCCACTGGATGCGTAGCTCGGAGAGGATGTCGGCATGGCATGTGGCTGCGGGGTAGATCGTTTTGGAACAAGCCTCTCCGTGTGTCAAGTGCTCACTCGCTATGCTAAAATGAGTGGAGGAACACATTGCTCAGAAAACACTAGTGAACAAACAAAATATAGAAACACACAGTTTGAATTCATGTGTATCCTCCCCCTCCAGCTCTCCAGCTCTTATCTAACTGTGCCTGTGTTGCATCTCTTCTTTATCCATCTGTCTTTGTTCTCTCCCTTCTTCTTAGGGTGAGCTGGGATCTCCTGGCCCATGTGGAGTCACTGGTCTTATTGTAAGTGTTCTTGTATCTTTCTCACTGATTTTATACCTTTATGTTTTGGAATTTTAAACACTTTGGTACCTTGTTTAAAATATATATTTTCTTTAAGAAATGAGCTTGTAACTAGTAAAGTAAAGTTTGAAAAGTGCTATGAAAATAAAGTTTGATTCCTTACTCCCTTTTCTTTTATCTCTTCCCCATCTTTCTATTGAGACATTCATCTCAGAAAGGTTTTTTTGGGGTATTATGAGCACCAGTCTTTAAGACGTAATTCATCTGGACATTCAGTGTTTGAAGTGTGTGTTTTGTGTGTGCTGATGTGTGCAGGGAGACATGGGCTCTGTTGGCTTTATGGGCTCACCAGGAATAACAGGACTCAAGGTAAATCATGCGGTTTTGTAGTCGTGTCTCTGTCTGGTTTTGGTATGGATCCAAAATAAATAGGGTACATTTTGATTGGTTAACCAGAATGTCTCCAAGTTGCGTTTGTGTTCACTTTGATGAGACGAAGTGACAAGTGGTTGGTGATTAGTTTATTCCACAGCCTCGGTAAACGCCAGGACTGCACATTAATATCTTTTTTTTTTTTTTATTATTATTTTGCCTCCCAGGGAGTACCTGGAAACCCTGGGGAACCAGGACTGAAAGGTGATAAGGTGATCTGCATATGTATTTTATCATTACTAACCTACAATATACAATAATCCTAGAGGTGACAAATCACAAAACCTTATTTTGGAGTCCTGAGAAAGCTAACCGATAACACAAACCCATGCACGGCTTGTGTAAACCCAGCGCTCGTGTGGTGCATGCTTACTGAATAATCTCTTTGCTAACATTTGGATTTGTTTATATTCTTTTGTGTTTTCTCAGGGGGATGATGGCTTAGCAGGGGAGCCAGGGGAGTGTGGATTCCAAGGGGACAAGGTGAGTCTATGTTTGTATGTGCTCAGGTGGTGCAGTGGGTCGCCCATGAATAATAGGATTAGTGTGCAATGCTTGGCTTCTCCTATCTGCATGTCAAAGTGTCCTTTAGCAACACCCTGATGTCCAGATTGCTCAGATGTTTGTGTGCATGGGTTAACAAATGGAAACTTCTTCTGCTACAAAAAACGCTATAAGTGCATTTCCTTTTAATCCGATTATAGAAAGTTGGTGTGTTTCTTTATCTGAGCAGCATGTTCATGTGGATGATTTTTTTTACTTCTACTTTAGACCCACTTGTTGTCTTGACTTGTTTATTCTGAGCTGGCTTTTGTTTTGCAGGGTATGCGCGGCTCCCTTGGGTTGCCGGGTCCTTCTGGAAAACCTGGACTACAGGTATTTTTTATCCCGCATTCAAACTACCAAAACAAAATATATTTGAAAAACTAGACTCTGGCATGGAAATCCCATTCAAGCATGCAGGTACATCCCATGCATTGTTATACGATATAAGAAACTCTACATGTATGCAACACCTAAAAAAGAGCTTAGTGCAGAGTTGGGATGTTAATCTCTACATTGTAAAGTTTTCCTTCATATAGAGATAATATTTATCTTAAGCAATTTCTTTTCATTCTTTTCATTCATTAAGTGTACTGTCTATCCAATGGAGCACACAGTGGTAGACGGCTCCTCTAGAATGTTGTCGTGGAGGCTATCTCTACCTTTTCTCTTTAGCTGATAAGAATTTTGTTCTGAAGGGCAAAGTAAGGCTTATGATGCACTCCAAAAAAAAATTGAAATCTTCAAATGTATACCAAAACAAACTTCAGGCACTCATGCATGCAAGATAACTTTGGTTCTAAGAAATGTATGTTATTCCATGAATAGCATGAACATCCCAGCAAAGAGTGGCAAATTCCCAGTGCATATGCTGCTTTAGCCTGAAGACTAATCACCAACATTGGCACGTGTGCGTTGTGAAGTGTCCTTAATATTTTGAGTGCTCCCTGATCTGATTTGAGATTCGAGCATGTAGTACCCGCTCTCTCCCCGGCCATACTCTTTCCTGCTATCAGAGTCTTACTTCAGCCATGGTATTGTCAATTTTGTTCAAGTTACTTTGAGGTGTGTGATCTGGATGATAACAGTGAGATCATTTGTGACATTTCTTAGGGCGAACCTGGTGAAAAGGGCCCTGATGGTTCACCAGGCCCTCCTGGCCCAGAGGTATTTAGTATTATGTTTTGACTAGGTGCATTATATGTATGTTGTTGTTGACAAAATGTGGTGTGCTACTGTATGGTGATGAAGCTTATTTCACAGGGTTTTCCAGGTGACATCGGCCCGCCAGGACAAAATGGCCCCGAAGGACCCACGGTTAGCAGAGCGACATTAACGATTTGGATGTGAATTGTCAGTGAGTAGAAATGAAGTGGAAGTTCACTCTCAGTGTTTCATCCACAGGGGAAGCAAGGGACAAGAGGTTTGCCAGGTCTAAGAGGAACGCTTGGTCTTCAGGTGAGGTTGACTTAACATATTTTGAAAATGAATAAAACATAGAAAGCTTTTTTTTTTTCTCTCTCCCTGACCTTTTGGTGACAATTCCTTTATCAGGGTGACGAGGGATCGGTCGGGCCTGCTGGACCCGCTGGACTCGAGGTGAGTGCTGATTGGATAAGCCCTGCGGCTTGAGACCAGTTATAAAATACAATAACAGTTATCTTTTAGGATGCACACACAAAACCTCAACAAGTGCACCACGTGTCTCTGCCTAAATTTAGCTTTGGAGGAGAAACTACGACCTGTCATGGACAGGAAGTCCTTTGGCTGACTGATGTCTCTGTTGTTCTGAAGCTGTTTTGAAAGACTTTCTTTTGGACGCTGTATAATTATATTGGTCAGCAAATTGCTGTGATCTTTACTATCATAAAAAGAACCCCAAACAATCATGTATAGTTTGTTTGTCACATTTACTTGTAAAAGATGATGGATTTTTTACCTAAATCCACACAATAATTCATTATATCGGTATCTACTCAGGAGTTCAAATGTGTAATTAAAGTAAAAAAATCTCAAATCGTCCTTTTTGTTGTTTGCTTTTCAAATATCTCCACCATACACAGATTTATATTCTCGATTAATAGCATCTTAACAATCTAGAAGAAGCAGTGCAAGACAGATTTGGGATTTTACACCATAGAAGAAGAATGCCTTTGAACCTTTCCGTATGAATAGAATCCACAGTGACTATCTTTGTGTCTAGTGCTGGTTTGGAGTCATCCCAGGCTAAACAATAGAGAAGACTCTTCCAATGAAGTCCTATCTTTTTCCAATGCTTGATTCCATTCGGCCCTCTCCCAAAAGTTGAACCCACAAGCGATTACCGAAAACAAACACGATGCCTTCAGTGAGTAATAAGAAGCCTTTGATGCTGCAAACGGCTCTCTGTTTAATGGATCATTAAGTTTCTTCGAGGCATGCTTTTGCTTTGGCATCAACAGTTGGTTTTGTTTTTGTGCCGCCGGCCTCGAGAGGGACGGCAGACTGCACCTTTTACAGGAGACATAGAGAGTTTATTGTTTAGTGTGGAGCTGCAGTACACTTCTCTGTCATTTTTGCTTTCTGCTCAGGGCAGGCCTGCGAGGCAGGGATTCCCTGGACTGACAGGCCCAGATGGACTCAAGGTCAGACCCAATATTCACACATCCACCGCCGAACTACTGTCATCCTTAACTGAACATTCTCTCCGCGGCTTTCATTTATGATAATGTATCATCCGAATATGTGTAAATTAGATGTTAATTCTCCGTTACCACAGGGGAACGGCCCTCCAAGCACATTTCGACTGATTTGAACTCAAAAAACGAAAGGCATGACTAAGTTTGTGATATGCTAATTGGCTGCTTTGCTGTAGGGCGAGACCGGGATAACTGGCGAGGTTGGAAAAGTTGGCGAGAGGGTAAAGGCTTCTCTCTCCTCTTTCTGCTGATATTTCTGTTTGATGCTCACTGTGTGTCTGTTATGTTGGAGTCCCAAAGCTGTGCTGCCCATTATGAGAAATAGAACTTCAATAGAAATAAGAGACGGCTAAGACAGCACATTTTCTGTCCTGCAGGGACTGCCTGGTTTTGTCGGGCCTGTTGGAGAGACTGGCGTCGGAGGAGAAAAGGTTAGCGCTTTCTCAATTTGTCACACTTGGCTGGTATCGCAAATTGTTCTTGTCCAACTTTGATTTCGAGTCTGTTAAATTGCTCTCTGTTGATGTAGCATGCGATTAATGCTGAAACAAGAAGTCAATTACACATTATTTTAGAATCAATGCCGTCTGGTTCCAGCCTCGCAGACGTGCAGATTTGCTGCTTTTTTTTCTGTATTATGTGATTGTAAATTAAATAATGTTGGACTGTTGGTCAGAATTTGGAACAGCAAATTGAAGGCATCACTTCATTTTTGTGATTTTATATTTTGTAGACCGGACGCTTAATCATTTAATCCATCGACAGTTAATCAATGTTCCCCTAATTGTGGCTTTTGGCTCTCCAGGGGGATCGAGGCAAAACAGGTGGCCCAGGGCTGCCAGGTGAAACGGGGCCGATGGTAAGGAGTAAGTCTGGACCCCGTCTCTCCTACCAGGGGGAACTCAATTTGACAGACGTAAGGGATGGGGGTGCGATATGTTCGGAGAGACAGATTAAAGTTACTAAACATCAATCATCTAAAAGGCAGATAATATAAGGCCATCCAGTTTAGTCAGAAATATGAGAGCTAATTTAAGATTGTATTTGATGAATCATAGGCAGTAGATATCATTCGACTAATGTTGCATCCATCAGGGTCACACTGGAATACCTGGGGAGACTGGACCACCTGGACTGCAAGGGATCCCAGTAAGTTACTGCTATCATTGTCAGAGCTTCATGTGCACTGAATTTAAAGCAGAGACCACACTGCCGGTTGTGTGGTCCAGAGTATCTGGTTCTTTTCTGTTACTCAACGCCAGGATGAAAAGCAGAGTTTCACTCTCTGGTTGAAAGACACACGAACAGACTTTTGTTACGCAACCCATGTTCTAAACTAACACTTTGAAACTACGTAACAAAATGACTTATTTTAACCCAAACCACAATCTCTTCCTGAATCTAGTAGATTTGTTGCCTGAACCTGAAGCTGTTTTGTTTAATTTCACAACATTACGTTTCAAATGTACTGCGCTGCCCTTCTGACATCCAACAGTGATGTCACGGTGTACTGACACCGCCCTGAAGTACACGTCTACATCACTGCAGCAAAGTGAGAAGTTAAACCACTGGAGTTCAGCAAAAATAAGATATTCAGCTGGTGTTAATTACTCTTTAACAAAAATCCCTTATTGAATGACTACATCAGTCTGACCTCTATAAAGTCACTTAAAAAGCAGCCTGTGATAGTCAACATTATATTAAAGAACTAAACTGCTGAATGCTGTCAAAATAGGTTGTGTAGAAAGTTAATGAAGATGAGAATGAAACTGAGACAACTTTGCCTTGTATCTTAGTTTGTAAAGTTTGCTCCAGTTTTAACTCAAAGAACATTTTTTCACACACATTCAGGGGCCTCCTGGTTCACTTGGATCCATCGGCATCAGAGGACCCAAAGGCAGGACGGTAAGCTACTTAAATCTGTGTTAAAACTTTATATAACCATTCGGTGATTACGTACTGTTGTCTGTTACCAACCAATATGACACAACAATACAATCTACACCCGATTCATGGACTCGGCATCATGGCTTTAGGGACTGAAATTCACTGAAATATGCCTACAGCTCTGATGGATCGCCATGACATTTTGGTCCCCAGCCTCGGCTCACACTTAGTTTCGTGATAATTAGCAGTGTTAGCATGCTAACACTGCTAAACTAAAAGATGTGGGACATGATAGACGTTATTCCTGCTAAACATCAGCATGACAGCATTGTCATTGTGAGCATTTGCTGGTATGTCTTTCCCCAGGTTTGTATTTTTAGTTTATTTGCAATAAATGTAAGAAGAAGAACTGTGTAACTTTCCAGTAGGCAACATAAGAAGTGATGGGCCCCTTGAATGAAGAGACCATGAATGAGCACAAAACAGAGAAGCCCTGAACTTATTGTAGATAAATAATGAAATAAAATGCAACCATCAGATAATTACATCTCTTTGAAGTGCAGAGCAAAAACACCAAAGCGAGGATTGCTTAGCAACCTTCCCCAAAGAATAAAAAAAGACCTTAAAAATAACAATAATAAATAATAATAATAAATAAAAAAAGGACAAAATATCTGTACATAGTCACAACAACTTGAATGTGTTGGTAAATTCTAACATTCTAAGTGAGGCTTGTCCAAACTAAACACCCTGGATTTTCTGTACATGGAAATGTGTATGTGTGTTACTGTGTGTGTGTGTGTGTGTGTGTGTGTGTGTGTGTGTGCCAGCTCAGGATGATTCCAGTGGTCGCTGGCTTTTCCATAATTGAGTTTTGTAATTTGGAAAAAATGTCTCATGGTTGCACAGCGGGATCATTGGACTGAATGAATAATTGATCTAACATAAATAAGTGGTATAATTAACGCATTTCACCCCGATTGGTTTTACATGGCTCCCCTGATATCACAAGCAGTCACAAGCGTCATATTTTACGACTATAATAGCTGAACATTACATCAAGGCTTTGGAAATTAGAATTAACACCAACACGATGAAACTCCAAATCTACTCCTTACATTGTCTGAAGTAATTCTCTGTCAACAAGGAGTGGGGGAAAAAAACAGTAACAACCTTTTCCTGTGCTCAAAGTTTTGTAATAATAATTGCGATATTGCCTATTTGGAGGATGTATCCAATCCTGTTACTTTACTTCTTGTTTTCTCTGATATCTTGTGAAGTTTTTTAATTTTTTCCTCGAGAGCGTTTTGTCACACTGAATCTGCCGAGCCCCCATTCAAACTGAGTCCACTGAATTTAATTGTGATGCATATCTCTGATATGTAAACATGTCATTTCCATCATTTTGTCAGGCTTTCATTGTACTCTTCAGGTAAAAAAAAGCCCTCAAACTAGTGGACTTTAAAGAGCAAAAAGAACGGGGGGGAAGCGAGTGTGTTTCCCCCTAAGATGCTTGCTGGTGTTGAATTAATCAGAAAAACTGATTATAGAAGCTGAAATAGATGGTACATGTCTGCACTATAAAACATCTTATTAAGTCACATAGTCAATTGTTTTCCCCTCGAAAAAATTATGTTTTTTTTAAGTGACAATAACTTGAAATAAGACAGATCACTCGCCCAGTACCACAAAGGCAGGTCTTGATTAGTGCTTATTTAAATTGCCCTAAAAAAGTAGTTATCCACTGTTATGTGTTATTCTGTTATGTCACTCAATATTAAATTGACTGGAATTAGTTTCTCAGTGAATACAATTTGACTTTCTCAAACAACAGTAATTGAAAATTAACAGGCAGAAAAGGACATCACAAGGTCAGCTTTATTCATGTAATGATTCAAAATACTTTCGATGCTCACACTGCTTATTCAAATTGATTCATATTCTCAACAAAGGTCTTTAATTATTTTGTCTGTTATTAGCAAGCAGCGGTGAAATGATCAAGGCCTTAAATAGGTGTGAGCTGCATTCTGCTCTTGTTCTGGTTTGGATCATTATTATATATACAGATGCTTACATGGACAGACAGAAAAAGACACAGTCAGAGTCCTCTAATGTTTCCTAACAGCGAATAGTTTGGTCCAGTTTATAGGCAACGATGAATCAGCTGCAGGATTTGTGACCTTTTCCCAAGGCGTCTTTACAATAAGCCCAGTGTGCAGGCGGGGCCACTGTGTGTGTGGCGGTGGAAAGATGGGGACAAAGTCCACACAGTGCGGATTGGACTGTGAATCGGAGCTAATTTGCACATGCCAAGTATTTGCAAAATAGCCACAACTTTTGACAGAGTGGCTGCGATATGGCCTTAACCACAGGAAACAAAGAAAGCTGCCTCCCAGGCTCCACTAGATAGGGATGACAAAAATGGAGATTAAGTGCCCTAATTCATTGACTTAATATGTTAAACAACGTCTGCCTGAGGTCTGTTAAAGGGCAAATTTTCCCAAGCTATTCATCAATGACGAATTTATGTTCTTTCTAAAGGGTCCGAGAGGTCCTGATGGGCCAGTGGGGGAGAAAGGGTCCACAGGAGTAAAGGTGAGCACGTGGTCAGAAGGTGGAAGTTGACAACGATTGATAAACTTTCTCTCAGGGTCTCGGATTGTGTTCCAGTTTGTGGCTCTTTATTGATAATGTTACATGCCTGCCTCAGAGAAATGTCTGGCCTTCAACTCTCTTATTGCACACATCAAGTCTGTCCCACGGCAAGCTAGGGTAAACACAGTGGCACTTCTTTCTGTAACAGAGCGAGAGAAAAACAATCAGGAGAACTTTTACAAGCAGCTTTGTTCAGCAGACTGTAATTATTAACTATTTTTAACATCTAAAGATTCTTTAGAGGACGCTCTTTGTAAGCTGCGAGTCTAACAACGGAACCTTAAATCAAAGAGGACTAAAATATTGATGGTGGTGGTAGTGCTTGGCAGTCGGGAACATTTTAACTCTGGGGGATTTCAGAGAGCTCAGTTTACTGAGTTGCATGTTTTCTTTGCAGGGCCCTGATGGTCCACCAGGAAAATTGGGCCTCCCCGGGGACATGGTGAGAGAAATTGTTCTTTTTTTTTGCTTTCCCCTCATAACAGTAATAGCATCATTAGCAGTATTAGCACAATCCTCATTATATTTGACCTTTTGAAGTCCTCAAGGAATAAGGAGTGTGGTGCTTTAGTGCTAGTGAACAGTACAATGACCATCTCATTAAAGCATACACAGTGAAGCAGTCATACAGCACGCTTAATGGCACATATAGTATATGATCATGTAAGATATGGCATGTCGTCATTCATTTCTCCTTCTGGTTTGACTGCTATACCTTCCGATTATTTCTTGTTGGTACAGTCACAATTTGGTGCATTCCCAAATGGCTAATTGGCCCCTAGAGATATTTAATAATTGCAAAAAATGATAATTCAGATGACAGATTAACTATTTTGATAATCAAGTATCATTTATCTATACTATGGGTGCCAGACAAATGTAGTCAATTAATAATTAGTTATTAATAAATGTATTTCTTTACTTCTGACCAATGATCAATTAAAGTCCTTTATCAAGCAAGCGTGCCAAACATTCATGACCTGGTTATTATGTAAAGGAGGAGACAAGACAGTGAACTAAGCCTGCTGCCCATGCCTCTTTAACCCTCCATTAGTTTGACATGTTGAACTTATTTTCCCCTTTGTGTCGTTGTGCTGCAGGGCAAGCTTGGCGAGCCAGGTGAAGCCGGGCCAAAGGGATTCCCAGTAAGTGTTTGAGGCTATCAGAGGTCTCTTTCAGACTTGATTTTTGGGGTGGACTCATTTTGGGGAGCAGTGGTGGATACGTGAGGCCCTGTGTGTCACACTTTGACTCTAGTGGGTGTTGTAGCATTTCATCATGTTTGTGAATACCAATAGTGTCTGTATTATGAACCCTGGAACTCTTTTCAGGGTGTTCAAGGCCCCTCTGGACCTCCAGGGGCCAAAGGAATTGCAGGAGAGCCAGTGAGTTTATTACATACATTTTGTTTCCATATTTGAGAATCATACTATGACCTTTTATGCAATTTTCTATGGCATACGATACTATGACATTTAGCATAAAGCATACCATGAAATACTATACTGTGACTCTTTTATGACTTATATGACATGATGACTTTCTATTTCAGTTTTTTAATGGCATACTATACTTTGACATTTTTTATGATGTTTTTTTATGGCGTTTTACTCTGACTTATTTTCTAACATTTTTTATGACATTTTTCATGGCATTCTATGTCATGACAGTTTTTAAAACAGTGTTGGGATTTCATTTATATGGACTATAAACTTGTGTTTTTATGGTATACTATACTATGAATTCTTTCTGACGTGTCATACTCTTGTCTACTATGACTATTTTTATAACATTCTTTTAGGATTTTCTTTAATGTAATTCTATACTATGACATTTTATAATCTACTATGGCATGTGGCTCTCCGGCACGCACTGTGAACTATTCTTCCTTCCCATTGCATATAAACTCAGAATTTCAACTTTGACACTTTTTTATTCACTGCTTCATGAAACCCATATCCTGCTCCAAAAAGCCCTGAACAACCTAATCGACTTTCTCTCATTCTGCCCAAGTCTCACAGACACAAGCAGAGAAGTAGAGAGTCCGAGACTATTTGATTTACACCACCCCCGTCCTGGAGAGGCAGCTTTATTGTAGCCTGAATGTGTCTCTGTAACAGCAGGCCTGTTTCCATCACTTACAGAAGCTTTGGCTCAGTGTTTTGAAGGCTGTTAGCCCCGCAGATTAACTTATCTCTCCAAATACGCACTTTCTTCCTGGTTCTTATTTCTTTTCGCATTTTTCTTCCTTCACCGTCACTTTCAGAGGCATTTGTCCAAGATTAGAAAGCACTCTTAACCTTTTTATTGGTGCCTCTGCTTTGTCGCCGCAGGGACCAGCAGGGCCATCAGGAACGATTGGGCCACTGGGGGCGATGGGGCCATGGGTGAGCTTGATCCCGCTGCTGCTGGTGCAAGAAAGCCATTGACTTTTACGAAGGCAGCGAATACTAAAGGCTGTCGCTGTTTTTGACAGGGGCCGCTGGGGAGGGCCGGAGAGAGAGGACTGCCTGGTGAACTGGGAGAGCAGGTGAAGATGAGGAGGGAGCACCTCCCGTTCTATGCAAACATATCAGTGCCTCTATCCAGAAAGACAGATGATGCATTTGAGAGAGAAAAAATAATGCACATGAATTTTATTTTGTACAGAAATTATTATCAGGCTTAATGGTTACTAGGGAAGTAGGGAAAGCACAAGGAGAGGGTTAAGTAACTACTGACTAAGCTAAATTTCCTATTGAAATTTCATGGAGGTTTGTGAAACTATTCTACTTGTTTAGCAGTTTTTTTTTTTCTGTGCTCAAAATGTGCTGAAAAAAATGGTGGAAGCAAAGCTTGTACATCAAGAGATACAAAACATCACCAATGTCATAACCATCATGCTTCTTCTGCTGACAGGGCGACATCGGTCTACCTGGCAACATCGGGGAGCAGGGTTTGATTGGCCAGAGAGTAAGGAACACACTTTTTCTTTCTGTAAAATTATGAGTGAAAGAGTTTTTTTTTTGAAGAACCCTTAAAAATATTTAAAAGAAGACATTTGTTGTTGCAACAAAGAGCAAACAAATTGGTACATTTTGTTTTTCAAAATGTACCAATTTATGTACTCTAATACAGTTTTGCCAATGTTTGGCCATCTGTGTCTGCTTCCTGTGATCACTGTCGTTGTAACACATAAAAATATTATTGCGACCATAATATATTTTATGATTTGTCCGTCAGGGTGAGCCAGGCATCGATGGGGAGGCTGGACTAAGTGGACCCGATGGAGCCAAGGCAAGTTCAAAAATAAAAGACATGCTGTGACTTATAATTTGATTTATCTGTCCCTTTAAAAAGCCAAGTGCTTTTCACTGTCTAGGGACACAGTAAAGGAATAAAATACGATGCTTCACGACTTCGGCCGGTTGTCAAATTTCTGTCAATAACTTCAACACAGATTAATTCTTTCCTGATTCCTATGTCTGTGAACCCAGGGAACTCTCCAGTCTACTGGAGCAGCTTATTGTAATTAGGGCAAGTCGACCATTGTTTGTGAGGTATTGGCTTTTGTACAGTTGGAGCTGCATTGTGTTGACGCTTAGTGAAAACAGATAGCGGGGCTATTTTAGGAGCTCCAAAGTCTGGCAAGTATTGTGACAGAAAAAAAAAAAGATGGAAAGTACAAAAAGCCTGCCTATTCAGCAGAGCCGCACTGCTGGAAGTATAGCTGACAGACCCACAAACAGTGTTTGGCTTGGAGAAGGCGGTAAAATGTGAGCACAGAGGACACTGAGGATTAGAATAGACTCAACCTGAGTGTCGGACGTTTTCTGTTAGTCAGGAGGGTAAACTATACTTTGAGGGCTTCTTGGCCAGAGTGCAGCTTCTGGATGGAAAGCGGCAGCCCAAGAGGAATGTCATGGTTCATTGTCTTATTAGTTAGGCAAATTTAAAAACTGAAATTCAGCAAATAATTAGAGGATTCAAACATTATTTTGCCTCCCTCCAGCAGTCTGAAGCAAATTCAATTCCAAATTCTAGAGATTGAGTCCCATATAGCAAAAGCCTGTTGGATTGTACATCTGCAATATCAGAGATAACCCACTTTTGTTTCTTAATACATCTCCTTTGGGTTGGCTAGGTTGAATAAAAAGTCTAAGAAATGAAGTGGAAGCAAAGAGTTTTTGGATACAGGACTTGGAAGTACAGCAGAAGCTACAGAGAATTAAATGTTAAGTCAAAACTAAAACCACGTCTTAACAGAAAATCGAACTACAGGTTTGTCAGTGCCTCGTAAACTTCATGCTGTTCACTAGAATATTCAGTCAGTGGGACCACAATTCTTTGGTTTTCATTTTGTCTCCCCGACGGGTGTTTCTGCTGCTTCTCCAGTTTTTCTATATCAGATATTTCCTCTTGGAAATATGTGATATCTTCCTCCAGTCGGTTGGACAGCTGTCTACAAAACAGCTTGTCCGCTATGAAGGGTTGGTTGGCCAACAATCTTCACAGCGAAATTGCAACAAAACTGAAGTCCTCATGGTCAGTTCGGATTAATGTGCCAAGTGATGCACCTTGTACATCATGTCAAACTCTTGAAAATCTTTCAAAATGACAGCAGTTGTGTCTAATAAATCAGTCATGTTACTACCGTAACTCTCTGTTTACATGCCAAACCCGTCAGTGTACGAACCAGAGCTAGTTCAGAATGCTGTATCAAGAGTTTTATGTAAAGCCAGATGTAGAGCTCAGATCTCCACTCGTCCTTGCGTCACATCTTTGTGCCGTGAGAATACTGCATACAGTTTAAGATTTTATTCATAACCTGCTGCTGCTCAGATTGGTAGACTCAAAGCTCTATACGCTACAGACTGCACTCGGCAATCTGGAATAACATGAAAACCTGTAAGCACACACAGAGCTTTCATTGATATATGTCATATATTTATTGGATATCACTCTTTTTTCCACTCTGAACAGGCCAAAATCCTGGTTAGGGTAACTCAATTGTCTATCACTCTATTCAATGGGCTGCTGCTCTTCTCAGGGTGACATGGGGGATGCTGGTCAAGAAGGCACTGAAGGAGACAGGGGTGAAATCGGTCTGCAAGGAAAGGAAGGACCCTCTGGGTCTCCCGGATTGGTCGGTGTCAGGGTGAGTGTCTCGGCGGCACAACTGCAAATTTCATTCATTTCCCATGAAGAGACTCTTTTTCGTCCACTTACAACCCTGTTTCGATTCTTCTACCAGGGTCAGGAAGGTAAACCTGGTAGTGTTGGTGAAAGAGGAAAACCAGGAGAAAAGGTTTGTCAGTTCACTTGCTTGGAGCTTAAATCCACCTTTCGTTCTTGGACGTCTGTCTAATTTGCAGTCTTGTACAAGCGGTTGAACGGTTCTCTGCTGTAGTGGTAAACAAACAGCAACAGTTCAGTCCATGTCAAATAGACTTTCAGTATTAAATGTTGTTTTTTGCCAAACTACCTGCATCACTGTTGGGGGTAAACTTTCTCTTTGATGGCCTCCCTCCAGGGGAGCAAGGGTCACCAAGGTCACCTGGGTGAGCCCGGGTCAACTGGTGAGCACGGAGAGATGGGGTTTGTCGGACAGAAGGGAGCGAGAGGAACCATCGGGCCAGTGGTGAGACATAGTTTCAAGGACTTGCTTGCTTGTTGATGGATGTGGGCTAAATGTGTTGTGTATATATATATATATATATATATATATATATTTATTTATTTATTTATATTTCCCCAGGGTGCTCCAGGGAGAATGGGCCAACAAGGAGATCCAGGCATATCAGGTTACGAGGTAAGAACAGTGATGCAATAATGCGGGAGGTTATAAAAGTGACCGGCCGACTGCAGCTCCAAACCTTACAAACGTCTTATATCTGCCGTCTATTCCATAAATGTTAAAAACGGTGACAATCAGCATTATTAAGCCTCTACATTAAAGGCCTATTTGATATATAAAACTATGGCACCACTTTATATGAATGTCATGTCTATAATACATAATAAGCATATATATATATATATATGGCTTTATAAAACTCTTTCATAAATCTGTCTAATCATGCATGAAAATGTATTACAGGGTTTATAAAGTATTTTAAGTGGTGGACTTAATGTGTTATAAGTTCAGCATTCATGATGCGTTATACCTCCGTGCCAGAGTGATAGAAAGAAGAATCTGATTCGTGGGTTACACAACGCATTTTAACTACCATGACGCATTATGAAGGATTAACTTATAATACATTACGTCCACCATTGATAGTACCTTTTAAACTTTAAAAAAAGCTGTCACAAGTTGTCATGCATGATTATGAATGTTTTAAAATGCGTTGTAATTGTGACGGTTCACCATGTGGGTTTAGGAGTGGAGCAGAGACTCAGGCGCAGACTTAGACACAGGACACAAGGTGAGGTGAAATGCAAGGCTCTTTACTGGGCACTTTAAGCAGTCAAAAACAGAAACCAAAAACTACTCCAACCGGGAGCACGAAAAATCCAAACTGAAAAATAAAAAGCAAAGTCACAAAAGGGGCTTGGTCACAAAAGGGGCTTGGTCACAAAAGGCAAAGACACAAACCGTGGGAGACAGAGAGTCAACACGAGGAAGAACCACTGCAGATGAGACGAGTCCACGGGGAGGGAAACAAAGAACAATTGATAATCCGGCACTGGAACAGGGCAAGCAGGGGAGTATAAGTATGTGAGGGGTGATGAGCGGATTGCTGGCAGGTGAGTGGAGATGAGTGGGGTTTGCAGAGGGAAAAGCCAGGGGCAGGTGATTTGGCACAGGTGGAGAGAATGAGCATGATCAGGAGAGACACACACACACACATAGCAAAACCCAACCGTGACAGTAATGTCTTATGAGTTAGCTTATAATGCATTGTGGACATGACCTTAATATGAAGGTTTTCCAAATCTTTTATGTTTGTGCCACTTAGTAGTGTATACACAATGTAATGTCGGATGGGTAACCCCCACATGAAAAGCCCAAAACAAGAAAGTTGCCTCGTTGACAGATACAAAACCTGTTGAAGATGTCATGTTGAAACATCTTCGTCGTATTCACTCAATCTTTATGGGTCGGATTAGTGTGTGTGGGATTTTTTTCTTTGTATCATTTCCACATTTTTCACTGAGAAACCCAAAGCGCTTCTTCTCTCTCACAAACCAAAAGCTTGGATTGATTTTTGGAAGGTGATTCATCGAGATACATATTTCATACATTATTGAATGATAAAATTGACCCGCGACGACAATACGGTGTCTGTATTGTCCTGGTGTTGATGAATCACAGGCTGGATCTCAGTTGCTGTGGGGTTTTGTTCTTCCCCTTCTCTCCACACTCGGTGGGATCCGATACTCTGATGATGTGCCGTTTTGGCTGATTTGATTTTTTTTTAAGTGCAGATTGAATCACTCGTCTTTCTTCAGCCAATGACTTAACTTTGATTTCTCATGATTCTGTTTGAACCAGGGTAACATAAGACATCTTATCTTGATTAATGGCAGTGTGGATAGAGGTAAAACCTTTTACAATTTCAATTATTTATTTGTCTTAAAGTTGACCACTAGAGGGCAGAAAGTAGACACCAAAACAATATTTGTTGCGTCCCAAGGACACACAAGGACATACAAGAAAAAGCAATTAAAAAGCGAGTGTCGTGTTGATTTCTAGCGAGCAGTGTCTGCTTGCAGCTAGTTGAACATACGTCTCCTCTAGCTAACCATACCAGCGAAGAAGTCACTTTATTTTTGCCAGTTCTGGGGCGATGGGGGGAGCTTTTCATTTACAGTGGATTCTTTTACAAAATGTGTTTTCTTACTTCTTGTGCAAAAGAGATAAAAAAAAAAAAATTTGTAAATTGCAATAAAACTAGTTATTATCTGTATGTGCGCATAATCTATTCCGGATAAGATTGGTGATGAGAAATTGATCATGGCAGAGTTGAAACCACAGTATAATCAAATTTTTGACGCATATAACCGTGACTTGGCTGATGGGTCTTCAAATTGCATTCTCCATGGCAACAAAAGATTAAGTGTTGATTGATGACATTGGTGCATTATCAGTTTACAGACTGGGGACGGGGAGATTTTTTTTCTCCCCGTCCGTCTCTCTACCTCGACTCGGTCTGTTTCTCCACATTACCGACACAATATTTCACACAGTGAGTTGGGAGTGAAGGCTGGGAGGTTACAGTCTCAAACTCTTCTTCCTGTCGTAGGGTCACATGGGACCGCAGGGCCCCCTTGGACCTCCTGGGCCAAAAGGTGAAAAGGTAGTTGACCACATTTACTTGCTGTCTCTAATCGCCGTCTGCACTTTGATTGTGTCTAATGAGCTCTGTAGACCTGGAATGATTGCATTACTTAACAATGTAAAACTGTCGCGCAGGTCATTGTCTTTGAGCGGTCACTTATTTTGATGCATTGGTTCTTCAGTTGTGTCCCTAATTAGTGCTTCCTCTGTCTGTCTTGTCCTTGCAATATTCCTAAAGTCATCCCTGATTTGATCATTGATATGAACTAGGACACATCCAATTAACTCGGTGCTGTCAAATGTATATAATCAGCCAAGCACCTGGTCTGCTCATGATTTTGGGGGATATTAGCAACATAATTTGTGTTTATTTGACAGGAGCAGCACAAAATGGAACACGCCACACTACAGTTTAGAGAGACGCTAATTTGCATGTTTTTTGTTTTGTAGTCCCTGGGCAGGAGCCATCTGGATGTGGATATTTGTGACTTTCTCTATGCCAATATCCACAAAGTAATGGCCATGCTTGCGTTCTAATTAAATCAGTATCAAGCTATCACGCCGGTTGTTGCAAAATGTATAATTGTCAATTGAGTGAGACAGGTAACCCTGGCACTAAAACATGCTGCCGATAAATACACATCTGTATCGCAGTTATATTGAAAGCACTAATGCTACGATAAATTGCTTTAATGCCTGTAAGTGTCAGCTGTGCTTGGCCCCTGGCCATCACTAATTATTCTCCTACTTTTGGATGCCTGTTGGGCTCCACGTTTTTATTTATTTCATACGACACATGCACCACACATGACTATTACAATCATACACACATCCGTGGTTATTGTTTAATGAAGCCCATAAAAACCCCCCGAAACAGAGATTGCCTCCGTTTATGTGAAATGGGATCATTGTGGGTAATAGCGCATGTAATTATTTGCCATTCATACAAAGAGAGCGGGCGATGTGTTTCCTTTGTTGTATTACATGCATTGATTTTGCACAAATCATTGGGTTTTGGGCAAAATTCCATTGACTGTGGTCGTGCGTCTGCGCCTGTATTGCTTGTTTAGGGGGAGCAGGGAGACGACAGCAAGGTAGAAGGTCCGGCAGGTCCCCAAGGTGACAGAGTGAGTTTCTTACATAAACCTGTTTTTTCCTGTGTCATTTGTTCGTGGTTAGTCTGGATTGTTCCATTCATTTGTTTCCATATGAACCCAGGGTCCTCCTGGAAACAGAGGAGAGAGAGGAGAGCCAGGTGATAGCGGACACTTTGTAAGTGAAATATTAATAAACGGACATGTTGTTATTGACTTCAGGTAAAGTGTCAATTACATTCAAGTGCTTTCTGTACATTGACACGCAGAAACGTATTTATTTCAGGGTGAAATAGGCATCGATGGAAAGAGAGGTGAAGCTGGTGCCTCGGGGCTTCCTGTAAGTATCTTATTTATATCTCTTAAGATGTAAAAGATTTATTGACATTGTGTCATATTGTCCAAACACAATCAGTGTAATTCAAATCAAACGGCAATGATCATTTTAGGGACACTCTGGGCCAAAGGGACAACCGGGCCTCAAAGGATCCAAAGGTGACCAAGTAAGGACAGACAGATAGTGGCATGGTTTTGTTATTAGAAAGCTCAATTACTTAACACGATATTAGTGGACTGTATTTACTGCCATGCAACCATGTAAGAACTGTGGAACATGAACTCTCAATACTCCAGGGTCAGAAAGGAAAATCAGGGGCGAGAGGTGCATCTGGGACCAAAGGACCACCAGTGAGTTTGATACATATCTCAGTTTATAATCAGACATAACACACAGTGGAGCTGTCATATTTAAAACCAATGCAAGCTTTGACATTACGATTGTCTCTTCTAAGGGTCCTGAGGGTCCTCTTGGCCCACGAGGAGTTGTGGGCAGGGAGGGACTTGAGGGCCTGTCTGGCATGGATGGAGTGCCTGGTAAAGATGGAACTAAAGGAGTCGAGGTGAGGACACTGCCAGCGGTTCACCTTTCCAAGGAATGAAAAAAAAAAAATCTCATCATTGTTCACTAAACAATGTATGATAATAAATGATCCTTGATTCCTTGAATCTTTGGTGTTAAGGGGGAGCAAGGAGAAGATGGAGAAGTGGGCTTACCTGGCAAACCTGGGCAGCAGGGCTCAACCGGTGAGATGGGGCTTCCTGGAAGTCAAGGCTCCTTTGGACCAAAGGTGGGAATGATGGGTGGACAATTTGTACACTTTTTTCTTCATTTTAGTTGCTTGAGTTTGTTGGGCAAAGTCTGTGCCAACTCTGCTGTAAGCTGCCAGGGTGGCCTTCCTTGGCGCCAACCGTGCCGTCTTTATGTTTGGACTGTTTTCTAATCTCCAATGCCACCATATTTTTATAGACCTCATTTTCACAGCAACAGCTGCAGAAAGTAAGTGTTGCAAATATTAACGAGTTGGCATAGTCTTAGTTTTCATGGCCTTGCCAATGTAACATTAAAGTTACATAAGCATAACAGTGAGAAACATAGGGAGGCTTTATTTGTTAGTATTTTAAAAGGCCGCCCAGTTGAGATAAGACTTGGGTTGCTACCCCACTTAATGCAATAATAAGTGTGGTGGGAAGCCAGTGAGGGACCACGAGCTTGTCGCTGCACCAGCGGCTTATACCGGTCGGTCTGGTGTCTGATTAGAGGTTACTTGGTGGGAGGATGCGCACGTGTTTATGTGTGTTTGTGTCTGTTCTCCAGGGTGAGAGGGGTCTTCCAGGTCAAACTGGTGCTTCAGGGAAAAAAGGCTCTATTGGCGGGATGGGATTGCCAGGACAACACGGAGAGCAGGGACCTGAAGGGCAACCAGTGAGCACTAATTTGTGAAATAACTTAAATTTCCTTTACACGACAACTTTTTCTGCTTGTTCAGTAATGAAGATGAACATGCTTTCTTTTCACTGTTTATCAGGGGGTTACTGGTGACCAAGGATTTCCAGGGGTGTTGGGTCTGTTTGGACCAAAGGTATGTGCACCCGTTAAGCTCCACTCGCAAACAAAGTGATGAACTTCAGGTCAATCAGACCTATAAAGTTGTAGTGTTCCAGTCTGAACAAAGTTGTTGATGGTGATATGACTCGGAATGACCCAAAAGCAATTTCTGGGTATAACTCACATTTTGGTTGAAGTGCTTTTGTGAAGTTTGAGGTTTTCAAATTGTCTGGAGGTACATTGCATTACCTTGTCTTCAGTGAAAAATTGATACAAAAGCTGTTCTGTATTACTGTAACATGCCCCAGGATGACATCTGCTGCACCATAAGTCTGCTTTACTTACAGCACTGCTGCAGTATAGATTATTGCCAGCTGAAGAAACAGAACAGGCTTTCCTGCAGTCTCGCTCTTTAATGTAAACCCTGAGGGATCTTGGATACTTTCCTACTGTGGGAGTTGAACAGTTGAGCAGACGAGCTTTGTGTTAGTTGATCAGTGGAGTTTAGTGTAATTGGTCTAACTCAGGAGCAATGAGTATGGATAATTGGAGTTAAGTCATCAGATAAAAGTGCAGGCTCTGAAACAAAACATCTCAAGTCCTGGCGTGATGTTGAATGGCTGCAATGCAACAATATTGACCCTGTTCTAGATAGGAGATGAAGTTGTTTACGCTAGTTTCTTATAGAACTTTTCCACTTGGATTTACTACATTAATCAAACTTTATTATAGCGCTATTATGATAAAAGCACTGTGCTGCAAACCATTTATTTTTACAGCTTTATTAGAGTAGATTGAAACTGGTAGCGCGTGTGTCGTTAAGCAGTGAGGTAGCTGTTTGCAGTGGTGTATGAAAATGTTACATCTTTCATAATGTGCCCTAACAGAACGCTTTTTGTATGAGGCTGCCAGTGGATTAATATAGGAGAATTGCATCACAGTTTCTGAAGGGGCTTTGGGTTTACCGCTCTCAAAGAACAAGGGACAACCTTGGAGGAGGTGATGAGGAGGGTTGAGTGAAGTGACAATCATCCTCCTCAGAGTAACAGGCTGAGACTGCTTTCAGAGACGCAAACGTGAACATCTTCATAATAAAGTGTCATTAGCATTAGCAATTAGCATTAGCAATTAGTCTGAAAATAGGTGCGTTTTCTGAGAGCCACCACCTAGTGGCCATTAGAGGAACAGTAGGTTAAGACATCTCACTTGTTTTAGCGTTTCACATGGTGGTTGCCATTTGCTAACCGCAGAGAAATGTGTCAATGTAACAAATCCTGCTTCTTGTCAATGAGGGTTATTGAAAAGTCAATATGTGTTTAACCTTTAGACTTACCATATCTTATCTCCGGTTATAAACTATAAATATTTGTCTTTCGAGGGACCCCTGGGAGACATTGGCCCAGCAGGGATACAGGGACCAAAAGGACCACGTGGTTTGTTGGTAAGATGAAGATTAATGGTAGTTTGGTAACTGTGCAGTTTTTCAGCCAACACCAGTGCACTGAACTCTCACAAACTGCATACTTCCCATGAAAAATAAACAGTAGCTTCATAAGATACTCCATCATATGTGTCGTCAAGTCACGAACATGCTTCTGCTTTCCAGGGTATGGAGGGAGCTTTGGGCCCCGTTGGCATCATTGGCCCCAGCGGTCATCCTGTATGTACCTCATATCTCATCCTATCTGCCAAGCTTTGTGTGACTTCTCTCTGCTTTTTTGGCAGTGATGGAGTGATCCTCTTTCTCTTTTCTCTCCATCAGGGACCCACGGGTGACAAAGGAAGTCGGGGGGAGACGGTGCGTGGTGATGTTTTGATGAATCATTTTGTCTGTACTTTGAGCACAGAATAGGATACTTAGTATGGAGACGGCACACCACTCGGCCTGCTTTGCCCTCAGCACTTTTCATTTCCTATTGTGCTCCACTGTTTGTTCTTTACACTCACAGTGACACTGAGCTGGAATTCCTGTCAGGGTGATGAATGTTAGCTGCATGCTCATCTCAAGCTTTTTAAAGAGTTTTTTTAAGAGTGCTCGTATAAAGGCATATTTCACAAAGCTCACTCCCAAAAATGCCAACATTCATGTATGAGTTTGCCGTGTGAAATTAGGACTTGCTGTGTGTAGAAATGCCGTTTCTGAGTGTAGACCTACAAAGAAGCAGTATCTATCGAATTGGCACGAAGACGGCATTACACTGGGCATGATAGAATAATAGCTGGTCTGCTCTCTAACTCTTTCTGTTATTGTGGGATTGTCCACTTGTGAATATTGATTACTTTTTCTTTTGTTTCTTACAGGGGTTGCAAGGGCCAAGGGTGAGTCATTATTCACCCCTGTAGCTAAATCATTATTATTTGCACAAGGCCGGTAGCCTGCTCAGTGCTAGACGAAATCAATTACCTACTTTATCGTCTTCCATAAAATCCAAGTTCTAAAATAATAATAAGAAGGCTAATGTGATGTTGCAATCTTTCAGGGATTTCGTGGCCCTCGTGGACCACCCGGACCACCAGTAAGTTTTTGATTTTGCGTTAATGTGAAAATTCTCCTTTTATATGTAATTCAGTCTCGACTTGCGCGTGTTAACACGTGCAAATGAAGAGAGTTAAGTTTGGTTAAAATGGGTTGAAAAAGAAGTACTCGGCTTTGGGTGCAACATCTATTCTGCTGGAAAATCATTTGAAGAGGAAAATCTAATTTGTGCATGAACACCCTAGTTAAACTGTGAGCTTATGATCTGTGTTATTTGGAGAATAATCACTGACTGGTTCCAGACCTATTTGTTATCCAGTGTGATCTGATTCAAAAAGATGTTAGCCAGCGGCTCCCCTTATCTGCAGTTGACATGCTTTATTCCCTCTCCGTTCACGCCTCATTTCCTGTGCATTCATAATTGTTTTTGTGCATATCTGCATATTGGATGGGAGTGGCAGAACCCACCACACACACAGTGGAGAATAAGATTTATAGAAGTAATTACAATATACACGGTACAATACATAGAGTGGCTGTTTCTACAACAGTGCAAACAAGATAAACAAGTATACATGGTGTATATACTGAAGGCTTTTCTCTTTGCTTTTCAGGGTCTGCCCAGTTCCTCACTCTCACTTGTAAGTGTTTCTCGTTAATGTCCATCATGTATAGAATGTCATAAAAAGCTGTAAAAAAATGTATGGTATTGAACGTCAAAATGAATGTCATGAAAATCATAGTATAGTGTTCCATGAAAAGGCATTAAAAAGTCACAGTATCTGACAAAAACTCATAGTATAGTAAGTCATAAACTGTCAAAGTAGAGTATGTCCTTAAGAGTCAAAGTATAGTCATAAAAGATTAATTGTATGTCATAAAAAAATATAAAATACTCACTGGTATTGTTAGTCATAAAAGTAATTGATAAGTTGAAGTATAGTATTTAATAAATAATTGAAGTACAGTATACAATACAAATGCCACATTCAATTCATAGTATGTCATAAAAGAATATTTCATGAAAAGTCACCTTCAAGGCATTGTTGTGGTTACCTGATGGCCTTGCCGTCTTCTTTGGCAGAGAAATGAGGCTCTTGGTGCCGCCTTTCAAGTCATCATCAACTCCCATGCTGCACTGAGGCCCGAGGTTAGTTCTGAGGAAAACTATGCTCATTGCAAGACATCACAGTTGACTGTTGGGGGTCCTAATGGGTATTATTCATTTGAATGAGTCCTTCAAAAAAAAAAAAGTTTTCTGATCTAATAACGGATAAAAACATTCATAGAAATTACAATTCAATCACGGCAACATTTATGTCCAAAGCAGAACTATCCGAGCATGGACCTGCTCATGTTGGACCAGGGCACAGAGATCTTCAAGACGTTGCAGCATCTCAGCACTCTGATCCAGAGTCTGAAGAACCCGCTGGGAACCCACGACAACCCCGCACGGATCTGCCGAGACCTCCAGAGCTGTGAACAGAGGATGTACGATGGTGAGGAGACGTACAGTATAAACTGCTCGGTCCTTTCTCTGCACATATCCGTTCTGTTCTTGTTGAATAAGAGCTGTTTTCCTCCTCCGCTGCTGCTCTTTAACAGGCACCTACTGGATCGACCCAAACCTCGGCTGTGCCGCCGACACTATTGAGGTGATGTGCAACTTCACTGCTGGTGGACAGACTTGCCTGAAACCTATCACAGTATCCAAGGTTTGGATCACTTCTATATTTGGCCCTTTGCTTTCGCCTAGACTATCAAAGTCACGCTCAGTTGGCAAGTAAACATCTAGGATATTAATGTTTTGGAGTTATTCTTCAGCCATAACAGTTTGTAATTAATCATCATAACGCACAAGACCAGACAGACTCAATGTCTGCATGAACTGTTAGGGACAATAATAGGGACAGACAATCATACACAATCTGTGATCCATATCTAACAAATTCTAATTAATTACACAATTGGAGTCTATTACCAACTAAAAACAAAAATTGTACTTTTATTACATAGACGCAAGAGTCCAGTTATTGTTTACATCCGGAATTTCTTCAGGAATTATGGCATTTATAAACAAGCCTATTTTCTAAATTAGGATTATTTGAGGAACACACATTCTTGCTTTACAGTTGGAGATGGGCGTGGGTCGTATCCAGATGAACTTCATCCACCTTTTGAGCACGGAGGCCGTGCAGCACATCACCATTCACTGCCTCAACACACCCGTGTGGGCAGCAGGACCCTCCCTGCAACCCTCATCCAGGGCTGTGAGCTTCAAGGCCTGGACAGGGGAGGAGATTCAGGCCGGCGACCTCCTCGAGCCGCTCATACCCCGGGACGACTGCTGGGTGAGCACTGCTACTTTTCTGGCATGGCTACAAAGTAGGACTTTATCCACCAAAAGACACTGTGTATATCCTGGATGTCTTACAAATGAATTAAAGGCATTTCTTTCCTCATGAAACATTTGTAAAGCAAATTCTTTAAAACATATTTAGAATTCAGCATTGCTTACGTTTAAAAATGTTGTACTGTTGAGAAACTATCCTTCTTCACATCCTGTGACCGAGCGCGACCTTCACTTTCAGATCAAAGATGGCCGCTGGCATCAGACCCACTTCATCTTCCAGACCCAGGACCCAAACTTACTCCCCATCGTGGATGTGTACAACCTAGCGACCAGAGAACGTGGCGCGAGCTTCCACCTCGAGGTTGGACCCGTGTGCTTCTTATAGGCCCCCCCGTGTAGGGGGCCGGGAAATACTCAAAGGAGGGACGGCGTGGAGGAAGGCGGACGGGGGAGACTAATGCTTCTGTGGTTTCCAGAGACAACAGACCACCATTTTCTCCCTGCGAAATATGCTTGGACTGCAGAAACAGGAGGGGGGGCACTGCAGAAAAGAGGCCCATTGAAAATGCAGAGATAAGACTTCTAGCACTAATCAGCCTATGGAAAACAACAATAAGCTTCTTTTTTTTTCAGAGACTCGTTTGTGTGATTCAACACCTGAATGCCCCTTTTTGGAAGGAAGTAATATGACCGTCTCACCCTATGTTGTATCATATTTTCTTCACGGGCTGTGACCCGATTTAGCAAAAAAAACGTTTTCTTTAGAGAGATCTGTACAGAAATATGGGACAGTTACATCTGCAAATGCAATAATTCCTATTTTAATGTCTAAGTATTATTTATACATGTATATGTACTGTATATTGTAATATAAAGTGCAATAGTTATTTTTCCACAGCCTTTAGGCATATGCATTATAAACATAACATCACTCATTCAGGTATGCAGTGTGCCTCAGACACACAGGCGCACTGTCTCCAGGTAAGTCTTCTTGAACTTCTAATAACTGTCCGGTGCCGAGAGACCCCCGCGTTCATACAGATGTCCTCACGCCATCAACTGCTGTGCGGCGCTCTCCGTGTCGAAAAATGCGTGGAAGCTCTCCCCCAGTGTGTCAAGATGCTACCTCGTACTGCACCGCTCATCTCGCAGCAAACAAAGACGTTACCTGATATAGATCTGGGATGACATGGAGGAGACACCTGGTGCTACAACCGTTGACACTCGTATGATAAACTCTCTACGTCTGTGCTTTACCAAAAAAAAAAAAAAAAAAAGGGAAGATTGTAAAATATACACGCAGGTCAAATTGGTTAAATTATATTTTCAAGGTATTATTTTCACGTTTTCAATATTCTTTGTACTGTCTGACACTATAAGTTAAGTTTTTGTATCTGTCAAAATGTCTATAATTATGCAACCGTTACGATCTACAGTGGATTCTATTTAAATTTTATTTAAATTCTGGTTAGCTCTCCAGTTCAAAACCTCAATGTTATGTTTTATGAGTCATTTAGGGCCTTATGGATTCTACAGTCTGTTTTTTCCCCAATTAATCTGTCCTAGACAATCAACTGTATTTTAGGACATTACCATCTGTATTATTTACTGTTTAAGCATTTGTCACTCAAAGGTGCAGCAATGGCAATTGGTCCCGTCAATTTATAAACTCAGAGGATTTCTTACAATACACAACACAACCGAGCTAACGGTGTTTAATCTGTGCGGACATTTCATGCTGCGTGAATGAAGTCTAATGACTCAACAGGTAATTCAATAAAAGTCTGAAACCTTTGTTGATAAGCAGCTTTCATTTCTTTTCATTAAAAGGAAAACTTATTATCAAAGTGAGCAAATAACATGCATTTAAGCTGCCAGTTTAAATGTGTTTTTGCTTGCTGATATTCATTTCACACATCTGGAACTGTCAAATCCTGACAGCTAGCGTTGTAAACGTGGAGAAAAATTGTGTCCTTGAAGTAATGCCTTTCTTTTTTTTTTTTTTAATGACAACTCACCGATCAGTTTAATGGCAACTTAAAAAAAACGAACACACAGGCAGACTTGGAGGTTGAAAGAACTATATTAGCAGACTGCTGTATCCTAACATACACCATCTTATCTTGGGCACATGGCATGGCGGCCCCCATCAACGGGGAGGTTCACTCCAGTAATGAAGCTGGCGGCATCGGAGGCCAGGAAGGCGATGCCGTGGGCCACTTCTTCCACCTCCCCTGGTCGACCCAGGGCATGGGTCTGCTTGCACTTTGCAAGAAACTGGATGGGTGAAAAAAAAGATTGACAGACACCGAGTGTTTGTTATTTGTCTCGTGTGCTATCAGATGCTAGGAGATGACAACCTCTGAAGAAATACATCTGTTTTAGTGGCAACACATTATGCGTTACCTGGGCATACTGGTCCTCATCTAGTCCTGCTCTCTTGTGGACCTCTGTGATGATCACACCAGGGCTGAAGAGATGCAGCAGGGACACAAAATATGGTGCATCAATGGAATTAATTTCCAACAGACACAACTGATATCAATGCTTTATCAATCAGAAATGCATGGGATATGTGTTAGCTAATTGTATACATCCAAAATATGAAGGTCAATTACTGAACACAATAAAAACACATGGATTTTTCATTTTTTATTAAAACCCTCACCAGACGGAGTTCACTCTGACTTCCTTTGACGCCAGCTCTGAAATGAAAGAGTCATGTTATTTACTGTGAACTTTGTACAATGCTTAACATAATACATAGTATAAAGGAGAAAAATAGCTCACTCACCAAGTGCTGTACAACGTGTGAACTGATCAATGGCGGACTTGGACATGCAATAGGCCAGCACACCAGGGAACTACAGAGAGAAAGCACTACAAGTAACAAATACATGTAGTGGGTGTGGTCGTGAATAGGTGGCCCGCTGTAATACCCACTGATCTCTGTCCGTTGACACTGGATACGTTGACAATGGAGCCTTTGGTCTTGATCAGGTGGGGCACACACAGCTGAGTCAGGTGGTATACGGTTCTGGAGAATGAAACAAACGTTAGGGGACATTCTAACTAAAATGATCAATAATATATACGTGAACACTACATATCAAGTGTGGGAGTAATCACTAGTTGTCTTGTGTCCTTGCGGGCCCTTTTGAAATACATCCATATATCACTTCAGCCAACTTCCATTTGAACTTGAGAGTCATCCGCCATATCCCAGCTACTATACAACCTGTACTACTGTAGGTTTAGCACTAATATATCTTCATGATGCTCTGCATTATCCTACCTGACATTGATGTTCATGATCCTGTCGTACTGAGCCATGTCTGTTGTCTCTATGCTGCCCATGGCCAGGATACCAGCGCTGTTGACGAGGACATCCAGTCTGCCGAAGTGAGCGATAGTTTGCTCCACCGTCTTCTTCACCGTCTCCTCATCAGTGAGGTCTCCAGGAACCAGCAACGGCTAATAAAACACAGACGTGTTAGGAATTTAAAGGCGTTTTTTTTTTAAGTTTCAAAATCATAGTCACACAATACTGAACAAATCACTTTGTTAAAGGCAGTAATGTTTGGATGATAAAGTAAGATTGTTTGCATGTTGTTTTTAATGTGGCAGCATGTATGCTCCAGTGTCAGAAATGGTCAATTTATATTGTCTACACACATTTAACAGATGTGGATGTGCTCATCCAACAATGCATTGCGGCTCAATATATTGATAGCAGACTTTTTAACGCCACATTTTGACGACTGATTGTACGTTTGCGTTTTTACACAAGCGGACCACCAAACTCCATTCATAAAAACATTAAAGTGTAGAATCTTGATCCTCTCTCTCTTCTCTTGGTCCACAAAAGACTGCATTGAACGGTGTCGGCATGTTTGTACTATATTTCATCCCAAGTCAGATAACGTTGGTGCACAGCTCAGTGGGAGAGTCGGCTACCTCGGCTGCTCCACAGTCCGTGCACTGTTTGGCTATTTTCTTTAGATTGTCCACGTCGCGTCCGTTCAGAGCCAACAGCGCTCCGAGTTTGGCGAACAGGACGCTCGTGCCTGCACCGATGCCCGAGCTGGCACCCGTTATGAGGGTCACTTTATCCCGCAGGGAAGACACCTGGAAGACACAAACATGTCCATCAGGTGTCCACGCAGGTACCGAACCTCACGATGAACAGAAGTTAAGTTTGTATAAAGCTATAATGAAGTAGTCAAAGTAGACTTACTTTAAATGCATTGTCTGAGGCCATTTCTGCGGGGTTTTAATGTAGTTTGTATGAACTTGCTACGGACAGAGAAACACACTTCGTCCACTAGTGATGACGTAGAAGGTGCTCATCGGTTTGACAGCGCTGCTTCAGTTTTAGACTTCCAACCTTTAACCCTGAAGCGTCAAGTCTTTCGAAGTGGTGACATTTAACAACAGTCATTTTTGCACACAGATGTATTATTTACAAACGTTTTATTTAGTACAAAACATTGACGGCTTATTTATATTGCCTATCAAGAATAAAAAAGGATCAGACTGTGTGTGTAGCAGTGGTGTACAAAGTCAGGGGCGTGTTTTCTTTTTGTACTAAACTGTGAATTTATGAAGATAAACAGAAAAAGGTTAGCCTTTAATTGCAATGCAAATAATTTCATAAAATAACAATAAGCATACCAAGTTACAACATTTGAAAGAGCATACACATGAATTTTGCTTCAGGATGGACAGCAATTTAAGTGTTGACGTATTCAAACCACTAAGTAAGTTTCACTCAGAATTTAAATGACGTTTACAACAAAAATATTACAAAATGCTGGTACAAAAATGTGATTTTGTTAGGACAGCTCAGCATTATATAATTTCAGAGTCTGTGTCATGATGATGTCTGGGAGCTTTCTATCTAATTTCTAGCCTCTAACAAGTTATCTATTTTAACCTTGGCAGGGTACTTTACACTGGACCAATAGGCTTATTGGAAAAAAGAACAATTTGCATATTTGAAGAGAAAACTGTCTATGCAGCAAAAGGATTGGCATGAATGGTCACATCCTTTATCCGGGTTTCCGTCAGCGGTCGGAACGTCTTCTCATTGACGGGAAGTTTCTCCAGTTCATCCAGTGCTTCCAGGCCATCGATGATCCTACGCGTGGAAGAGCGAAAGATGTCAGCTGCTTCAGTAAAATACATTCTAAACAATATAACTTTCAGGCACACCAAGCGGCTGTCTGCAGAGCCGAAAGAAATGTCCAACAATCATTATTTCCATCTCACGTAACACACATTTATCTGGATAAAAGGATGCGTACTTTCCAAACACCGTGTACTTCATGTCCAGATGGGGCTGTTTGGCATATGTGAAGAAAAACTGGGAGCCATTTGTGTTGGGGCCATTGTTTGCCATTGAGACCACTCCTCTTACATTATGCTGAAATAAAAGAAAGCCAAAGAACACAAAAGTTACAATGCTGAAGAGTGATGAACCCCGATGAAATATTAGGCCAACATGCTAGAACTAGTAGGTACTCACTTTTAGGTGCTCACTGAACTCATCTTCATATTTGCGGCCCCATATACTTGTTCCTCCTTTGCCTGTACCTGATTGGTTTAATCAAAATACGGGGAATGACTAACAAGAAGTGACGATGAGAATTCTGCCATTTCAGTGTCGATGTGCAGCAGATGCAACAACAATCCCATACCTGTAGGATCTCCAGTTTGAACCATGAAACCTTTAATATTGCGGTGGAAGACACAGCCAGTGTAGAAGCCACTGGCACACAAAGCAAGGAAGTTCTGTAAATAGTGAAATATATGCGTTAGGATAGTCCAAGTTAAATCCTTTAAAAACAAGGAATATTAAAGAAACTGCAGTGATGAAATGTATCCAAGTACTTTATTGAAGTATTGTACTTAATTACAATTTGAGGTACTTGTACAAGAGTATTTCCATTTTTATTCTTTGTACTACTTAATCTATTACATTGTGGGGGTAAATATTGTACATTTCACTCAGCTACATTTATTTTGATAGCTTTAGTTAATTGTTATTTTGCAGAGGCAGATTACAAAATATATGCAAGTAATAAACTATGATGCAATTGTATGGATAAGACCACCCTGCAGTACATAAAGTAGATAAAAGAATCCCCCAGCTGAAAATACATTATTCTGAAATGGGCCATTTTGCATTATTACTTTTTGATCCCAATACTTGAATGCATTAATCTTTACTTGTAGCATAATATTAACACACGGTTGCATTGATACTTTTACTTTAGTAAAATTACTTCCTTCCACCACTGAGAGACTGTATATTCTGTAATAATATAACAACTTTAATGCAACTTTCAGCCAAAGCTTGCAGCGTGTGACGTAGCGTTAACTGTAGCCAAAGTTAGTTCACTTACCTCACATGTTCTCGGTGCGCGCTCACAAAACAATTCGATTTTAATTTCTCCTAGATCTGTTTGAAGGGTAACAGCCTGTAACATTAGGAAAAGAAGAAGAATCATTAACCCAAAACGTTAACTTTTAGGAGGCACAGGAATCGCCATTCATTACCGTTTGCTAGCTAGCTTAGCACGTTAGCCTGACTGTAACAAAATAAGCACGTTCTCCTTACAAAGGGACGTTTCTCGCCTGGCTCCTAACAAAGGAATAGGCCTTAAAACACCGTATTAGTTGACATTTACTTAAACGGTTCTGTTGTTTTTAAGATAACAGATATCTGCTGAAAATGTCCACAATCAAATTTACCATTTCAAATGTTGCGTCTTTGAACAAGTGTGTCGGAAAAACATGTCCGTGTCGGTGCAGTGGCCAGCAAAGAATGGTTCCGCAGGTAATTTACGATCTTCTAAAAAAAACAAAACGAAATCATAGTGACATATTTACCTCTGCACAGAGCTGTTGAAGCTGAATGTAAACAGCCAGAACCACACAGTCTCTGCAGAGGTTTAACACTTGTGATGCTGTTCAGACATGGTCAAATGAACATGCTATGTGGCCCCTGGACAGAAATTCTGGGGTTAGCCCCCCAATTTTCCCATTCTGTGAAATGTTTACTATTTTTCTATGGTTTCTCTGCTTAGGTATTAGACCTACCAGATTAGTTACGGGTTACATGCAACACACAGGCACACAACTGGGATAATGATTGTATTAGATTTTGATAAAGGGACCTTGTTAAAGACAGGAACTCAACATAAAGTAGTCGAGCAGGATGCACCTTGAAGCCTCATGTCAGCTGATTTTGTGCTTTGGTGCATAATCCCAAAGACAGGGCTGGGCAGTTGACAGATTATCTATCCGACACCAAAATACAACAGAACACAGTCATTCACAAAATTCAAATTTCAACAAGACAAATTAGGTCAACCAAGTTTATTTTACCTCTAGTGGATCGTGTGCAGGAAAAGATGGGACAGATATTTAAACAGAATACTCTGTGACATAATTCATTTTAATACAGACACGCAGAAGATTTCCTTATTAATGCCAAATTTGACAAACCAACAATGCATGAAGCCAAATGGGAAACATTGAAAATAAGGATTTTGTACCCAAAAATGATTCAAAGAGAAAGAACAAAGATGGACATCACAGGATGAGAAAGTCTCATCATGCCAACATACACACAGATAACACTCTCACACTTGCATTCATCTGTGCTAATCCTGATGAAGACATAATAATTCTGAAACACAGCTCCATTTGTACATTGTCATTGAGGAAAACGCAGAATCAATGTTAAACCAAGTAGTTTCTTTAAACACATTTACTTTTAAACCAGCAGTCCATATTAAATACACCAAACTAGAACTAATGTATAGAAATGCATATAAAACTAACTGTATAATACAATTGTTTAAATTAATAAAAAAAAAAAAAAGGCAATCAACTCAAACAAGGAGTGAGTACTAGCTGGTTTCCTGAGTAATTGAGTTATACTGTAATAATACCAAGTGTTGTAAAAATAAAAAATAAAATCATAATTATAAAAAAAAGGGCAAACAGAACAAAAAGATTGACAACTATAAACGCAAACACTAATCTACCTCATACCCTTTTACTAGCCGCCTACACCATGCATGTTTACCGTACTGACCGTTTACTCGCAGTGCATGTGAAACACGTTACATTTGACAAAAGGTTCTCTGCCGTCAGTCTTATTGAGAATAGCTGATTGTCGTAATCTGTGGTGTATTGCTGAGGTGTTCTGGAAGTTATTTAACACGCTCCACTTGGGATTTACAGGTAAATAATTTGTCTTTCTAGGAGTAGTTCTGAAACAGAAACAAACCTAAATACTTATTAAATAACTGATATCGAATTTAATCTCACGGCTGGCAGTCATTCAGTCAAACCTTCTCATACTGAATACATACAAAACATTTGTTATAATCATGAAATTGTATTATTATTTGCCTTTACCTAAATGCAACTTGTGGGACAGGTGCAAAAGCATTCTCTCAACTTCAACTTCTCACCATCACCGTAGTAAAGTTAATGCGACCAAAAGAATGCCCGTGCACACGTGAAAACTACATCAAACCTTTACATAGTGGAAATAAAGGCAATATTGCACAATATAGCATAGTTAATAAACATGTTACTGAAATAAATGTACACGTCTTAAACTGTTCCTACGCTTTTCAACCTAGTCACTGTACTATTGCTTCCAAGTGTTCTTTGCAGTTAGGTTTATTAAAACATAAACTGATGACTTTGTTCTCTGGGTAAACACAAGAACGCCTGTTAGGAGTTGTGCTGTGTCAGAGCTGTGCATTGATCTAGAATTATGTATTTTTAGCATGGTGCTGCTTACTGTGGCAAAACACAAGTGCAGAAAAGTCACTCTCAGGCAAACAGTTTCACACTTTTCTCTACAAATGAACACACATTGAAACCAGAGAAATAAATGACAATTAGATGACCGAACGTGGAAAAAGTACGGAGGGCCATTTTACGACAAATAAATATCTCCAACAATTATGGGTAAAAAGAGAAACTAAGATATTTACACTGCCGTGTGCATGAACCCAGGACCTGCTTGCTGTGTTATAAAACAATATATATGACTTTTGTCATTTTGACTTTGTGATTAAAAAAAAAAGAAAAGAAAAGAGGAATGTGTGACACAGAAAAAACAAACAAACCTTGACACAATAAACGTCAACCAACATTTTCCAAAAATCTAACCCCAACTTCTACATCACTTTGACAAATAAAGAGTGGAAAATGTACTGGATAAGTAAAAATCAGAATGCTAATGCCCTTCTGACTCCATGGCAGGAGAGATAGAGTTAGCAGTCACTGTGACGAGGTGAGGCAACAGAAAACAATGTCATTAATCACTGTTGAGACACCATATCGATCTTTTATTGTCCCTCGTTGGTTACTGGTGTCAGGTATGCGAGGAGTCCACAGGAAGTTATGAATGAAACATTCAAAGCAAAACATAAAAACAAACAACCCGGCCCTGTTGCTCCCATTATCAGCTGGGCGTGGGTAGTGCAGCTTTAGAGACAAGTATCTGCATCCAAACACAGTGAAGAAAACAACCATTTGTTTACAACTCCACAACAAAAGTAACAGAAATGATACAGAACACAGGAGTGAATCAAAGTTAAGGCAACCGATCTGACAGCCATGGCTCTTTAAAAAAAAAAATAAAGAATCTCTCTTTGCCGATGAGAAAAGAATTTGTAGGAATTACAATTTGCCCGTATACATTAAGTGGAATGTAGCTACTTTTTCACGACGATGAAGCTTCAGAAATGTTGGACTTTATTGCATTGTTCTTTCTCTTAGAAAAAACATATCCACATTGACCTCACCTTAATGACTCCAATACAGGAAGTGGAATAGATTACGATTAAAGATGGCCGTCATCTCATGAGCATCTACACTGAACATTGCACCATATTTTGACTAATGCAGTTCAGCATGACTTAAACAGAAACATTACTAACAAGCTGAGGCCAGGTGAGAATAAAGCAATGTAGTGTTTCAGGTAAGCGTTTGTTTCAAACATATCACCGACGATCCATTTCAATGTCACTATTGTGTTATCCCGTATGAACTTCAATTCAATGCTTTTGATGCCGACGAGACTCATCTCATCCAAAACCTCATTTGATTCGTGCAACTCATTACATACAAACAATGTGAACGCAGCATGACCATGACACTGATGTTGCTAAATTCCCACTGAATAGTGTACTGGCAGTAATGGTTGGGTATCTGCTTGCTGATAACATGCTCCACTAACTTCATTGTATGGGGGGGAATATTGTGGAATAATAGTCCAGCGGGTAGCATTCAGTAGAATGATTGCTTCTCCCAGCACTCAGTCAAACACACTACACATCGTTCCCCAGGAAGAAGCCATCAACCCTCCACTCTCTAGTCCAACACCACGTTGTACCGCTACCGAGACTCAGAACAACCAATGAGAACTCATCAGTCTCCTCTCACCCTCTCAAACACACGGATCGCAGATTACATTACCTTTCTTGACATGACTCATAGTTTGATTTGTGGTTTTTATGTCATATGTTCATCATTTTCAGATTAATTTCAAAATAAGCACAAATGAGGTATTTGAGGGCCCAAAAAACAAGAGTTATAAAAGGCATGCACTACAATTATTCTGACTAAAACTTATAGGGTTGCTAACTTGACTGCGTGTGATTGGCATCATAATCATAATAATAAAACATATCAATATCATATTTTGTGATCTTATCAGATGACTCGTCAATTAATGTGAGTGAGCATTTGCATCATTATTATTATTATTATTATAAAAAACAAGAGTTACAGCCTGTAGGCCGTCCTGATTTATGATTAATCACGTTGCAGGTTATGAGGCAGAGGTCTTAGTGATCAGCTTGCTATCTCATTTGTAAAACTAACAATACTGGACAAATTATTTCAATAATGTATTCCATCTTGATTAGACAAGAAAGTGTGTACAGCTACCGAGACGCAGAACATGAAACCCCCGCGCGGCTGATCACAATGGCACTGCTACATTATTGCTAAAAAGAAAAAGCATCATTACTGGGTTGTACTGGAAAGGCCTGAGGAGTTGTTTGCAAAAGAAGGGACAACCGACTGCACAGTTATGAATTAAGAGACCGACCATAAGCTTTCAGTAATTTGATTGTGCCCAACTGGCACTGGTTCTCGATACCCAACCTTACTGGCAGTACACTGCAGCGGGACTACCGCCCGCTTCAACAAGCCCCGTGGGAGAGTAGAGGACGTTCCTCCTGTGCCAGGGCCCTGTTGGTCAGCATCTGTTTTTACTCGGGGCCACAGACCTCTTCAAGGCTGTTCCTTGTCCGTTTTCCACAACTGGTCCTTGACCTCTGAGGGCAGGGTGTTGAAGAGGTCCTCCTCCACCACGAGACCGGTCCTCTTTAGCTGTCGGCACTCGCCCAGCTCCACGGGCAGACACTCCAGACGGTTCCCTCTCAGCTCTAGCTGTGTAAGCCCGGTCAGCTCTCCAAACCGCGATGGCAGAGACTGCAGGCAGTTGTTGCCCAAGTTCAAAGTGCGGAGCTTCTTGCACTGGAACAGCTCGTTGGGCAGAGTCTCAATCTATGTTTAGAGATGGGGAGGGTGTTAGATGATGGGAGAGAAACACAGCGGTGTTAGAATTTGTAACTTCAATTGTTGCAAACAAACCACGAAGGACTTTAAAACCAGTGTATATTCAAAAAAAAGATCAAAATGACGGAAAACATAACCCAAGTACTCACCCTGTTGGCTGTAACTGCCAGGTACTGAAGATTCTGGAGGAAGCCAATGTCTGTAGGTATACAGGTCAGGTTGTTATGGCTCAGATCCAGGAAGCGCAGCTTGCGGCAATAGAACAACTGGCCGGGCATCTTCTCGATCTTGTTTCTGTTCAGGTACAGTTTCTCCAGGTTGGTCAGTGTGCCAATCTGGATGGGAATATAGGCGATCTGGTTGTACCAGAGCTTAAGGCAGACCAGCCGATGAAGGTGCTGGAAGCTGATGATCTCCTCGATTGTCTTCAGGTTGTTGTCCTTCAGGTCGATCTCCTGCAAGTTGTGCAAGCTGAAGATGGAGTGCGGTATGCGTTCTAGATCACAGCGAATGAGCTCCAGCTCAGTCAGGTTCACCATCTTCTTCAGGCTGTTGAGCACCATCAGCTTGGTGCCTTCGTTATTGACGGAGAGCTTCTGGAGGTGCATGCCCACATCGGTCACCACCTGAGGTAGCTTGGTGAGATTGCTCTTCAGACGAAGAACTTTGAGCCTCTTGAGCTCCCGGAGCCCATCGATGACAATGTAGCGGTTGTTCTCCGCACTAAGGTTCCCGGTCAGATGAAGCTCACTCAGATTCTTCAGACTGTAGATCCATAAGGGAATCTCTTTGATGTCCGTGAACTTGATGTGCAGAGACTTCAGGTTCTCGCGCAAAAAAGCCAACGCGGGAGCTTCGATTTTGGCCGGCGTGTGGTAAAGCCACATCTCTCGCAGGTTGACCAGCTGGGCGATGATCGGCGGGATGGTGATATCCGGAATGAGCTCCAGTTTCAGAACCTCCAGCTCCATCAGGTCAAATACTGTGTCCGGAATGCCACTCAGCATGAAAAGGTGCAACTCCAACTTCTCCTGAGAGTTCTTGGTAATCCTCTGCCGGAGCTTGTCCAGTGTCCACTCATTGTTGAGGTTGAGCTGCCTCAGCTTATTTTCGCTGACCTCCGAGAGGAACACGGCGAAGCGTTTGGAGTACAGAGGGTCATACTGATCTATCATGTGCATCATGAACGCAAAGTCATTCTTCACGTCGGGGATGTCACTGTAGCTGCTCTCCTCCCGTATCGACTCGAAGGAGTACTTCTTTAGAGAGCGCCGAAGCATCCAGCAAAGCGTGTACATGCAGATCAAACCATACACCATTACTAAGCTAATGTAGAAACAGGCTAAGATTTTAAAAAGGGTAGCCAGCGGGTGAGCACAGCGGTACACGCTGTAACCCGTCAGGCTCTCTATATTCACCGAACAGTCGACGCTGAATTTAATATCGTGCACGTAATACCCTGTGTAGCAGATTATGAAAATAAACTTGATGACTTTGATAATAGTCTGACGGATGTACAGCCTGTACACAATGTCTCCTTCTTCAACATGTATGCGGAACTTCTTGACTTTTTCAAACAGGGCTTTGGCCTGCTCCCCCTCTTTCTTGTCCAAAACCCCCGTTTCTGTTCTATCTACGATGCCCTGCTCGAAGCGCGTCTTTGTCCTTTGGAGCATTGGAACACTCGCTTCAACATCCTCACTGATAACGGACGCCTTGTGGTCCATTGAGCCGTTCATCTTCATTGGTTTCGGGTCGCTCTCTTCAACCACTGTCTCCGACAGTGCCCTAGTTGTCCACGGGGAGTCGAAGCATTTCAGCAGGATGGATACAAAGTGCTCTAGTTTGGAACTTGTCCGTGGGAACTTAAACCAGAAGTTGCTGCAGGCTAGGAAAATGAGGGTGTGAAGTAATACTAGGTAAGGAAAATACTTGGCAAACCAGTGCAATCTATTCTCATAGCACACAGCATCCACGTAGTTGTACTGGTGGCGGTCCAGATCATACTGGATCCCTTTGGGCTCCGCGAACAACGACGCGCCGAGGGTGGAATTGAAGTTCTTCTGGCAGGTGTCGTTGACCACCCATTTGCAGGGCAGGCAGATCATCTTGTCCTGAGTGACCTGCAGTGTGCCCCCAAACACAGAGATCATAAGCATAACGATGGAGATGTAGTCGGTGAACACGTCCCACCATGGTTTCAGGATGCGGTACGCCGGCTGTGTGTCCACAAAGTACCGCAGCTCAGTGATGGGGATCATGGTTTATCTGTGGGGAACAAACAGAGAGGACGACATGTTGATAACGGAGCACAGTGACATGCTGAATTATAGAGCCTTGTTAAACATCAACACGCTACAGATATTCTTCAAAATGAAAAAGACAAATTCTTCTTCAAATGCCTGAACAGCCTTCACCTGAACCACAATACGAAACCCAAAAATCAATACTACACTGCTAACAAAAAAGGTCACCAGAAAGTTTCAGTGGATAATTGCTGCCAGGAGTAATGAAATAGAGATTCACGCTTGCTGTGACAAAGAATTGCCTGATTGACTTTACTGTGTTATTGACTGAACTATTGTTACACAGACACGGTTAATCTTGTTTCCGAAAAGGGGGTGCCCTACTGGACATGGCATTTTAAATGTTGTGGCCAAATTGATAAAATATAAGTTGATTTGATTTGATCCGTTCCGGACTTATTAAATGAGTTGTCTACATGAAGAAAAATAACAACTATCACACTGGCAGAGTGTATGCAAGCCATGCATAATATAAATCAGTAAAAAAAACAAAAAACATTACAATCCTTTCAGATTGGCTTAATCAAGAAAAACCTCTGTGTCTGATTTTAACAGGGAGGGCACCCTAATTAGCAGGGATGCAGAGAGCCCACCTGTTCTTGTTTGATGCTGATTACGACACGTAAACTAAGTTATTCAAACTGTGTAAAGTACTCCGATACTTGGTGTTTATTTAATTAGGAAAAGCTGAAATAAGCCTGTGACATTATTAAAAGACAATACGCACCCCAGCCACAACCTGTTCACCCTGCTGCCATCTGGGAAGAGATTCAAGTTTCGGCTGCCGAACCACCACACTTTAAAACCTGTTCTTTCCTCTGGCTGTGAGACTCCTGAATTCACCCTCCACCCTCCATACATAATATTGTTTTTTAGTTTTTTTTCCTATGTAGCAAATTGGAACTACAATCTAAATTTCATTGTACAACCCTGTCGTACAATGACAAATAAAAACCTTATAACCTTATATTGTATAGATGAACTACTACTAACTATGACTAGAGGTTGGCATAATAATCATATTTCCATGTGGTTATTTTATCTTTTAATCAATTTATGCTCCAGAAAATATAACCGAAACTGCTCAAAACACACTTGGAAATGGTTCTACTTACAAATCCGAAACGTGAGGCGCAATAACTCCATACATAAGCAGTGAAGAGCGAACCAGGACTACTGCTTTGCTGCTGCTGCACATCAGAGCAAGATAAAGCAAATCAACCTTCCAGCCCTGTGTGAGTGTGACACACCCAGCGTGTCAACTTGAGAAGTCACTCTTCTGAAAGATGATGTTCCGTTTTGGCTCGTTTAACCCAAACAACATGACCGCCAGAGGAGCCACCTTGCCCTCTATTCTTAGCCGTTTCCGTTAATAATACCCAGAGTATTGTCTGCGGGGGCCTTGAGAAGCACCTCCCTCGACCTTCAGGACAAGATCCTGTTTACCTTGTAGAAACTGCTGTCTCCAACTAGTGTCTCTCTGGAATACTCCACCGTGACCTTTTGCACTCCTGTCAACCCCCAAAACACACACACACACACACACACACACACACACACACACCTACAAATACACAACATGGATCGGGATTTGGCATTAATCAGAGCTTGTCCTTTGTTAGGAAACTGTAAAGACGAGGACTGAAGACGCCAAGTCTGATCCTTGACCAAATGAGCATATTTACACTGGCCCCAGATCAGAGAAACTTCTGCAGACATAACTATTCAAGGGATGTGGCCTGGTAAGAGCAGATGATGATGCAGCAGAACAACAACAAGCACACTCAGTAAATGAAGTACTCACCGGTTTGGAGGAGTTATCTGGGTTCCAGTGCTTGATGAAGACCCTGGTGGACAAGCCACTCTGTGTGTAACCATAACTCTTCATCGACCATTGCCTTTGTCATCGCCATAGGGTTGAACAGAAGACATGAACAAGAAAAAAGGGGCGATGTTAATGAGGTTCCAGCTCAGCGTTAAAGCCTGCATGCATATACCAGCTAACAGATCCAAGTTATGTTTAAACACTAATATCTGTACGATAACAGGTCTGTGGCTTTACGGGCTCTTCATAACGATGGTGTAACATATCGTGGCAGTCATGGCCGTGTTGTCAGATAACGTTACATAAAACGTTAGGCTACCAGCTGGCTAATGTAGATGGACTTTAGAGCCGGTTACGTTAGCATGTGATGTCTTTGTTATCTAGCTAGGTCAGTTAGCTGAGCAAGCACTTCTTAACAGAAAGTTAAAGCCGCGTGTTTAATTTCCATAAATGGCATTAAATGATGCGAAAGACTATCTTTGGGGGAAGTACTCTGGTATCTGACAACAAGCTAATTATCAGCAGTGACCACAAACAAATACAATTGTTGCTGTTAAAACACATTAGCAAACTAAGCTAGGCTGCTGTTAGCTAGTGAGCTAACCCAGCAGCATGCTGACCATTGGAAGTTTACATCCTCTCAAAACGCTGTGGTTGATATGACAGTGATACATTTCTAACATGTATTAAAGACACTATGGTGTTCAACTTACTACGTTTGATGTGATGCAATCAAATCCAACGCTACTTTAATATAAATAGTTTGCTAAAGAAGTGCGTTGGCTGTTGCTAGCAGCTCCGCTTGCTAGCTGTTGTTTTTTCCCAGCACATCGGAGACTGTTACACCGCTGCACCGCCATGACGAGGGGTGGCAGTGTGGTGCTGTGAACACGCGCAGAAGAAGAACGCACTTCCTCCCTTATTCTGGAAGAGAGAAATTTCACGTTTTGACAGCAAGGACAATATCTTGTGTTTGTATTGGGACTGCATTGCAGCCCCAAGTAGTGTATTTGAATTTTTAGAAAATGTTGTCACTGAACACTTTGCGGATTTTGTGCACATCCCGGGCTTTACTGCACCACAGCTGGCTTATGACGAAGCGACAGTCTGTTTATAAAACTCTTACATGTGCAGCACATTTCATGTCCACCAGCTTCCCCAAGAAGGACACATGGCACAGCAACATGGACCTCAACGCACTGGGAAAAGAAAAAAAGCGTATTTACTCTACTTATCCAGCCAGTTCAATCAGGAATTACTGCACAGGTCAAGTCAAACTGAACTGCTGGAATTGCAAACAGCCTCTTGATACAGCTCCTGCATTCTTCTGTATGTCATGTCAAGTCATTCAGCCTCCGGAAGAAGATGCATCCTACTTTACAATTATGGATTGGTAAGTTTCATGTCCTATTTATAATTTCTCACTGTCATCTATCTATTACTGTTTTATTCATCAAGTCAGTCTGTGAGCAACAACATCTCATGTCACCATGTGTTGCCTCTTTGCAGTGACTTCACATTCACACTGGACACACAAAAGCTGCAGAAAAGATACTTGCAGCTCCAGCGGTCGCTACATCCAGACAACTTCAGCCAGAAATCTGTGGTAGGCAGGGGGATGTGAGGGGAACCTGACTATAGATCAGTTCAGTAACATGGGTTCATGAGGCAGCTGAGGCTGCCCTATCTTTTTGTACAAGTGTGACACTGGAATTTGGGTTTTGACACTTTGTCCCTATTAGGCCACATGACATTGATATTTTTGTGATTTGGTCTGGGAAAAGTTGAAGATGTGCTTCTTAAAGGACATTGACAAATTTAGGCCATCGTAAGGCAGTGTTCCCTATATTTTGCTACCAGGAATTTAAGTTCAAGGAATCAAAAAAATGAAACCACTGAGAAGATGAAAGCATTGCTTTAAGACAGAAAGGAGGACAACTTGCAAATAAATATAGTAGAAATACCAGGTTGGTACCTGGTTTACCAAAACTCTCAGAAAGAGAACAAGTAAAAGAATAGAATAGAAAGTACTTTATTGTCTACTTTTTGCATGCAAAAAGGAAAACATTTGGCTTAAGTTTGCATTTGCAAGATCTGGTATTAACAAAGGTATATTCAAATACATCATATCTCATCCAGACACATTTACAAAAAACGCAACACAGAATAGAAGTTATGAATATGTTATTATACTAATAGGAGCACCAGATGATGGGGACTGAATCAAGGTTAAATAAATAGATTAAAAAATGCTTTGTGCTGAGGTAGCAAGCTGGCTTCAATAAGTGGCTGTCCTTACTGATTAAGATGTTTCATGGCAACAGCGAACAAAACTATTTCCTTGCGATGTTTTCCTTTGCACAGGGGACTCTGTTGGCCTGAAGGCAGGGATTTCTCCAGCATCACTTTTTAATTAAAAAAACAATCTATTTTGTGTCACTGCATCCGAGGGAACGTTAGCTAGCTAACAGTGACAAAACACAGTGTGATGTGTCATGTTTTTTATTGATGTGAATTCTTAAGCACAGTTAGATATACTGTATATATATATATATATATATATATATAAATAACTCTCTTTATAAATGACCAAATTCAAGGATGACATCCATTTCAATGATAAAGAATAAAGTATGATTAAAGATATAATTACTTTTAAAAACACTAGAAATCATACAAGTAAAGTAAACGTTAAGTAAGAGAAAGTTCGTCGAAAGAAGTAAATTGTCTGACATATGTGGACGCCTCTCTATTCTTCATATATTTCATAACTCCTGCATGTGGTATTATTAGCTTAATTCCTTCAACGGTTTTTAGCATATTTGGTCAGAGGAGGGAAAAAATGTCACCCCAAAAAAAACGACATAAATAAAATCAAAAAAAAATCATATCTATTGCCTCCATGTCTACTAACAGCTTTCGTAACAGCGCTAACAGTGCTGAGAGAGCTAACAGTGCTTACCTGGTGGAGAACCGGAGGGTGGGCCCTATGCTTTCACAATGAAGCCGTTGGTCAGGACAGTACCGTTACGCTGTATGAGCGTAGTGCAGAGTGGCGGTGGGGCACGCTCACATGCACAAACATGCATTAAAGGCATGTGCGGCCAGCCCGGCTTTTTAAACACAGCACAGAGAAGCTCAGATTACAACACACACACACACACACACACACACACACACACACAGAGAGCGACTTCATTCTCTGCTCAGGTAGACTTTATTCCACTTTACCTCTACATAGCAAATGCTTGTTTGCTGCTCTATTAAGGCTCTGAATATTGTATAGAGGACCTTTATTTTAGAGATATATCATTTTGTTTATTAAAGGCCAGAAAATAATTAAGCATGCCCGTTATACTACCCAGCATCCACTGATTTCCACTTAAAAGATCTGTTTCAAGTAATGTGAAAACTGGTCTCTAATGTCTTGAATTCGTCAAGTGGGATACAATTACCCCGATTATGTCACAGTGATGTCATCAGGGTTATTTCAGCTTTGGTTATGAGACAGATTTCTAACAGAAAGCCTGTGTTACAAACTAGGAAGTGTAGTTTAAAGACATGACTCTTCATTTGGGAGGATCTAAGGAAAGGTGCTATCAAGTTGCTTCATGGGAAATATAGAATGAAGTGTTTTGGCGGCTTGACCCATAATCGAGACTAAAAGTAAGGGTATCTCAGCCTCTGCTGCTTTGAGTAAGAAACAACCGGCACACAACAAACTCATGGTGACGCTTTATACTGGTAGACACTAAAGGGAAAAGACAGGAAATAGGTTGAATTTTGGTGGATGGAGCAATCACTCACTGCTGTTTATCAAATAAATTAAATTCTAAATTCTTGATTTGTCACTTCTTTCAGGCGGACAAGTGTACCTTCCCTACATCAGAATATTGTGAGGAAAAAAGCACTAACTAGGTAAATTACATTAAGCCCAAAGCACAGTTTTACATAAAAAGCTCGATGGGTGCAGCTATTCATCTATTTCACAGAAAGGAAAACAATTCAAATGCAGCCGAGTAGTTTAAAGTTGAAGGTCTTTATAGGTTATTTTATAAAGTAGTAAACAGTTAACTTGTTACCCCCTCGTGGATCATTAATAAAAATGCCTGGCAGTTTGGCAATTTCATGCATACTAAGGAGGGGAGGAGGGGTGTTGCCTCGCATGTAATTTATTTTGTACACCCAGGTGCAAAAGCACAATGTTGTCGTGACATGATATGAAAGCTCAACTCCTATTCAGCAGCATGCGAGAGAGGCGGGGTAGCCTAAATGCTTTCTTCACAAAATGACCTGTCCAATATTGTACCGACTCTGTTTTATTTACCAGCACCTCCGGCCATTTTTTCTTAATTAGACATCTTCCCGCCTCAGGGGTCTTAATCATGTAGAGAAAACTCATTACTTATACAAGGCTACAAGGCAGCCACCTACTGCACTGGTTGTTATTAGAGAAACAGCTCCACACGACGGGCCCATGGGCCCAGAGCTCGAGACTATTGATTTTCACAAGAGCTGACAGACCTGATAGCTGCAAACTGTACTCAGATCTGCCAACCATTTCCAAGATATTTTCCTCCCCGTCTTGTTTCCACACGTCTGTCGTGTCAAACTTCCACCTGGATCCCTTGAAGGGTCCCAAACTGCTCGACTACAAAAGAGGAGCTGTATGTCATACATCTTATTGTCAGTATCACCAAGGATTTGGTGTTTGAAAAAGTTGACAGTGGTATAGATTAGGATGACAAGGTGTAAAATAGCTCAGATATAATTCCAATTTGTGACAGTTTGATGTGTAACTCTGGATAATGTGAATATACAAATGCACAGCATGTTGGTTAAGATTCTCAATAACACACAGTTCCTCTCCTTTTTTTTAATGACTGAACATCATTAGAAGCAAACATAACAGATTCCTCTTTTGCAGAAAGAACAGGAGTATTCAGAAAGCCACTCGGCTCTCGTGAACAAAGCATACCAGACTCTGCTTAAGCCTTTGAGTCGTGGTCTTTATATGGTGAGTTTGAAATCTCTGACTTCACTTCTAATGAATAGTTTATTTTCATAACTGCAAGCTCTGTCTGTCTGATGTCTGTCTGATGTCAGTCAAAAGTAGTAACATGCATTTAAAAAAGCTGCAGTTGAGTTTGATGAATTTCCATCCTATATTTCAGCTGGAGCTGGAGGGGGTGCGTACAGACGAGGGCACCGACTCCGGGGCCGACTCGGGGTTCCTAATGCAGCTGATGGAGATCAATGAAGCTCTTGATGAAGCACGGACTCCAGAGGACGCCAATAAGATCGGCCAAGACACAAAAGGTAAATGGATACGCCCGTTTTATTCATTGAGTGAAAGTCTGGTGGATCGATTTGAGCCGAGCGTTGATCGTGAATTAGAACAGGTGGGAGAGAAGATACACCTGGATAATTCACGCTGACACTTCAGATATGTAGCTATTTCATATTTCAGACTAGTTTTACCTCCATGCCTCAAAAAGTCATTTAAACGAAACAATATAATAAACAAAAATCCCTATTTTGGCTGCTCACTGGACTGAGACATTCTTTATTCTAAGGGTTGAAGTTGTAACCTTTTAAGATTTCAGTTCTGGTCCATTTGTGGACATCTGTAATCACCATGGTAACAGCAAGTGTGGTTCGATACTACTCCGAGAACAATGGATGCATCCATTTACAGTGCAGCCGAAAAAACACATGTTCTAATGGTGTGAACACGGCATTAGAATGCATGCCAGGGCTGCACGACATGTGGAAAACATGCGATAACGTTGCTGAATATTGCGGAAAAAAAGAAAGGAAATCATTTCTATACTTATTTCTATATTTAATGAACATTGAACTGAACACAAAAGGCACCAATAAAAAAAGAAAAAAAGTTAAATGTTTCGGTGGCATTTTCTACTGATCCCTGAGTGCAATATCACAGACTTTTGCAATGTGTTTATCGAATAAGTTGACGTCGCGATAATGATTAAAAAAAAAAACGACATACTGTGCAGCATGATGCGTAGATGCATGCGTAGGCAATATGAATCCAAGCCAGCAATGGCGGACTCCGCCACTCACGATGCAAACTACCATATAGAAAGATAACTAGAGAACCACTGAATGGCTAATTCATAAAAAAAATGCGCCCATAGTATCAAATATGGCATATGATCGCCTACTGTTGATATGCAAGGCACAACAATGTTGACAGTTTCCGACCAATGAGTGATGCATACATGACATTACATGCTTTATGTCTGTCTGTCTACATGATCTGTTCAATTTCTGTCCCATTTTGTAAACTCAAATAATTCATTGTGTCCATGTGCTTTGTGTAACTTCACATCAAGCAGCTACTCTCAGGGGCGAGTGTGCTTATGAGCTTCTATAAAAAGCACTGTATGTGCCATGTCCTGTTAACGCGTGCAGAACTGGAACTTGTCTCCTCCTCACTTGCAGGGAAACTGGCAGTCTTGACGGAGGCGATAGACGCTGCCCTTCTTGAAGGTATTATAGTCAGACGTTGCATTGAAACATTCTCTAGTTCCTCCCACTCATTCCTTTGTTTGTCTTGAAATCTTGTCTTTGAAGCTTTCCTTCAAGTCACCGAGTGAGTCAGTGATTGAACTTCCTTGTGCACTCTTTCACTTTATTTTCTTTTTTTAATCAGGAGAGCTTCAAGCCGCCAAAGCCCTGCTTGCCCAAATGAAATACTATGCGAACATCGAAGAGAAAGTAAAGGAAAAACTTTCTGAATTCATGTAATTTCCCCCTTAGTGTCACTTTATTTAATATTTGTAGTTACTGTTAAAAATGATTGCACATTTGTCTAGAGATTATATAAATCTATTGTTGAAGTTGAATAATAAAACTACTTGTAATGCATCTTACAAAACTGAATTAATGGTGATTTGTACTTTTTATATTAATAATTGTACAGATACAAGGGTGTAATTGGATGCATGCAGTATCTCCCTTGAATTCCACTAATTTCACGAGCCTAATCATATCCACTTGTACCTAATGTATCATTAAATATGACAGAGATCTATAATTGGCGCTGATTAAATGTGTTTATATGATTATCTTGCCTATCAGTCCAGCACGCAGGAACAGTTCCTCAGGGTGCCTTTAAGTGGAGACATAACACCTTGACAATCGTCATGCAGAGGCGCAGTACATGTTGTACAAACTGGATGTGAAACCAGAACGAAGTCCTTTATTGGGGTAGACAACCTATTGAATTATTCATGGTGGCTTCGCATCGACGCTATGATCATGGAAGACACCACAGAATGACGATGACTTGATGAGCCAAAGATCTGTGATCTGTGTAAAGTTCTAGCTCATAAATTGATGCACATTGACCCTGCACACCTATGCCTGCAGCACACCGATAGGTGCATCAGAATGTAAATGAATCCATCTTCTCTCTCATTTCAGTTTTTCTTTTTTTTAAACACCGTATATTTATAATCTGTAATTGCTTTGCAAATTGGAGCTCCAGTCACATCAAGGCTTTTGATCCGAGAAACCGATACAGGTGCAATCACGCTGAAAATAGTGAGGTCGTCACTGAATCTGATGGCAGAAAGGGAACCATCAGATCACGTATCATATGAAACATGTTATTTGACACACACTAGCGTGACAACCTAAACCATTTAGTATGTGTTAGTGGTTTTACCCTGACACTGTACACACCCCACTGTAACACATTGTGACTGGTTGTTTATTAAGTCTGGAACCACGATGTTGTTTGTCTATGGCTGTTTTTGTTTTTTTTTACCACGGAGAGGCAGTTTCCTTAATACACATGGATGGACATTGAATTAAACAGTGCCCACCACAAGGAGACTAACAGGCCTATTTATTATTCATGTCGTAATCGGAAAGCATCTACGGCGCCTTTTGAATTAATGAGAAAATGTGATGACCAACACTGAAGCCACTGCTGTCTCCCAAAACTCTTTAAAATGGAGTTTGAAAGAGACGAAAGGGGAAAAAAAGACCGACTACAGCTGTGCTGTGAAATTGAATTGGATGGCAAGATGAACTAGGTACATGTGATCACCATACGCTGGCCATGGTGCACTGGGTTGATTCAAATATTCTGGAAAGGCCTACATGACCCAGTTAATAGAAGGCCTATGATTGCACCAATTTGACATTTTGGGGTATTAGATATTCAATATTTTATGGAGCGTTAGATGAAAAAATGTATACCACTCACACATCTGTCAAATGAATATCAAACTGCAGCTGGTTATCTTAGCATTAAGATTACCAGCGTCTTTACTTTATATCTCATCGCTTTAATCCGTATAAAGCCATAGTGCAAAAACAACCATTTGCAGTATCAGGCAGGGTTATGTGCTGGACATTTTCTTAGCTGGGTGCAGTTACTGCAATGTGACTTTTATTAACTTTGGACAGACCCAAGCTGTGTCCCCTTGTTTCTAGTCATAATGCTAAGCTAAGCTAACCATCAGCAGCTCAGTATTTAAGGACACATATGAGAGTGGTAATGTTTATGTATAACCCTCGGCAAGAAAGCAAATAAGCATGTTTCCCAAACCGTTCCTTTAACACTGTGGAAGTAATAATGAGACTGTCTACATGCATTAATACCAAAATATTTCCTTTCATCAATTTGGAATTATGTAATAAGTGAGGCTTATTTCGCTTTTCAGTTTTCATACCGTCAAAAAAACGTTGTATCGGCGATGTTGTTTCCAAATTGAGTCTCATTTCATGGCTGCATATCACCATGTGTAGCGCCTGTGAAAAATGATTCCAGGCACAAGTGCTGTAACTTGGAAAATCCCTGGAGAGCAATTTTACCTGCATGGATTATGGCGTCTAAATAAGCCTCCAAAAACGTGAGTAACAGTGCATGTTCTAATTGCAGTATTAATCATCTCCGTATGGCCTTAACGTAAATATCATAATAAGATTAATGTGTTCCCGTGACCTGTGTCTTAATCATAATGTTCTCTTAATCACATTAAGACTGAAATGTTGGTGGGCCGCTGAAACACAATTGCAGTACTCCTGACAGAAAGCTAATGGGAAAATTCCTCATTACAGACTGTTTGGCTTATGATGATGAAGTACAGACACGACTGTACTATATAGAAACCTTCAGCTATGGATACAAACAGCAGCCTATTAAAGGTCTGATTGACAAAAGTTTAAACCAGTAGAGGATGGCTCACTGAGCTCTGTCTCTGTCTTTATGATCCTCGCCCCTCCACTCAGCTGCTGTGTGACTCACCCGTTGAGTGTGTGTCCCATCATCTCACAGATACCTTGAGCCTGCTGTGTGTGCTTGTGTCTCACCGGGTAGTAATGCCATTATAATCTACCACCATTAGGCTTTCTTCCCGCCCTTAATCCGTGTTTTGAAGTTGTTTTCCTCGTCTCTTCACCAAGCCGCGTCGTTGCCTCCCCACAAAGCTCCTAAACCGCAGTCTACTTTGAAACCCATTACTCTACGAAAAATGTGCTCTCTGAATCTTTCTTTGAGTGTGCACATTTTGATTTGAGTTTCCAGTCTGAATCCTCCCGTTGGAACATTTTGACACTGATTTGTGTCGACAGAGGGATGTGACAGTCTTCACAAAGATCAAGAGCACTTGTAGCAATCTGCTATTTACACTGTCTGCTATCGGTGACAACAACACAACACCCGGCATGTCTCATATGTCTGGTAATGTGATATTATACAGTGAGCTAATTGGAAAATAGAAGCTGGCATCATAAAATACCACTATTTTTCCCTTTTGCGCTTCAAACATGCAGGTGAGTATTCATTTTCTCTGAATATTCTCTCCACTTTCTGCTTCATGTTAACATCTTATCTCCGACTTTAATGGGGGATCAGTTCATTAAAAGCATAGATGCGATATCTCACGCACTCCAGATTTTGCTTTGTTTTATCCTAATTGAATGTAATTATAAGTCAAATCAGAACACACTTTGACCATAACCGCCTTTCTTCTCAGCTGCGTGTTTGTGGGGAGAATTCCCAGAGGTGATCCTTACTGCGGCAGGCGAGCTGCTCCTCTAAGCTTTTGATATAGCCTATGCTGAGAGATTTCTGGGGGAATCTCTGCTCTCCGCAGCAACATGAGGCAAAAAGCCGGTTCATCTAAACACATGTTTTTGTGTAGAAGTGGTTGTATGTGTTTGCACAGACCAGAATTGAGAGCCGGCGTATTTTCAAATACACAGTTGTCAAGTAATCCCCATATCAATAGGCTTTTCCTGAAGCTCTTGTCACATGTATTCCTCCAAATTATAATGAATTTGATCTGGTACGCTGCACAAATCAAACACATTTTCTGTTGCGTAGCATTCATGTCTAGTAGCCCACATCAGGTTACCGTTGCAGGTTTTTAAGGTACCTCTTTTCATAGCTCAGAATTGTGCATATAGGTTTCCCACTGCACACAAATCAAATCCAAGATCCAGCTATAGGGTATTGCTGTTTAAAAGCCGGTATTGCTTGTATGTTATTCGGTGGCATACATTCCTCATAATTGAGTCACTGATGTGACTCAAACTGTCTCCCCTGAACGTTTAAGGATGACTGTTCAATCAAACTTTCTATTCCAGTGATTGTACAGGAAACTGGGCATGGTCTTGATATTACATATTTTACAGCTGCAGTTCTTTTACCTATATGGTGTGGCTATATGCAAAGACAGGAGACCCGATGAATGCAAATTTATGTTTTTTTTTGCATCTACAAAGTCAAATAGCCCACAAAAGTATAATATCATTTATCTGAGATGTTTACAACAAGTTCTGGGGAGCTTAATCCCCATGGAAAAAGAGGGGTCCAGTTTAAATTAAACATCTATGAAGCAGCAGGTTGCGGGTGGATCTGCAAGTTAAGAGGGATTCTTTGGAGCACTTGGCTGTCCCCTTGAAACACCAGGAGAGATTGCTTCAAAAGGCTCCTTTGTGGTTCTTGAGTTGGGAAAGCCTTTGAAGGGGAAGAACCGGTGGTTTTAAACAAGGTGTATGCGTGTGGAAACAGATAAGTCATTCACTTTTAGCTCAGTCGAGTGCAAACCACTCGCCTCTGGTGAGATCACGCTCCTCACCTCATCTCCTCCTCTGTGCTGCGGATACTCCCCGCTGCCTATCTCACAGCAATCTCATTGTCCAAGGTTCAGCTCTGGCCTTGTTTCACATCTCATCTGAATAACTTGCACAGCATTGAATCACTGAATTCCACTCTGACATTGTGGCTCTTACGTGGCGAAAGGCAAAAACTTTTACAAAGCTCCAAAAACTTTGAGTATTCCTTGCTTCGATTTTACTCCCAAATGAAGATGAACACCAGAGGCATAGGCAAAGACAGTTTAGGGGCATGCTAGGGGAGCCCCAAATGAATGAAAAATGTAGGCTAACACTAATACAAATTTATTACGATTGTTTTGACAAAAAAAGCTCACAACAACATAACTACGTAGCCTATTCAAATATAAAAGACCTATTTTCTTGGTTGCCCGCAGCATCATCCTAGAACATTACCCTAACAGCTAATAGCTAGCTGGAGTTAACATCAGTTACTTCCACCTTAAAATCATTGTAAGTTGTAAAGACTATACAGGTGTATGGGGAATAACTACAACATGATTTTGTGGGAACTACATAGCTTAATGTCAAAGACATAAAGCTAAGCAGTTTCTGTGTTTCTTGTCTAGGCCACCAAATTGGTCAAGGTGTAGTAGGCTAGTTTTTGTTTATACTGTACGCTTGGAGGACGCGCTCTTCAAATGCGCAGTAGATTGCTACGCTACCAGCTTAGCGACCCTGCGGACTGTCTGCACGGTCACTACGAATTGATGGTATCAACTGCTATCAACACCAAGCGCAAACTGTGATTCAGATGGAAGAAACAGAGAAGTTTTCATCATGTTGCCCCTATATCGTGGAATGTTTTATCATTATCCCGATGTTTATCGAGTGTTATTGACGCTTTGAGCCGAGCCTTGTTAGCATGGTGTACAAAAACAGGTAGCGTTTGTTTTTGCCTAAATCAGCTGCTTGCTTTGGCTGAAAAGGACGATAATGAGAGCGGTGAGAGCGAAAAAGGGGAATTGCAGACTGTAAAACAAAAACAATGAGCTGAAAGACACTAAAACACTTCATAGAGCTGAAGGGATTCAGGTGATGATTCTCTTGTGGGTTCGTCACCACGAGCGTCCCCTTTTAACATTCACATAATTGTTTGAGCTGTTGTTATTATTAAAACATTAATATAGCAGCTTTAACCCCAAAACCACTCCAAAAACGTGTGTGGAAACAAGAACTTGAGATGATTTTAGCATCAAATACAAAGTGTCCTCCCCTACCGGGATAAATGTAGCAGGCAGCAATGTGGTTTCCAGGTGTGAAAATGACTCGTCGCATCACAGATCTCTCGCTCTCACATCTTTGTGAAATTGAATCGAAGAGCAAACGCGCGTCTTTGAGATTGTAAGCAGTATTGAGGAAGGCACAGAGAGCTCACCATGTTGGTGTGAATGCTAATGCGCAATCTTAAAGTAAAGAGATATCACACCGTGCCTCAGCTTTACTGCAGGTGGGCCAGACAGGATTCATTTCTGAAGGAAGACCAGACAAGATGATTGCACTGTGGTGCGAGTACAAACCAATGCTGAGCTCTCAAAACAAAATTCTATCATTGAGATTTATTACTATGCAGGAATTCAGCCAAATCCCTGCACCTGTGGCAATATACTACCCAGTATTGTCCGTGAGCCTCACCATATTCCTGCATTTTTCGTACGGAGAGGGAGGAGAACTTGCAGTCACCGGCGCACATTAATTTGTAAGGCCTTGCTTTTCAGGCAAACAAAAGAAGCAGTCCCCTCTCTGCTTGTGCTGCTGATATCTCACATAATGATGACTCTCATTACTCCACGCATCCTACCAAGTTCAACAACAAACCAACCTTTTTTTTTCTACTGCAGCTGTTTCTATGACAACGCCAGCCCCTGCTGCAACTTTAAAAGCGTGATAAACACAAAAGCTAGAAAAAAGGGATTTGATTGATCTTGCTTCTCACCACGGGGAATTGATATGGAGACTGATAGGGGGTGTTTAGGCTCACAGGCAAAGATCAAAAGGTGATGATGGTTTTGCGCCGCTTACAAATGAGGCACAGTTGAATATTTCTGTGTTAGAATTAAGACTGGATTTCTTAAACTGGCGTATTGTTTTGAGTTTGTATTACAGCGTGGAGCTTTAGCAGGGAGGTCACGTTCGACCCTGTGCTAATATCCAGGTTAATCTCCTAAGGAAAAGTTGCAGACCTGTCTTTCCATATTAGGAAAACATGGCTGCATTATTGCCGGCAGCAGCTATTGGCTCTGTGTGTTATATGAAGCTCCAGTCGCAAGGAAGCAAACCTTGGGCTTTTCTCTGCCTCGCTTTCGTTATTGCATTTGACAGGACAGGGACCACATAACTCAATCCTGTCTCCAGCTCAAATTGAGGCCTTTGAGAAAGTGCTGGGCCACTGACCCTCGGGCTTCACTCAGCGCCTCCTCAACTAAAAAAACACCCAAGAATATGTTGTCCATCTCAACACGGCTCCCCGCCTCGCGAAGTAACAGGGTACTGGCACTGTAATCCAGACCCAACATGAGACAATGCGTGGCACGATTAGGATGCACCATCCCTCTGTTTGAGTCTCTTGCCAATCACCAGAGTGGGGAGGAATTAATCACTCTCTGGGCTGTCAGTTGGCTTCAGCCAGGAGACATTTATCTTTGAACCCATGTCAGTAATTTGGCAATAACGGTTCCTTTGATTAATTCACTGCCTGAATCTCTGCCAGGAGAGCACGAGTTCAGAGACAGTATCAGATTGATGATGCTTGTATCCTGTAATTTCGTAGTCCCCAATCCTTCCAGTGATTAGGCACACCCCTAAATGTGATGATATTTTTGACTCGTCGTCTGAGTGTGTGTGTGTGTGTGTGTGTGTGTGTCCGCAGTGTTGTCAGGAAGTTGCAGCTGACTTCAGGCTCGTAATGGAGCAGTACTGAAGATTGTTTGCAGACGCCGGCTCACCGTGTCCTCAGATCAGCTTCATGCTGCTTAAGCAAAACTCTTGACACGTCTCAAGCTAACAAAGTTCATTCCAGCGAGCATCCAGAAAGGTTTCAGATGGGAAGAGACAACATCATGATATTTTGTCAAACTTGCAGCGGGAAAAAAAAGAAGCTTATTCAGCAGGTGTCGTTCGGCACATTGCCACCTCCCCTTGATTTTTTTCTTTTGGACGAACTTGATGTTTACTTCAAGACCTCTCGAGGGGCTTGCCTGAGAAGTAAACAACACTCTTAGGATATCTTATTCTTTTTCATTTGACAGCTCAGAAGGCAGTCCCGCTTTCCTGGGTTTTGGTCTTTTGCACAGATTTCCACACAACACCTTTCCAAGCTAAATGGAAATTAATGACTGTTATCTTCCACACAATTAGTGTGTAGAAGCTATTAGTGGGAAACACTGGAAGCTTAATTTGAGAATCACTGGCGTTATCATTTTAATCCAGCCATATGTCAAGATGAAAAATTGCCAACACTACTACATTTAATTGGTATTCTGAGTTAATTGTTTTGTTTTTGGCCACAATTACTGTCCAAAATACCGCAGATTAAAAAAAAAACATTTGAATGATGATAAAAAACAAACCCTCTTTGGGCCACTTGTCAAATTTAATAATGTAATGCGCTCAATGTTAGCAAACTGTCCAATATAATTGGTCTCAAACAGCAATGTGGTAGCATTGTAGTGGACTGGACACACAGATACTGCTAAATGGAAGTCATTCATGTTACAGGGAATGAAAAAAACCAATGCTGGTCTTTGTGTAAACAGTCTAGCTATCGGACGTGTTTGTCAGTGTCGTTCCATTGGGTCCTATGCGAGATCTCAGTAGCCTCTTTTGACAGTGCAGGTCATGATTTTTCCCGAGCAGATGGTCTCATCTGGCTTATCAGTAAGGATCTTTTTCCCCATCTCTCGCTCGCTCTGCAGTCCTCCCTCCACCAGAACAGCTCGGAAAAAAAACGTGTGCTCATGTCTTTTATCTTACCTGTACGTTTGCTGCCCGCCTGGTTAGACAGATATCACCCACGTATCCATCAATTACATGAACTCGCACTGTGGGTTTGCCTAGTGTGACTCCATCTGTTTTTCTCCGCCTGACAAATACCTGCCAGCTGATGGGGGAAATATTTTGAACTCTTGAAGCGGTGCAGTGCACGTGGGTGTTATATTCCACTTGATATCTAATTTATCTGTGGGTGTCTGGGACTGTAGCCATGGGAACCCGGCCTTACCGTGACCCCTCCCATGACAGTACCTTATTAAAGGGAAATTTTGTAATTTAATGTAATGGAATAGCTGTAATTAGATTTGGGTACAATTACAGCCATTATACTTATCTTCACAGCTCTACCTGAAATCTCTTAAATGTTCCACTTTCCAACAGTGGTTCGTCCGCTGGCAGAGCAAATGCAAGCATATCATTCACACATTCTTGCATAACCATTGAAATCACTGATAGCGACCCGTTATACATTACTGCTCTGAAGAGAACACTTGATGAATAAAAGAATGACAGAAAAGCTTTTTATTTCCAGACTGGTAACTTTTTGAAAATATATAAGAGAGTTCTGAACGGCTGCAAGGCTGCAACCTGCTTCTGCTTCTTCATCTCTGGCGCATCCCCTCGGCTGATTCCAGCTGCCTGCTGGAGGAATTAAGGAGGAGATTTGGAGGGCCTGGGCCTGATGTAACAGCTGAGTTGACATTAGTCTGCTTGGGACAACATGCTGCTCAGATAGAGAGAAATGCTCTGCACTGGTAACTGGGAGGCTTAAGCATGTTGCCTGCTTCATTATGTCCCAGACAAGTTTTCTGACTCGCTGGTCAAAATATATTTTCTGCCCATTGCCCACGTGTATTTAAAGGGATGGAGATAGAGAGTTGGTTTGTCCAGGTGTGAAAACGTACAAGACCTGAAAAATGTGACTAACTGGCTTGACCTCGGAGAAAAACAGCCGTCTACTTCACGACACCTTACAGGGATTCCAATAAATTGAAGCTTTGGTTGCTTGGAATATGAAGAAAACTTTGTCAAACAAGATATGTTGGGATGCCTCGTCAAAAATTGTAGGCATGAACACATACATACAATATGTCGCCCAGCTGAGAGATAGGCTACATAGTCAAAACTGTAACATTTAAGAACTATTTAACACTATCAGGATGAGGATCCTGTGGATCGGTCGCTCGGTCTTCATCCATTCCAGCAGCAAGAGACTCTGCTCTTCAAAACATGCTGAGTAGATCTTATGAAATGTAATAAAATGACCCCATATTCCATACACTGCAAGATTTGTTGTCACTCCAAATGCAGTAGTACGTTATTACTAATTCCACCTACAAGTTGTCCAATATTGCAGCATAATCATCAGAGTGCATATGAAAATACTGATGCAAATGATCTCTTAACTGTTCCTTTCTCTTTTTCCAACCCCTAACAGA